AAAATCAAGAGTGAAGGTTGCTCTAAGATGCAGTCTGTTTTTGGGAGTCTCCAAGGAAACTGGTTTTCTGAGTAAGTTCTAATAATGCTGATAGTTGTGATGGTGGTGGCTGGACTGGTGGTCATGACAACCAACATCTGTGACAAGGCTTAAGGGTAAAATACCGCTTTTTGCATATTGTACTGTGGACTGGTTGCAGAAGTGTATGGGATGCTGCCCTTTTTCGGATGAAAAATGAGAGGTAATAAAGGTCAGTCTGATACAAAAATTGTACAGAAAGATTTTCTTTGATTCCATTCATCTCCATAAACAGATTGTGCACATGGATAAATTATCTTTACTTACAGAGAACAAGTGTTTGGATTTGTCCTTGCTTTTGTTTCACATCAAGTGGCATAGATTTTTTTGGCAAGATTTTGCTGCATAAAAGAAAACTTCCATGTAGAGTTTTCAAGAAGTACTAATGCAATCATATGGTCTATCAGCTGAGAATGGTTTAGTTATTCATCAATTTCTGTAAACATCTGCATATGAGACAGCTCACACCCTTAGTCGTTGAAGTCTTCTCTCAACTGCAGCCAGTTTCTAATAGTAATTTACAGCCCTGCACTGGTGTTGCAGTAGATTTTCCCACTGTCTGAGAAACCTCTCAGTGTAAACTGTGTTTTTATGGTTGAGTACCTTCTTTAAGAGGTCACTATGCAGGTCTAGGACTGCCACACTATTGCTTTGACACGGCTGAGAAGAAAAGGAAAGGAAAAACAAAAACTTTGGTCCCATTTATTGGAGTTATTAAATCTCCCTTATTAGTTTGGCACAAAGTGGGTCTTTTCCGGCTGGCCCAGCAATGGTGTAAAATACATAGTGATACAAACAGGGTGCCAATGATATGAACTGAAAAAAATAGATAAATCTTTTAACAGTCCAAGAGTGGCGTGAGAGTGTCTAAGAGGCTTCAGAGACAGACTGTGAGAACATATGCAGAAAACTGTCTGACCAGCCAGTCTGTGTCACAGGCTTTTATCAACAAGAGCTCACAGGAGGCTGAGATTGTGACGGATCTGTTTGTCATCTTTTCTTTGCATACTTTCCCTGATCAGGGCTCTCTCACTAAGTTCGCAGCACAAACTCAATGAGCCACAATGCCAATTACTATGAGCAAAATAAGTAATGTAGTAAAGCTGTCCCGCTGCAGCTCTGCTTTTAAGCCTGTGCTGTCAGTGTGAATGAAAATTTCATAGAGCATAGACTCACATTTCCTGGTTTTAACTTCCAATTATATCATATCAATAATTTAAGCTGACAAACATTATATTCCGTACTCTGAGCCTCATCTACTTTGATCATACTGTTCATATAAAATTGTCAGATTAAACATTAAAAATTGTCAGATCGATGAAACCATTACATCATCAATAAACTTAATCTTCTGTCAAGTGTGTCTGAAATATTCATGTGCTTTGTTTACTATTGTTGAGTTTTGTTATCCATAGTTGTTTTGAATTTAATAGCACAGATTTGGACACCGTGCCATTCCATGCAATATCATACCATGCCTATCATGCCTGCTACACTATACAATACCAAACCAGACTATGCCATACAGTATGATGTGGTATCATAAAACATAGTACCATTTGATATAAATGAATGCAGTTCTAAATGTTAAAAGAACAACAAAAGCAATCAGAGGATACAATAGGAATACAAAACAATACAATATTATATGTTGAGGAAATATGATTAAGTGGGATGCAGTGCAATAAATTTTGGACCAGATACAACAGGATAGGATACAAACCAATACAAAAGAAGCAATGAGATATGATACAGTTTGATCAAACCACATCATACCACTATGGACGAAATTTTGATCTCAAAGGTGGGGTGAGGGGGTGGCACATGTGACTTGACTACTGTTGAGTACTGTTGAGACATATAGCCTAGCAAACAGCACATCTCGTACACACAGTAACAGAGGAGGCAATACGGCCAGCGGGTGGATAGAAGTACAAACCCAATACAGGGATGTAAATGAAACCTCTGATGAATCAGACGTTACAGAGGGCAAATGAACACCGCCCTCCTGTAAACTTACATCAGCGAATAGCAATGTTTATGGACTGACTCTTACGAGCAACTTGAAAAACATTAGTCTGTCCCCCGTGTCCCCCACACAAATTACGCCTGAGCATACCACACTATACCATGTGACAGGATACCATTCATTACAATGTGATACAATTTGATATACATTACTGTAAAACCGAATAAGATACAACACAGAACAGGTCAATTGAATAGGATACCATAAGAAAAGATATTGTCCAAACCAAAACAATATAAAATTGATTTACTCGAATAGGACAGGAGGAAATCAGATATCACAGAACAGAATAAAGTAGTAAATATGCTAAAACAAGGATAGGACAGGATATGTTATAATATGATTTAGCAACACTCAATAATAAGATATGGTGCCTTTTATCATCTTTACTGTAAATGCCTTCACAGTAGTGACAATTACTAAGACCTTTAAGAAACAAACATCAACACATGTTAACAGAGAAAACCCAAACCACAGAAAACTAACACAACATAAGCTCCACATTACAGATTTTAACATAAAACAACATCAGACACTATTGCACCAGCCACACAGCCTAAATTGACACTATTTGGTGCAGAAATTGTCATTACTGGCTTAATCAAAATGAAGCTGAAAATAAGAAACCTTTGAGCCTTTATTGTCAAAGCTTCTTAAAGCAGGACTGAAGTTTATTTAGTATGATTGTTAAACAAACAGCTTGGCTCGATATAAAATTGGAGATCAGTTTGGGAATTTACATAACATGGCACTGATAGCTAGACTGATTGTTGAAGTAAAGGCTAATGGTTAACTAACAATAGTTACCTCACATAGTAAGAGTCTATTTTAGGACACTTGGGGACTGGAAAGCTCTAATGTATGTCACTGGATTTTTCACTTTATCTCCCAGATGGAGCAGCAGTGCGACGGTAGTGCGTAATGCACCTATAAGGTTTCAGGGACTGCTGGAGCACATCTGTTAGTTTGAGAGCAGGTGATGTGTGAATGTGAATGTGAATGCAGGTACCAGTGTGTTTGTAATCCAGGGGTCTGCCAGAAGAGCAGAAGAGAGAGAGAATTACCATCTGCTAGTCCTCTGCCAACATCCAGTGCAGCACTAACCATCTTCCTCATGCATAATTACCCCCACACACACACTCCACAGGGCTGATTCTTCTTCAGGAGATCGCCCCGGTCCTTGCCTCAGCTCACTCATAAAGCCTGATTTAGCAGCAGATTACAGAGTTGGATTAACATGACAGACTGGAGGGAATCGCTTTTAAAGCAGACCGCAGGTCAGACCAGAATGGTCCCCCCTAAAGACTAAGGTCTTGTTAACTAAGACTACATTGAGCTCTGCTGTGGGATGACATACAGTGGGAACATTGCCAATGCATTTTAAATTGGCAGTAATCAGTTTCTTTGCATGCATGACAGCATTTCCGTGTTTTACGTCATTTACATAATTGAAATTTGCTATAGCAGGTGCGAAATTGATTCTTTTTGATTGAGATTATTCAGTCAGTCCTTTATGGGTGAATCAGTGTTTCTGTGGAGAGGGAGCTCTGGAGCACATTTATGATCTCAGTAAGTCAAGTCACATACTGCTGCTACTGTAGCACTGCTGTCTGCAGGCCAGAACACCCTGCAAAGAGAGAGTCTCTCTGTAACATCGGGAATGTCTTTCTGTCTAGACATTTTCCGTGTGCAGAGATTCTGGAGGAGCGCAGAAAGCCTATTCTGTCAGGTTGACAAGGGTACATGCTATTTTTTTCCTGTTGTTTCTATGCTAGTTTTGGCTTCAAGCTCAATGAAGGACTTGCTTAATTTAAAGTCTGACACAGGAAGGGGGACAAAAGGATAAGCAATGACTTCAAATAAAGGGTAAAATAGAGCGTACGATGTGGTTGTTCAGTATGCTCCTCCTGTTCTTTGTATATGTCCCTGCATTTTTTATCAGATGTGAAAATGTCTTAGGGCCTGCTTTTTTCTCTCTCTCTGTCTTTCCTCCTCTTCCTCTATTCATTTCTCTGTCAATTTCAAAGCTTTCCTTCTTATCTCCAGATCTTCAGTCTTTTCCATTTTATCCCTCTCTGCGTCTCCCTTTAATTCTTCAGGCAGTCAAAGCAGAACAGACAGCATGCTCGGAGAACAAAACAGAGCGCGCTGTCTGGGAAAGTGAGCCTCAACATTTCACCTCTTGTCGTCTCTTATTTCTCTCCTTTCTCTTCATTTTTCCCTCACTAATCTAAAAGCCCACCTGCTTTTTCTGGTTCCTTTTTGGGGAGGCATCTCATTGCACAGGTTTTCACCTCTCCTCCCCTATCCTCTCCTCTCCTCTCCTCAGGACCCTCCGCAGTGTCGAGGGGTGATATATCATTCCCTTGGGCTTTCAGGGAGGCAGGTAGCCTGTTAAGGCTGTAGATTCTCTGTTCTGTTGATATACTGATAGCCTGAGGAGATTTTCTGCTGCTGTTTAGATGTACCTCATCTCTCCTGTGTGTGTTTTTTCGACTTTTGTGTGCATGTGGAGTTCTTGTACAGCCTCCGAAAACATGCTCATTACCATACAAAGCATTTATGGTAATGTACTTGCATGCAGTAAAGATGCAAAAACATGCAAAGCACAAATTTGTAACATGCATGCTCAGTTGTGCACGTCTTAGAGTGTTTCACACATACGCACACACACACATTCAGGCATGCTCAGGGGTATGGATGACTCATTAACTCAGCCACTGCCATGCATCCCTGATTAAATTGATACCGATAGATGGAGCAGGAGGGAAAACAACCTTTCCTGTACTCTCTCTTGAATTCCTCTCTCACCCACCCGAACACACACCCCTCTCTCTCTCTCTCTCTCTCTCTCTCTCTCTCTCTCTCTCTCTCTCTTTTGCTCTCTCACACTGCCTCAGCATCTCACAACCACCAGCAGCATTGACAGTGAGCGAAGAGACTCTGTTTTCACACACGGCACGGAGTAGAGCCAGCTCTGACGCACAAACACATCAAAACACACACACATATACACACACACACACATGCACAAGAGGAAAACGGGAGATAGACGCAGGCTCCAGCTGTAGCATGTCCATCGGCTGCAGTCAGACATGTAGGAGGAGGAGGAGGAGGTGCTCTGATCGCTGTTCCATGTCCGTTTCACTCCTCTAAGCACCTCCCATCCCCCCCGAACACTCGCTCCCTGGCTCTGCGGCTGCCGAGGGGTTGGCTGGAATGACCCGCGAGAGTGGGAGACACAAGGAGATGCGCTAGACAGGGCTGCCAGCCAGGAGGACTCTCTGATCCCTGGTCTCCTCTCCTCTTCTCCAGGCTGATATACAAGGCAGACCTCTGATCTGCCCCACAGATGCATGCCCATATAGGAGGGCATTGCTGTGCAGACCGAGGGTCTCCATCAATCACAGCCACAGATAAGAGGACCACCACAGAGACACACAGGTAAGAGGCTCCACAGCTGGGCTGGAATACCACTTATATCGATTTCACATGGTGTGAAGAAATCGGCTATGTGTCGACTGAGGTGAACATGATTTTCCTTCTTTAAACCACTGCCATGTCCATCTTTTGGTTTCAATATGTTGGGACTACTATGCTGTGTGTGCCTTATTTGCGCTTGCCTGCTGTACTGCTGTGCTGCATGGTCATTGATTAAAGAGAGATGGGTCTGTGGATGAACACTGTGGCAGCATGATAATGGAATATGTCTCCTGGAGGACATGGTCCGATATCCATCAGATGTCTGGGGAATGTCGAAGCGGATAAAAAAGGTTCAAGAGGGAGGTATCAAGAGCAAAGAGAGGGGGGGAAAGGCAGATAGAGGGACTGAAAGTAATTGGCATTTCACATAATTCATGTGAGAGCCATATTCAGTGAGCTCCGGCTGTTTTCCTACTATTCAGTGTTGCTTTTCCCCTGTGCTTCATTTGAAATTCATACATTCACCCCACACTCCACAATTGGCCAGTTTTTAAATGAGAGTCTTTAGGCTGTTTTTCACCGGGTGTCAGGATAGCTGAGAGGGTTTGTGTTAAAGAAATGCGATGGCGGAGTTTGAAAAAAAAAAAAAAAAGGGTGCATACTGGAGAGCAGGAAGAGCCCATGGGGGTAAGGGTTGGTGCTCTCCCAATCAAAGCAGGATGGAAGTTGGGGTGGAAGCCCTGGAAAAGAGAGGGAGCTGTGACCCGAGCGAAAGATTCAGAGTGTCAGCCAGAAAAATGAAGGTTGGAGCTGTGGGATGTTTGGATGATGTGGGTGAAATTGAACATTGACAATCTAGAGATGAAATGTTGCTGTTATTTCAGGGGCTGAGACTTTTCTGAAAAAAAGTGGAGAGGCCTGTTTTTAGGCACAGAAATTCAAGTTAACCCACTCCAATCTGCAAGTCCATTGGTTATCATTTGACAACACGCTTTTTGAAGTTATGGTCAACTTTTGAGGTCTTCCAGCGTCGTCTAAAGAAAGTCCTACATGATTCTTAGCTATGTTGTTTACAATGTGACTGGCTGCTCAATATGCTTTTCTGCAGTTTTCAATTTATCGACATGCATTAGAGCTAAATTGATGTTAGATGGCTGACATTTAGGTTTCAACTGTTTTGAGCTACAGACTCACTGTGTTCTCGCACACAGCCAAAGCTCACCACAAATTCTGACTGACAAAACAACTAATACTACCAATGGCAACAACAAGATTTCGTATACCAAATCCTGGCCCCTGCTGACATGTTATATGCAGAAACTGTAAGCAGAAATGACGTTAAAGCCTCAGTACATGACTCTAATCTGGTCACAGTAGCCTTTCTTTTTTGTTGATGTCAATGGCAGTTGCAGCAGAGAGATTGGCCTGTGGTGGATGTGCTTATTCAGAGGTGCCTGTGGCTGAGAGAGATGAGCTGTCTGGTGCCGTTGCATGGAGCATACATCACTGAAGCCAGAGCTGTGGACCCAGGAGGAATCAACAGAAGGAGAGCCATTACTAAGATGACCAAGCTTCTCTGATCTGATCATATGAACGAGCAAGTTATGGAGACACTGGACAGGAGGCAAATTGAGGGGATGAGACAGGTGGAGCACAGAGAGCCAGGCCAGGCAGTCAGACAAGGAGAGAGAGCACTCTCTTCAAAGCCGTGATTAATTCTAGAGGCGGTGCATTCAGCATATGCCAGAAAATATCAATATTTTCCATTATACGGCGTGTATGAGAGTGGATGCCGGCTGATTTAGAGGTTGATTTTAAAAGCATTCTGCAGCATCCACAGTATGTGGATGCCACTCAGTGTGACAGTAGTTGGGATGCTGGTTGATGGAGTGGAGGTCTGTGGTTGATTGGGTGTTTTTTTGCTGAAAATTCATGTGTAGGTTGACTGTGGGAGTTTTCATGGCACAAAGTGTACCCACAGTCATCCCTGGGCTGAATAAAAAAGTTTTCAGCTAACTTTAACTCTTGGAAAGACATTTGGTCATAGTTATTTCAGTTTTCTAAATATCTGAAGTGCAATTAAGAGCCCAATACAGTCCTAAATTTGTTATCTTGTCCATTATTTATTTATTTATTTTACACACAGCTGCGATTTTACCCTCTCTGTCAACTTCTGCTTAGTCATTAGAGAGAGCACAACAGCCTCAAGGATGCAGGGTAAAACAAATTAACACAACTCATGGTGCAGCTCATACCCAAGTACACCATCAGATAGAGACAATCACAATATGGCCAAAAATGAGACGTTCAACAAGGCAACCACAGGGACAAAGGAGCAGGCCTGGACATGCCTTTAAAATCCAATCAACACCCCAGTACCGAGGTCTGACATACATGGAAGGAGGGGTGCTTGGCACATGATTGCAGCTCTGCAGAGGAACATAAAAGCACATCGTAACAACAGACTTGGCACTCGATGAAGCATTCAGATTGCATTATTACAATGGAGAATATTTAAACAAAATGAAACAATGAACATTATTTCAGCGGCTCTATGAGCTGGAGTCTAAAAATAAAACTTTTTCATCTTCCTTAAATTTCATTCTTACAAGCAAATCAGCTGCTTAATCAGTGCTGACCTGACAAGACATGTACTTAACTGGACCAGCTTATGCGTACTACAGTATCTGGCCTTTCGACACCAGCAAGAGTTCCCTCTAGTTCTGTAAATAGGGGGTTGGACCCTCCATGGATCAGACTTGGTTGTCCAGCACATCTCAGAAATGCTTGATTCAAGGGACTTTGGAGATCAGGCCATTTTCTTCCATTACTTCATTGTCTAGTTCACATGCTCATGTGTGCCCATTTTAGACTCTTTCAGTGGACAGGAGTTAGCATTGACATCTTGACTAGACTGTGAAGCCCCTCTATTCATGAAACTGCGACAGACTATGTGCTATGACACCTTCCTGTCAGCATTAAAAAGCATTAGCTCTCACAGCCATTTGAACTCCAGAAGCTCTTTTGTTGAGCTCATGCCCACCTTGTACATCGGTGAGCCACTCGACAGCTCTTAATGATCCGAGTCCCTATCGAGTCTTTTCTGTTGTTTGGGGTTTTCACACTTAAGAACTGTCAGTGTATACGCTTCTTTTTTTGTTGTTTGTTTGTTTTGTTATTGGGGAATAGATTACTGTATTTAGAACAAATGCTGTATTTTTTCAATACTGGCTTGTTGGAAAATGTTGGTTTGAATAGTGTATAATGAGATGTTTAACAGGTGGTAATTCCATCTGTACTATGCACTTTATATTGCTGTACGAACAGAAACAAGGAAATTATACACATTTTGGGGCCTAAAAACATATTTCTTGTTTCTGGACAGACATTGGAACAAATCATGAGAACATTATTTACCTTCTTTTAATTCTTGTTTCAATGACTCGACCTTGAACACCTCACTTTGTGGTCGTATACCAGCTTAGTTATTGGTTAACTAGCTTTTATGCTGCTGGTTTCAATATATACTTTAATGTTGAACTTTGGATTCTGATATTTGAGGAAAGGAACTTAATATGATGCATAATGTTGATGTGCTTGGCTGTAGAGGTTGTGGTTTCCCCCTTCAAGAAATTGTTTAGCAACATAAATTGCATTATGCTTCATCCCTTTCTTATTTTAATTATGATAATTATGATTATATGTAGCCACACTTTGGACCTCTTTATATGGTCAGCCATCTTTGCAAGCACATTGAGGCTTAAATAATGGTATATTTATACACCATTATTTCATAAGTCCCTCAAGACTTGACAACAAACTCAATGAGGTCAAACATGACCAATTTAAAGGTTTTAAAAACATGCAGAACAAGGTTTAACTGGAAAAGAGTCTTTATGTCCATCCCTATAAATCACTGCAGACCAAGAGCTACTGTTTCAGAGACTGTGTCAATTGGTTCTTGGTCTAGTCAAAGCTGTTCATATCCTTACTTTCAGCCATTTTCCTGCTTCAACTTGAGGGAAAAATGTTGACCTGCTGTGTATCATATTCAATCTACTTAGAGGTGCCAAAGGATAATCAATGATATCTGCTTCACTGAACAGTAGTTATGACTTTATGACAGATCAGTGTACATTAAGACCATTTACATCTAAAAACCATCACACACATTTTTATAAATATTACTTTAACATCATGGTCATACAATATTGAACTTCAATAGCTATACCAAGTAGAAATCATTTTCTCTCTTGTAGAGTAATAGCTGAAATCAATGTTGGCATGGAAAGAGGTGGAATATGAACTTTGATTTTATCGCAGTAAAATGAACATGCGATCCCACCCTCTTACATGACAGGGAAATTGCCCTCTTGATGAGCACGATGTTGCTAAAATTGGTGGCTAAAGACAGAAGACTTTTGTCAACTGACAACCATAGGCCACAATATATAAAAAACTTTATTGAGTTACCATGGAAACAGTGACAATAGCAGCGGATAGATGGACAGACAGACAGACAGACAGACAGACAGACAGACAGACAGACAGACAGACAGACAGACAGACAGACAGACAGATAGATAGATAGATAGATAGATAGATAGATAGATAGATAGATAGATTCTATCTAAGTAGTATTTTATAACACATATGAACTCACAGAACATTTCAACAATACCCTCTTAGAAAACTGTAGCCGAGATCTCTCTTTCTCTCTCCCTCTCCATCTTGTGGTCACCCCTGACAACCAGTTGTTTCTGCTGCTGTATGTAGAGGCCTACCTGGCTAAGCTGAAGGCCATACCTAACATGCAAATGAGAGGGGGAAAAAAACAAAACACAACAACAAATCCCTCCCAGGACAACGGCGCAGTAATAAACTGGCAGTGTTACTGGGGCGATAAATATCTGAGTAACAACATGCATATTAATTGGTCTTTTGTGCCAGCCCATTTCGGAGAATCGCGTTAGAGCTTTGCAGAGGAGCAGTGCAGTGTGAAGTCATCTCCTAAGTTGGCGGGCATCCCAAACTATCAGCTGGGAAAAAGAAGACAAAACACTTTCAGGAAATGTAAAAATAAAACCTCAATTCTAACACTGGATTATAACATACTATGGTGGTGTTGTGACTTACATACATTTGTTACTCTACAGAGGAAGTTTGTTCCCAGAATCTTTTAAGCTGCATAGCAGAATGACATTTTGGCTTAAGAGCGAAGTCAGCCCAGAGGCTTGTGGACATAAGGTGCTATTTAATTGAAATAGTATGTCCCTTAGGAGATGGACTGCAATGCCATGGTTCCTTGACTTTCTATTTACTGTCACTCCAAAATTTCTACTTTGTACAAATGATGTTGGGCTGAAAAACCACACCAATTCAAGCTATACTAAAGGTTTTGACAAATGTTGGCGTGTCAAAAAGAGATGCATGGCAGATATCATACTTCAAAACTGCTATTAGTTTTGTTTCATTGTTGTTGGCATGTAAGCTTGCCAACATCCTTTGACTCCCACATCCAACAAACCTCCAGAGCTGTTTTTTTTTTTTTTTTTTTTTTCACCTGCGCTATAGAGCAAAAATCTGACACGTCCTGTCTCAGAACCACACAGAAAATCTAGTCCATGCATTTGTCACCTCCAGGTTGCATTACTGTTAATCTCTTTTCATCAGGCTGCCCTAACAAGTTTTAAAGACTCCTCAGTGTATCTCTCCTGTATTAGCCTCTCTACGCCGGCTTCCTATTAAATTAAGGGTAGAATTTAAAATTCTTCCCCAGACCTGAAACAGACAGTAACAAACTAATGTGGGTGATAGTTAACACACTTAACATTTCACTGAGGTTTATAACTTTAGATAACTTTTGAACTCTGGATAGTTATCACTCAGTAATTGGTAGTGGATTTTTTTTTTTTCAGAAGGGCAAAATGTTTTGGAGCAAAGGTGAGAGCTGAATGTTTTCAAAAGGTGGGATTTTTTTGTTGTTGTTTTGTTCGCTGTTATTAATATTCTTCACATTGTGGCATTTGGAGCTAAATGAAACAAACTGTTCCAATTGCTGTCTGCTCTGGCTGCTAATCTCTAATACAGCTTCTTCTGCAAAAGCTTGCCACACCTGTAGGTCAACAAGATTAAGCTTCTTGGTAAACTCTTTGTCTCCTTGGACAAGCAGCATTATTTACGTGATTAACATTGTGATGTTAAAGTAGATAACAGTAGATATATGGAATATATGTTACAAAGTTAGTTTGATTGCATTACACAGCTTACTGGATGGCATGCATGTGGTTACTTTTTGGGATACTGCTGAGGCATATTTAGAGTTTGCCCAAATTCTGTGTACTTGAATATATGCTTGATGTTGGTCTCACATACTGAAAAGAGAATCTTTACTTTGATCACTAAGGCCATAGGTTTAAGTTCCTTTGATATATCTTGCCTGTAATCATTTGCGTTCTCTGATATATATATATATATATATATATATATATATATATATATATATATATTTTTTTTTTTATTTTTTTTTAAATAATTATTATTTTTATTATTTTTTTCATTTTGGGCTAAAAATACTTTATCATCCCACGTTAAGGGTGCATACACACACAGAAGGTAATGTTTGAATAAATTAACTTCAACAGCCATGAAATGAGGTCTCTTTAGAACTTTTAGAAGTTTTAAGGCCAAAAAACACTGGCTCCACAGCGACAGTTATGAAAATGCTTGGGGTCATGCGTCATTTGGGAAATGTGTACAGTCTTAAGGGAGGGTATTTGCATTTTTTATCTCACACGCACGTTTATAATTTTGCACATGAATATGTATACTTAACACATCTAAATACATAGAGATTCACAGAGTAAAATCACAATCATTAATGGTTGGATGATGTTGATGACTTTTATGTTTGTTTCAAAGGGAACAAACTTAGCCAAGAGCTACAAAGCTAATTACATTATTAACCCTTTATTGCATGTTCTCTCTGTCGCTGTTGTGCTTCATTGGCTGTTTTAAAAGTACAAAGCATATTATGTGCTGGCAAAAAACACCCTAATCTGGTTTATCTGAGAGTACGTGTTTGCAGCCACGTAGGAAACAGATGCCTGCGATGTTAGAGTACATTCATGCGGCACCACATTTCTCTTTCCTTAGGATAAGGGGTAATTTGGTGGGTTTTTCAGGTTCTCATTTCTCAACAGCAAAAAAACAAGGACATTTAATGTGCAATAGATTTGTGTGGCATTGCAAAAACTCCATTCTCCAGGTGAGGACAGTTTTAGAAAAATAGCCAAGGGGTAGAGAGCTGCACAGAGAGGTAGAAACGGTGGGCAGAGATGTTGCTGCAGCAGGAGGAGTGAGGTAGACCAAACTGAAGTGCTATCAGGAGTTTTTCTTCATGTCCACACGTGAGAAAACCCAGAATGAAGTAAATCTTTCAGTACAGTAGGTCTTTCACAGAGGACAGGGAAGGGTATTTGAAAACAGAAAGAGATATTTACTCAATATTTCAAAAGAATTTAATGGATTTCTCTTACTCCCTCTCTCACCCTGACCCTCCACCTCTCTCTTTTTCTGGTCCTGCTCTGTGGTTTTTCTCTCTTTCTCTAAGGTTCATATGAAGAACAAATACAGCGAAAAAAAATAATCTATTATAAGCCTGCATTTTACCATAGGTGTCAAAATGAATGTATTCCCTTAATCCTTTTTGGTGATAATTTTCCTTATAATTATTCTTTATTGAATTTACTTCCAGGAGTTTTGAAGCCCATGATGACTTTTGACTTGAAGATGTAGGTCTTTACCCATAAGCCACTTTGCAGCTACAATCTTTTATGCTGTGAGATTTAATGGAAAACCTGTTATCTTTTCCCATTTATACCTCCATCCCCCATTACCGAGTGCCCATTTCAGATCTACTTTGGACAAAAAGTGAGCCACCTGTCTTGGGATGAAATGCAGAAAATGAAAAAGAGTCTGATCAAGATGAAAAATAAGCGATATATTCCAGCAGTCTGACGCAAGTCAGAGAAACAGATAGAGACAGGAAAAGAGACACATGTAAAGATTTGGAGTTTAAGATGATTGATTCCTCCTCTCTGCAAAGAAAACAATCTGCCAGAAGTTTCTGGACGTACATTTTGACAGTTTATTTTAAGCATTTTGAGAGGAGGTTTAGAAACGGAATAAATATCTTTCACTGACATCCAACACAAATACAAATCAAATTTACTCATTTCACGCAAGATTTCTTCAGGTGATTTTTCACTTGTCTCACAGGTGGCAGCTCAGCACCAAGAATGCGCATAAGTGAGTGTTAACAACCTGTCACTAGATGAATAGTTTCACTCCTGAATCTGATCCGGTTCTATGAAGTGGAAACACCACATCAGCACCTTTTTCATGTATCTTTAAACGGCGGCCCTCATCGTTACCGGCCCTTGCCGGCCCGTCTGCTTGACTCACAAGGCATCACTTTTAATAAATTTTCAGAAGTCTGGAGTAAAAATAAAAAACAAGATTTTCTGTCTGGTTTGGTAGCTCAATACTGTTGGTCTTTGAGCTGTTCATGAGATAGAGATCAGTGTGGAGGAGATCAAACAGATACAGTATCTGTTACATAAACAGCAGCAGCAGCGTGCAGAAAGATGAGCAGAGGAGTTTCGCAGCAGATAGTGTTCTAAATTTAAACAATACAACCCGCTGCTCTCAGACAAAATTGAACCATTTAAAGTGTAATACCCGATAATGTGTACAAACACTGCGACTGCTTAATCTTATTTTTCATACACTGAGATAACATTTCATTAATTTCAGTGCAGAACAATTGATCATAGCATCACACACTCTTATCTTCAAACTGTGCCCTGCACTGTGGACCGATTGACTTCATAGATCCTAAATAGTGTTATTTTCAAACTACCATGCAGATTTCCTGTGATTCACAAAAAGTGGAAAAACAGAATCAAATATGATAATGTTCAGCTGTTAGTATTCATGTGGCATACTCCCAGTAGAGACTGAGTTTAGGGAACAAAATCGATTTCTCAAATAGCTCAAAGGTAGTTAGCACCCAATTTCACATTATATTGCACAACTGCCCTTGATTAATGGGGATTTGAACACAATGCATTAGCTCCTAGTACCGTAAATTAGCCAGGCCAACATGCTGGGTTCAAAGATGTGCTTGTTATTTCATTATATCTTTATTTTTTTATCTTTTATTCATGCCCACATTTGTAACAAATAAAAACTTTGTACGCAAGACCCCAACAATACCAGTGAGATTATCCTCACAAAAGCCAGACTGACTTCCTGTGTGCATTCACTTGCATCATACATCGCAAGTCTAGACTTGATGAGAGTGACATTCAATCTTTCACACTTTTTTTTTCATTTTTATCAGAACGATACAAATAATAAGGGAAATATGTAATAATGATAGTTCCTTTAGTATCAGGTATTACCTTGCTTTCTTATCCATCACCCTTGACTCTGATTGGTCGAAACCCTTGAACAACAGTTGTTTATTCTAAATAGCAAAAGCAATGCCAGGGACATCTAGATCATTTTACTATTTCTTTGTAGTCTTATTTTAAATTTTGATGCAGTCCATCTAACTGTTAAAATAAAAAGAAAGGGACAAAAGCAGATTCATGGACACTTTTACTGAAATAATGAGAGGTACTGTTTTGTCCACAGGATGTGCAAAAATGAGCAAAACCAAAAGATCTGCATAGTAGCTTTAAAGAATTGGGGGGAAAAAAAAGGCTTTTAAGACTTTTGTCAAGTATATATATATATATATATATATATATATATATATATATATATATATATTTACGAGACTGAAGTCATAATAAAAAAAATAAGAGCATAAAGTCACAGTAAATATTACAAGAATAAAGTCCTAAGAAAATAAAGCTTAAATGTTATGAGCTTGAAGTCACATTCTAATTAAGTCTTAGCTTTGGTTCACAGTGAGCAGTCAGCTGCCTCTACCAAAATGAGGAACATGGAGTGTCTCGGTAAATTGTACTTCATGTTTTGGTTCATCTGCAACAAATTGTTTCATGTATCAGGACCCTGAAAAAAAAAAAACTGCACAAAAAGCTGAGACATGTGGCATCCTCTGCAAAGCAGCATTATGTTACTTATTGTTGACTAAATTTGAGACGTGATCCTGATGTTAATCTTGTTATGTAACATTACAACTTAATTCTGATAATAAAATGACTTTGAAAAAGTGTCCTCTAAATGTCTGTAATGTCAGCATGTCTGTAAAATTTCATAGCATTTCTTCAGCTTCTTGATTCTGATAAAAAAAGAGTGGAACCTACAATAATTGCTGCTAACTTAACAACATGTTGAGAATTCTGCCCTCTTATGAAGTACAACATTGCCTTAAAAAAAGAGCAGCTAATAAAAGGGAGGACTTGGGAAATCTCTCCTGGTATATATAATTTCTTGGAGTAAATAAGTTTGAGGATTTATCTCCATCTCCTGTTTCTGTCTTTCTGTGGAGATTTGCAAAGGGATCTGATGTTCTTTGATGTGCACGCTGCTCCCCCCTGAAGCAGTGCAAACCAAAGTAGAAAAAAAATCCCTTTCTTATAATACAGGGTTTGACTTCAAAAGGTTTAAGAAAAATGAAACTCTTTGACATACAGCCAGTGTTTACAGGCGCTGTGTGAGTGTGTATGGCTGAAATGCTGCACAAAAACAGCTGTGTAAACCCACTTTGAATGCAATTATTTGAAATGTTACTAAAATAAGGAAACAGATGAATTAAGTCAAATTTTCAAACCTGTCAGATTGGTGCTAAACAATCACATTGCATTTATTATTATTTTTATTTATCTTTATTTTTTTTAATCAAAACTAGTGGTCGTAGTCTTTCACTGATTCAATCTTCAAAAGTATTTGTGTATCTATCTGTGTTAGATTATAGAATCTACATTTACAGTTTGGACAATCATCTACACTACAGTGTGATTAACTTTCACACTGATACAGAATCAAATATTTATGATGAATTATTCAAATCTGTAAACAGAATAAATTAATTACATTAGTTTCATGCTTTATACACAGAGAGTCATAGTATACTGTAGATTATGAGTTGCCTGACTGATGAAAAATGGACAAAGAAAAGACTATCAGAAAACCTGCTCTGTGTGGATTTAAGAGTGAGATTCAAGGCAGGGAAGCAAGACATGATGCTGAAAAGACAATTCAGACATTACCATGTACTGTTTACCACATAATCAAGATGGCAGGTGAAGCAGACTCTGACTTTCCAAGACAGCCTTTGTCTTCATGACAACACTCCATGTATTCAGAATAAAAATGAAAGTCCAGAGAGGAACACAAAGTAGTTTTGTTTCATGCATGAAAATTGCAACGGTTAACATAACCCCTGCAGACCCTTTCAGAGTGAACTCTCCTGAATAATAATTGCTGTGTTTATGTGCTGTCTCACCCTGACTTTGTGTAGAGATTATATAGGGGGCTAGAGGCAGAGTTCACATCAGGAAGTCCCAGGAGTTTGGTGCATGTGTGCATTTTTTTTTCAATCAGTCTTTGCCAGCTGTTGATTAAAAAAACATGTTTCAGCCTCCTCACATTATCTGCATTGCTACATGTATGCAATATTTATTCATGTGGCTACAGAGCTCTACTGAGTCAAACACGAATACGAATTCAATTTTCTGCTAATTTATCTAGCAAAGGCTGTGTAATTCCCCTACAGATGATGGGGCATTCTTGCAGAAAGCCCCTCTAGATCCTGCTGTCAACACAACATATCTGTACAAACACAAGTTACGACTCGGACAAAGAGCTTAGATTAACGGCTGAATGTTACTCTGTCAGTTTGGGTTTGAGTCACAGAGCCCTCTCATATTGCTAAATTGTTTTGAAAACCACACACACAAACACAGATGCACAACACACACATAGGGTTTGTATTCGTACTTAGACTGTTTCAAGGGTTGTAGCTCTCAGCCTACAGGTCTGTTCGCACACATGCTGTGTGCATGTGCTTAAATGTGTGTAATCATACATGAGCATTCACAGCTAGAGCAACCTACGACTAGTTTAAAGTGAATGTTCCTTACCCCCTCTCATGCATGCTGACAAACATGCAAACACACTGTGATTGCGTGGGGGTACATTCGATCTCTTCAGAGAGACCTGATTTGAATTTTTAATGGATTTAGACTCTTTGAGGAAAAAAAAGAGAAAAGAAGTGGCTACACTGAAAGCATACAACCTCTTTTTCCTGCAAATTTCTGCAACCCCAGGGGAAAGATGCAGTCCAATATGAACATTTAATGTAATTGGACGCACTAAACCTGGTATTTTGTAGAACATGCCACGCATGAATGACTCATTTTGTCTGAAACCAAAGCAAGCTCTTAGTTATTCCTCCCCAAACTTTTAGCATGCTATCTCATTCAGAGCTCAAACAGTAGTCTAAGTCAACAAAGAGATGGTTTGGGCTACTTTTTCCATTACTGACCTCAGAGTTTTAACAAAGGTCCTTTACAATATGATACAGTTAGATACCTATAAGCAGGTAAAGTACTGCAGTGATTGTTAAACCGTGAGGATCATTAAACTGCAAATCAGAGTTGCAAACTAAAAAATTGATATGAATAAAAACGAGGAGAACAGGATTTAACAAGAATGTTTGCTTGCTGAATTACAAGAGAAGATAAAATATGAGGAGACACTCAGTGCCATATAAATCTGAATAAATAACACATCAACATTATTTTAAAAAAGGCCATTACGCCATTGTAGTGTAAGTGCCATTATACTGGACTTATTTCTACACTTCATTTTTGTAAAGTTGAAATGAAAACCTTGACAGAAGAGTGGAGAAGTATTCCTCCCCTCCTCAGACTGCCCATAAAATAGGCTATATCTTAAAGATGATTCTCTATTATATATGATTTCCCTTTCATGTACATGCAGGTCACAAAGGATCCTCAAAATGATGCTGAAGTTTTAGTAAATTAAAGTCTTCTTATTACCACTATTTTTTGATATGTCAGTCAACTCAGCGGTGGGTGACAGTACTGCCGACTGATGAAAACCCTTTTAATTCCTGTGTTTATCTTTTTGGACTAGAAACTTGGTGCAGAGTTGACATCATGTAGCTTCTATTACCCAACATTAGTCAGTCAGCCACAGGCCGCAGAAAGCAACATCTTCTTTTCTGTGATGTTGCGAGTCACTGAAAGAACAAAGATGAGCTCAAAGACCACAGACACGAAAACGAAAGAGCAAATGCAACCTTTTTATAAAAGAAACAACATTCAGATGAGAACAAAACCATCTGAAAGGAGCCGGCTCAGATCCGTGGCTTGATTGTCCCTTAAGGTCTAAAAATACTCCTACAGTTACAGCCTACTGAGAGAAAAACTTAGCTCCACATCTTAACAGGATGAACAAGGAGAAGGAAAGATTTTTTGCTGACATTCATACCAGTATCTTGATACTGCTGTGATAAATGATGTTACGACTCCAATGCCATTATCTGTTAAACCAAAGTTTACACCTCTTGAAAGCCACCCCTCACTGATGACAGTATTTTTTTATATGGGATAGAATTTGCTGGAGTTATGAGCTAGACTTTGGTATGGGAAGTGTTGTTTCCAGTTGTAGTGCAAGGAGCAATATCACCTAGACTTTAAAGAAAAGTTGTCTTTATTCAGCTGAGCAGTTTTTGGTAAGAAAGGGGCAGAACCATAGACTGTATATAGTATGGACAACGTGGTTCCACCTCCTGTCATTGTACGAATTTGAAGCTTTCTGTAATTCCAGGATTTTCTCCATGCCCAAAAAAGGCATTTGTGCTGCAGTGTTCAGCAGAACAGTCCCAGAGGTGACACTCTGTCGAAACAGCATGGCTCCCAGATGTCCTACACAATCTTTATACGCCCATGGGCTGTATCAAGTGTCAGTCATAGAAAACATAAACCCCTAATAACTTTTAAAAATGGAGCTGCACTGAAAAAAGAGGACTTGAGCACTAACCAGTCTGAGAGTAACTACATGTCAATCAGGGCTGGGCAATATGGCCTCAAATCAATATCACGATATATTCAGCAGTTCACCTTGATAATGATAAATGGATGATAACAACTTCACAAGCTGCACTGGATGGGGTGGAGTCACGTCTCTGATGTAGGACAGCATCTTAAAGGGACATGAGAACATAGCCTACCTACACACATCCAAAACCAACTTTGATTTTATCATTTTTTAACACCAAATATCCCAATATGGGCACAATGACGTCGGTTATTGTTGTAAATTGCTGTATCGGTAAATTTTCGGTTATATGTGGCAACCAGGAGAGAGAAAAATGTAAATAAGGTGTGATTCATTTTTGAAGTTTGTCCACAGCTCTATTTATTTTGCTGTTGGAGGCAGGGTTTATGACATGTACTGCAACCAGTCACCAGAGGGTGCTGTTCTTGCAGAAGCTTCTCACAGCGAGGAGGCAGATGACGTCCATATTATATACAGTCTATGATGAGAAAGGGGCAGAACACAATCAGATGTAATGCAATCGTCAAACACATCAGCAACCACCTAAAGATGCTAAAGATTTAAATGGACATCTGCTTTCACATGCATCTTACAACCAGCTGTTGCCTGAAGATGTCACTGACTCACACAAAGGGTGTACATGAGAGCTGACATCTCAACCAGGAGCTCTTTAAGTTCACCAGAAGTCCCATGAAACAGCCTAGAGCATATTGATTTCAGATGATCAACAATGAAGTCCATGGATGGCTTATGTGAGGTACAAGCCTCAAATTCACACACAAATAATGGTATATGATGAATAAATGCAACTGCTAGAAAACTTGGCTTCATATACTGCAATAAAGATGCACACGAACACGAGAGTCTAACAGTGTGTCTAACAGGTTTAAGGGCAATCCTCTCTTGATACTTTCAAACCCCTGACATTAGCTGCCCGTTGTGTCCCAGCTGGATGTCTTTATGTTGGTATTTAAAGATACAGAGTCATTGATCTTGCTCAGAAATCTAATGCTCCCAACTGATTGTGGTCCGCACAGCTGAGGGCCAATCCTGAGATGAAACTCTTGTCCGGTTAATTAATGGTCTGCAGGTAATGTGGGCGACCCGGTCTCCAGAAGGACTGGAGTGCATTCTCCTGAGATAGATTGTCGTGTAATAAAGGGCACTTAGACCACCTGCCAGGAGACCAGATCCATGATTAAAAATCACTAAGAGTTCCTTGGTTTCATCACAAACATGTGATCGAAGTACATTTGCATCCAAATGGAGTGAAAACAAGGATATGTTGAATCACAGGGAAGGACATGTTTGCTTATGATCTCAGTGCTGATGATGAGGTGTCGTCCTGTGTGAAGGGCAGCAGTGATAAAGTTTGCTTTGCCTGGCATATTTTCATTCAGTGGTGGTCTCTGAGGTGAAAAGCTGGGATTCAGACAAATCCTTTGCTAATGGCCTGTCATTCCTCTTGGGAACAAAAAACCCTGGCTCGGTAAATTACACTGCATGTCTCCCTAACAAACATGCTGACAACACACCATACGACAAAAAAAAAAAAAATGGAGCAAGAATAATGCACGTACTAATGAGAAAGAGAGGTCGAGATAAGACAATTTTCGTGCAAAAGGCCTGTTGGGATTTGTGCATATCGAGCCTCCATTTGAATGAGTAAACTATAATCAGTTTCCAGTTTGCTGCAGCTACACACAGATGAATGCCCCACCATTTAATTTTTGGCTAAAGTCGTTTCATCGAGCTGTGGTGCACAATCACAGCTGCTGATCTGCAGCTTTTTGTCCTCTTTCCAAGAAACAAAATGGGATTTATTATAAATGTTACCAGAGACAGCACTGTGTTGCTGTAAAGCCGTTCTGTAATGAAATGGAAACAAATTAAAAACAGAGAATATTCAGATTCATCTGAAGGTGAAAACTACATCGGGGGAAGTTTGGCAATGGTGAAATTCTTCACAATGAACAGTCTTTAGTCTGACAAATTCACGAAGATTCTCTGACATGTAAGTTTGTTTTTGTTTTTGTAACAGTCTGCAGTTCAGTCAACATCCGATTATACAGTATTTATATGTTGAATGCCTCCCACATCCGACTGGAAGGAAAAATATGTTAATGTCACCCCAGTTTGTCTGTGAGCTGTTCAGCCTCTGCTCGAGGAATCTGTTAGAAATATGGAGGTGGAGGACAGTATCAGCCTACAAGGAGATGGTGAAGGATACTGTAGGATGAAGGATGTAACCTGATTTACCGCTTTCATTTTTCTGTTCTGTGGATTTCTTATAAATCAGAAACTTTTAATATGCAAAGGTTTAAATCTATGTCATACATTTAAACTCCCAATTTAAGCACTAAACATTACATTTTAATTTGGTACATTGCATGCCACATCATATGCTAGCCCATATATGCCAGTAAAAAATAAATCAGTGAAGATAAAGCCCTGATGACACAAAATCCAAATGTTTAGTCATTATTATGAATAATAGGTCAATATCATCTGTCCAATAAGTGTGAAATTTCAGCTGAATGCAGGTGATCAATGGAGAAATGTTATTAAGGGGGTGGAATATATTGAAACAAATATACTGCAGCTGGTTTTATGAGAAGTATTGAATTACTATGTTTTGACCGACAACTACAAACTGTAATATAAAGGATTTAAGCCGTCAGCGTGTACTTCTCTTTGGAGCTTCACCTCTCTAACAGCAGATAATGCCACCCCCCTCACGCCACCCTTCACATGCGTCTTTGTACTAGGAGAGGAGAAAGGAGGGTAAAGAGAGGGCAAAAAGAAGAGAAGATTTGATCTAAGTTTATGAGTGTTCAGAGAGGCTGCTCATACCAAGTATCAGCACGTGGTTTTCAAGTGATTACTGAGCTTTGAGTGCAAGTGTTTATACTTTGCATCAACCTTGATCACTTACGATCTCAATTTCCCGCTGTACATGCAAATCAACGTGAGGCCTCATTCACTTTTATTAGATTTTACCAAACACTGAATGATGATAAATGTTTTTGCCAACTCAGGTTGAAGGCTGCACTCGCATGCTGCTTAGTCAGCAGAGAGAAGCGTGGGATCACAATCTGGAGTGATGGTAAATTTCAGGTCTTACATTTCTTTGGTTTATCTTTGAATTGAGTGTCTGAAAACATCCACATGTATGCCCAGCATTAATAACCTCTAGTTACTGCTTATTGTTTAGCTCTCCTCCAATCATTTATATCACACGGATGCATTGGTCATGTTTTAAACCAGGGTGTGCACTAAATTAAAGGACACATCAGTCCAGAGCAGAGCATGAAAAACAGATGGATTAGATTAATATCTGCTTGTCTCCTCTCATTAATATGAAACACACAACTTCTCTTCAGCTCTGCTGCATAGACTACATTGCCACATGTTGAATTGAAAAATACAGTATTTGATTTACATTTTCCACAAGATGTAGTTGAAAATGATCAGGGGCTGTGTTTACTGATGCTGTTTTTTGTCCCTTTTTCTATTCAAACTAGATGCAGCTCAGCATTTCCAGCCTAAAACACAGGGATATACTAAAATCATTATACAGGTGTCTTTTAATGTATCAACAGGTTAAAATAAATGAGTGATCCAGAGGAGATTTCAAAATAAAGATATGTATTGAGTATCACAATAGATCCTAAAAATATACTACAGGTATTAACTATTGGCGATATCGCCCAGCCCTAGATATTATGCTTTCTTATAAAAGTGTGAAAAATCTTACCATAATAAATGAGAACACAACAACTATTTAATGAAGTAATGGAGGTAAAGTTGTGATGTCACTACACTGTCCATTTAGATGGATATTTTAATGCTCTCAGTTCATTTCAGAGAGCTGTAATAGCGTCTTGGGATGACGACTGTTGTGAATTGGCGCTATATGAATAAAATTTGATTGATTGATTGATTGATTGAATGATTAATAGCTGAACATTCAAAAGGAAAATCTGAACTGCTGTAGATACCATGTTTTATTGAGTACAACTGAAAGCTCCAGGATCAATATCGTACAGCTTGTGTTGGGATGTTTTTTTCACCATTTGTCTTTTCATTCTGCCAAGTGACCTCTGCTAAATCCCTCCTACACTGTGAGTGTGCCTGTGTTTTCAACCTGATCCATCTGTCTGTCTGTTTGAATACCTAAGCAGCAACTTCAACCACGTTTGTGTTTTGTTACCATGACAACAAACTTCCAGTTACATTGCTGAGGACATGTCGATAACAATTGTTAGTTATACACCTTCTGTCATACGATTGGGCACAGTTGGCTCCATCTGAGCCATTCTTGTGTTAATGATGTAGTCTGAAAGGAGATAATTTGATGGTCTGGTAACATCTGAGGTGGGTTTGGACGATGGTGTCGGGGGTGTTTGGAAATTGGAAGATCATTTCTTGCTCATGACAAAAACACATTTACTCCAAATGTGGAGTTAAAATGGAAGGGCAGTTCTTTTATCGGTCATTGCCAAAACATTGCTTTGACTGCCCATCTGCTGTTGTGATATTAGAGACAGTCATTTAAAATGAATATAATCTAAACAAACTGATTACAAATCTCAGTGCAGAAACAGAGCAGGAGGACATATGAAACAGGCTAATCACGGAGCATGAAAGAACGTATTAATCTCTGGTCTAATATGTAGAGGTGGCATATCTTGTTAATTGCATACTACTGGCACTTTTGTATGCAATCTATCAAGTGCCATCTCTCATGCTGTATAAATCATTTACTCCATGTATCCACATTACGCTCCCTGTCAAAACACGTCTCCCTATCCAGACTTTCTTATTGCAGCTGATGACTTCATAAATCTTTTTGGCAATTTGACGAGCCAGCAGCACATGTGGTGAGCCCCTCTTTTGCCAAATGTCTCACTGGCCAAAGGAGCTCCTTCTGGGTACGGGCTGGAATCTTTCTCACACTCAGTTAGTGGCCGAGGCTGATGACTGTCTGTGTTTAAGGGCTCATCAGGCTGTCAGACAGTAAATCAGCCCTGCAGGAGGCCTCTGGCGGAGATACATGTCACAGACAGCTTATCATACTTTATATCCTTTCCACAGACTCGCCTCTTGCAGGATTAGTTTGCATTATAAACATGAGTATGTGCATGAAGACAGCTGGGGTTTATTCTCTGTGTTGTGCTTCTCACAGCAGCTCCTGACAAAAAAAAAAAAAAAAAGTAATTTTGATTGCTGATGGTGTAGGAACACACTGCACACTTTCCATCCAGGGGGAACACTTTTAGCTCTTCAGAAAAAGGCTGCATGATTACTTTGAACGCAGCTCCTCCGGTAGTCTTTTGTCGTAGCATCGGGGAGAAACTGACACACATTTCCTTGTGTTTCTGCAGGTTCTGATGTGTATTTGCAATCAGTTTGTGCCTCTGCTTGAATCCGTGTGTGTGCCTGTGTGCCTGTGTGCTAAGTGGATTGCTTTCAGAGCAGGATGCGAGAGCCTGGTAGGACAAAAGCGTGCAGCTTCAGACAGACAGATGTTCCTCTTCAGATAGCGATCTCAGCACAGAACATGGCTACGAGAACAAAGCTGTCTCCTGCGATTATTCTCCCTCTGCAGCCTGAACCTGGGGAATACTTTGTGCATGGTACAGTCGAGACCCAGCTGATTGGAGTTAAATGATTAATGCATTTATGACAGTTTCTATTTTTACATCCACCACAGAGGATGTTTGAAGTTGATGGGGGGAAAAATCCAAGCATGCGTACTATCTTATTTGCCTTGTTTTTGCTGTGAATTTCAAAGCACTCTGGGATAAGATAGCAGGGATATGGCAGCTGGCAGAGTACAAGCTGTTTTTGAACAGAAGAAACTTCAGAGCCACATTTAATCTCCACCTTCTTACCGAAACCATCCCCAGCAGCTGGGATAGGAGGACCTGAGTGGGTTATTACCAAAAGCAAGGGGCAAGGATATGACTGCATCTCACAAAGAAGCCAGAGCCCAGTTGTCCTAAATCTAACTGAAGTGGTACCAGTATGAATAAAGTAAACACACACACGCACACAAAAGAGAGCAAACTCACACAGAGAGCTCAGCGTTCATCATTCTGTGACTGACAGCTTCAGGGCCTTTAAGAGTAAAAGCTCTTTTTCTGATAACTTGAAGGGGAAAAGGTGAGGGATTAATATCTTTTTGAGTTCTGCTCATGAGTGGCTGCCATGCTCCCAGTGATGCATGGTGGAGGTAGTCCTAATATGACTAAGAGCCCGAGGTTTGGAGCCCCAGTTGAAGCTGCACGACTAAGCTGTGATGGAAATTCTCAGAGCACAGGAAATCTTATTGAGTGGGGAAAACACATTTATGAGAGAATGTGCTCAACACGCCAAAACTAAACTATTGTCCCAAAGAAAATACCCTGTACACTAGTCTTCGAGGCAGGTTTTAGACAAGAATACTGACTGTGACTTCCTTTTTAATCAGAATAATCCAATATGCACTCAAAACGGAAATTGGTTTACAAGCTAATACCAGTATTTTTTTATCTGTATGTCAAGAGGCAAGTGATACATCACAGGAGATAGTGTTTTTAATTAAATTCAATAAAAACGTAATTTACTTTGGGCTTTTCCCATTAGCTGGATGTCCAGTTCTGCCAATGTCCATTACAGTTTAGTAATTGTTCAGGGTGAAATGTGCAGAGTGGTGTAGTAAAAACCATCTGAAAGTGTTCAAAGTTTGGAGCAGGTTTCTTGTAGCACATTCATCTCAACTGACAACTGAAAGGTTACTTCCAAGGGTGTATTATCAAGAATATATTGCACCACAAATTTGTTATTATTTTTGTAAAACTTGCAGTGTTTCTTTGCCAAACTCTGGGTGGATTTTATTGACTTTTATTTGGTTTCTCTTATTGTCAAAATACTCAGAATCAGAAATAAGAATGAGAAAAAAAACACGATTTGACCAGGTGAAGCAAAGTGCATTTTTCAAGTACAGTGCTGAAGTCAAACTTGCACATAACTATGGAATTTTCACTCAATGCTGCAAGTTTTTTCATTAAATAAAAAACAAATTTACTTTTAATTTTGAAGTACAGACCTCATTCTCATTCCCCCCCAATCTCATAGTCTTACATCAGTGGCAATGTGAACCAAGAAAAACACAGAAGAAGTTGATTTCAGGATAATATTTTCCTCAGCACAGTCACAAAAGCCAATCAGAGTTTTCCCACTTCCTGATCTGTGTCAGAATTGGTCAATCTGAGCTCCATTCTGAAATGACACATTGCGTGTTTGTCATGTAGTTTCTGGACCTAAAGAATCTGAATGCAGTCATTTAACAAACCTGCATAATGATGCTATTTTGTTGTTCTTGTATATGACGGTAAAATAAAAATCCCAGCAAAACCTGTTTATTTCTGTCCTGACTGCTGTAATTATGGGATCACAGCAGCTGTGTGACATGGTAAACTGCCACCCACCAGAGACAGATGTACCCTCATGCCACAGCTGACAGTGGACACTGGTTTCCATCCAAGAAACATCTGCTGTACACTAGATTCTCTAAAGAACAAACAAAACTATATAAAGAAAAAACCTGTTAGTACATTCATACTCTGTTTCTCTTGGGAACCACAAGGTTAAACTAGTAAACTGTATATAACAACACCTTAAAGTAACTCCTGCACTAACTGTAACAGAAAAAGGTGCAAGAGGCATTGATGAATCAATGCTAATAACTTAAATCAAATGTAGTAAGAGGCACAGTGCCTGGTGCTGTGTAAAAAGCACTTGATTTCTAAAGTGCATTTTGCTGATGTACTTCTGTGTTTCTTCAAGGACAAAATGGGAACAGTACAGAGGAAAGAAGTAAGGACTATTCCAAGAGCTTTGACTGATAGGAACCCTCTCTTGTTGTTGATATTTCCCTGTCTCTATGTTCTTCTCACTGTACTTATTGAGAACTGTTTCTTTATCCTTTATTGTTTCAGTGAAAAAGTAATATTCAGACAGTCTCTTTTAAAACCTTGGCTATTTGCTGACTGTTGGTTTGGAAGACAATGACAATGCAGGTTTTAATATATTGTCTCAACTTTCTTGGAGAAAGTCAGGATTCAAGAAAAGAAAGGGGAAGAACAGAAAGATGGACGTGAGAAAGTAAAGAAAGTCAATGTGACAGACTTGGTGAGCACCATTGTGTTTGATGACACCTTGATAATTCAACTTTGATTATTATCATTATTAACATTACTACTGAGGAGACAACTTATTGTATTCTTTCAACAAAAATATTTCAAACACTGAAATTATTTTTCTTCTCAACAATTCTTAGATTAAAAAATACACTCTGTACTTGGTGCTTGAAGTGAATTGGTTATGACACTTCTTTTATTTGAGCATAATTTATGATTATTTCAGATCATTATTTATTCAATAATGCATACCTTAGCTTAACCAGACTTCTATGAATTGTTTTCATTACTTGCTACTTCTGCTTTGGAGTCATCAGATGAATTTTCTTTCCTCCAGCGATGGGGGAAAGCTGACACCTACCCCCTTTCCTGGGTTTGTGTTGTTTTGCGGGTAGTTTGTTTAGGGATGTTGTCTTACTGATACATGCAGCATCCCAATGGTTAATGGTAGAGCAAAAGCTTATTAAATGAAGCTCAAGTTACAATTTGACTGAGCAACTACACTTGTATTGGAGTAATATTTGACCAAAAATATCTTTATTTTGACTCTAGTACAAAAGTTGTGAAATTTTTCCACCACTTTAAATGACATTACCAGTAGTAGTGATAGATTTTAAGTATTTAAACCATGTGTTGTCACCATTAAAATGTTATTTTAACTGAAAAAGATGACATTGAAGTTGTCCTTCAGCACATTTCTCATCAGTCTCTTGATCAATCCCTGGTTCAATGATGCAAAACTTTAGCGCTCTTTTGTTTTACTCTTTATATGACTTCCCCTACCACTGCCTTAGCTGATTTAGTGCACATGCCATTCATTAATGTTCTTTCTGTAGTTTAAAGCACACGCTGGTTAAGAACAATCTACAATATCATGAAAAATGCTCACTTGACGCAAACCGCACAACCCGAGTGGCACCCTTCAACCACTTGCTGCACACTGTTGCTGAATGAGACAGCACATGAACACGCGTGACGGTAAACAAAGATACGTGTTCGCCGTAGGCTGAAGACGGATCTGTTATTAAGAATAAGTACTAAATAACAAATAACAAAGCATTCATTGATAAACAAGCCCGAGTCCTCCGAGTCCCAACACAACCAGAGCAAAAGTCAGAGTCTGGACTCGAGTCAGACTTGAGTCGGAGTCCTGGACTCGAGTACTACAACACTGCGAGAGATTAGATAATCCATGTAGTGTATGTTCTATATGGGGCTTGGGTGTTTTTTTTCATGATAGATGTCAAAAAAAAGTCTTGAAAATGTATGAGCCAAGATGTCTATATTTTTCATGTTGTCACTTAAGTGTTCCCTTTTAAAGTCAGGTATATCAGCTCAGGGAACACAGCACTGACAGGCCAAGATTTGTAGTCACCACTGGGACTCTGGAGGAAAAGGGCAACTCTGACATATTGATGCAGAGTGAGGGCATGACCTGTTGTGCTGTCACTAATCAATGTTCACCTCAACCTTCAACGTCACCTCAACAGTCAACACCTCCTGCAAAGACAGATCTCCCGTGTACCAAAACAATCTGACAGCATTTCAGCTGGGTGGAAAATTTCTTACTCTGCCTTCCTCTGTTGAAGGAGAGGTGATCTTGAGTGCTCCATTGCAGGCACTCTTTAATGGGCCGGGTGTTATTGTGCTACGTAAAGCATGACGTTAAAGATGTGTGAAGAGAATGCTGAGGAGGCAAAAGGAAATGATGCACAACTAAACCTCTTCCTCACTACCCATGAGCCCCTCCCTTTTCTGCACTGTAAATTTATGGTTCCTGCTGAATGCAAGCTGAGCTGTTCTGCATATTACCCATCATGCCCCTGGAGAGGGCTATAGATCACAGGATTGCTCATTGGCTTGAGACTAAATGCACTGTACAGTTAAAAGGAAGATAAGACGGAGTGGGCTCCAGCGTTATACATTTTTTCTACCTGAGGAGGCAAGACAACCTTCGATATCTGGTTAGAGTAAATCAGGGGGAAAAAAAAGTGGATTATAAATTCATATCTCACAGCTGATCAAGGGTTTACTTTAGGCCCCGCAATGAAAGACAGCTACAAAAAACCTATTTGAACATGCTGTGTCAGTATATAATCCATCACACGTTTGCATTAGCCTGATCTGCTGTTTCACTTCAGAAAACTGTGCAAAAGTAGATTAAAAAAACACTTCGGTCAAAGGCACAGAGAAAGTACACCTACATTTGGAGAGCAGAAACTTGTTTCCAGTCAAACATACAGAGCTAATCTTCTCATAAAACCTCTGTAACAGTTTTTGACTAAACCAGAGCGACATACAAATACAGCTACGGCACAGTGAGGATTAGAAGTTATCCCTTAGCGTTAAATCTGGGCTTCTTTCAAAACTCATGCTAATGGTCGGGCTCTCTCACTTGAAACCATTTCATTTCTGATGGAGAGCGGCTCTCTTTGAGTCATTAAGTCCTCTCAGTAAATCAGTACATGAAGATCTCTTCAGAGTTATCAGTCAGGATACATCATCTTGTTGAGATGAGAATAATTTTCCTGAAATGGAACGCAAAGGCGTTTCAGTACAGTGTTGTATCAGTGCTGTCTTGTAGATTTCAGTCCTTGCAACATCTACTTACTTTATACTTTGTAATAAAAATTGTTTTAAGGATCATTAGGGAATTGTTATTTTATGTATTACATTAACTAAAATTATAAATCAATAAGCTGTTAACTTTTGTATTAGGGTAAAGAATGAAAAAAAGAGATAATTGTGTTTCATCAAGTCAAGTGGTGCTATTTTTTGTCTTTCCTAGTTCAAGCATGCCAACAGAAGTAGATTCTGTCGACATGAGGGACTGAGATGAAAGTATGGTTGGAGAATAAAGCAAGAGTGCCTCACTGTTTGTTTCAGAGCTTACCACAACAAGCTATTATTGGGATCCCCTTCAGAAACAGCACTTATGTGTTCCTCACTACCCAGGTGTGTTCAATACCTCATTCTGATTGGTCAAAATGCCATTATTATATTGATTCTCCACAAAAGTAGCATCAGGGACAACTCGATCATACGCTTTGCATCAAATCCATCTGAGGAAGTGAGTTCTGGCACATTATACCTTTACTTGTTGGACACTGGATGGATATGTTGAGTGTTTTACACCTAGATCTTTTCAGGAGCGGTTTCCTTCTTGGCTCTGATTGTTTGCTAAAGAGGTTGTCTCAGCTCGCTTTCAGACAAACCTCCAGAAGTTTGTTTGCAGGGAAAATGCAATCAAACCATGGCTTTGTGGTTAAAGCCTGCTCCCCGTGTGCAGAACCTGTAGCCCTCATCACAGAGTTTGCTGTTTCAGCTCCTGCACAACCATCCCCTGCATCTTCTCCCCATCCCTCCTCTCCACACATCTCCTGTCTCTCTTCAGCTGTCCTATCAGTTGCAGATGCTTGACTCCAGTGGTAGGTGAGGAAGTTGATATAAAAATAGCAACAGGCTAATGCTATTCACCATCTCCATCAAATTCAACATGAGCAGAAGGGCTACATAAGAGGACTCAACATCATTTGCAAGTTTAGTCCAGGAATTATGTCCAACTTATCATATAAACAATCCTTCTCGTCACTGGAACCTGCACTTATCCCAGGCTTGTTTCATACTTTTACATGCTGCTGTCTGAGTTTCTTTACTTTCAGGTGACTCTTCAGCAGAGTGAAAGCCCCTCCTATTCACACATTGACCCACATGCCTGTAAACCTCTGTATGGAGTGGTGTTGAGCATTTATATGTTCATCAAATATGCTCATCCATCTAAATATCAATGAGGCATTTAATCTCCGCACTGCTTCAATTTAACCCACAACTCAATTTCTGGTGGGTTGACTCGTTGGTGTTAGATGGGAATCTTGGGTCTAGCTTCCCCAAAGACAAACCCATAGACGTGGCATTTGTATAGCCACACACAGTAAGAAAAGAAGGGTTTGCTAATGCAAAAGTAGAGACTTGCAGTCATCTGTGCATCAACCACTTTGAAATAATGCAGTGAACATAAAACGAGATCTGACTCCCGAGGGAAAGATCTAACAGTGTATCACTTTATTATGTAAATCAGAACAGAGTGAACAAGCTACAGGTGTGAAAGTACTCTTAAATCCACTTGAAAGTTGGACAACAATGACAGATGTGAGAGCGCATCAAGAAACATCTCCAATTGAGGAAACCAAAGAGAGAGGAACTATTTTTAAGGATGTATAAATAAACCAATTAAGTCTAAATATTAACTTTGGGCCAACTTGTCTTTGACTTTTGTTGATAGCTAGTTAATTGACAGAATAATGTGAACGGGTGGTTATGTAAGCAGGAAACCAACATTTCTCACCTTGTCAGGATTCTAGATTACATTTGCACATATTCACTAAATGTCATCCCTCTCATATATTTATCCAGAATTATTTTCCTCTGGCAAATTTTTCTTACACAAAGCATTTCAAAATGTTCCCTAACTGTTTTAGAGACCCTCAGTTTTTAAAAGGGAGACTTTTGCAGACTAGATGGCCTCTGGCTCTCAGTAAGCCTAACCTGTTTCCATGCTATGCTTTTTCCATGTTCCCCTGAGACTTGACTTTTACAGAGTTTACCCGGTGGCCTTTCAGGCATAAGGTCTTAAGTTCTGGTTTATGTTACACAGTTATAATTGGCTACCTGATATTACTCCAGAGAGATGAACAGTATGTCAGAGGACTTGTGTTTCCAGTGTGCTGTGAGCCACCCAGAGGTTATTTGATTTCAACTACATTATTAATGGTGCATTCATGGTCAGTGGATGGCAGGACTTTGATGAATTAAACGTCAATCATTGGTTCATAAGTTCATCAGTTGATTGGTTTAAGAACAAAGAAGAGTCATTATCAAGCCAAAGTAGAACCGTGTTGTTGCAGACTTGTAAAGTTTCTGCATCCTCAGCCTCTGTCATCTGTTTTTCACTGTACTCAGATTTTGTGAGTCGTTTGGTTAATTGCTGTGTTTTACGGCTGCTAATTTATCAGGTTGTTAAATGTGGCATCCTTTGCGATATGTAATTTATTTTCAGGTCCCAAATGCTCCTTCATCTATTAGGAAACACTTGTCCTACTGTTCTTTTATTTCATTCACTTGTTAATAAAAACTTAAAACTTAAAAACATGGTACACATGTAGGAAAGCAATATTTCAGCTGCCCAGCTGTGCTGCCTGTCTTACAACATGGTTCAGGTTTCAGCTAGTACCAACACCTCAGCTAACAAAACCTGAGCTAACACCATCTATGGACTACATAAAAGTTTAGCAAAAGTTGCTTTTGGATCTGGTCTGTCACTTCTTAAAATTCCTCCAACCTTTGTTAACTCAGCAGCTGGATCAGATTTAGTGGTCTCTTCTGCTTTTAATTATACTAGCTGGATGAAGTGAATCACATCAGCAGGGGGGAACTGGGCCCAGACTCTGTGTAATCTGTGATCTTTTACTCATCAATTGTTTGTCTATCTGTGACTATTTGTAATGTTTCATTAAAAAGCCATAACTATTGTTTATGACTACAAACATCACTTATATCAGTGTATGACACACCAGTAACTAGCATAGGTTCACTGATTTGATAGCGTGATGCTAACTTCATGGAACTTTGTATAAGTTTCCTTTTCAGTCATTCAGAATGTAACAGAACTGATCGATAATCAGAAATGACTTCAGCCATCACCTCCTCTTCTCTTCAACAGTACATGGATACTGATAAAAAAATATATAAAAGAAGGCCTATGTTTAAAACATCAGAAACACAGCACTATAGTGTATTGAGGTATGTTGTGTAGAAGTATCTCTCATCTAAAAAAAAAATGCTTTTTTGTGGAGGTGTAAATTCACCACTTGATGCTCCTCTGAGGAACTTTCAGTTTGTGTCACCTTGTTGACAAATATATATATTTTCTTGTTTCATTCTGTTGACTTTGATGGTCAATGTCATCATTTACGGCCAATATTTTATGAGTAATTTGTTAATTCAGCTGCTGAGCTGACACCTACCCCCTCGCACCGCTTTTAGGCATTCAAAACTGCAATATATAAATAGTCATTCTTGTTGACATCATTAGTATGAATTTTAGACATCATTAGTAAATCAGTAATTTTAGTAAATTTCATAACCATCAAAAAACTCCTCACGGGCCTTTAAACTATCTAGTAATTGGCTTTAAGGTCACATCAGGAAATCAGATGGTTAAATATTTATTTGGTAAGTTCAGGGGCATGTTAATAATACGATTAAATACGCTTTAAAGGTACACAGTCATTAAAGTATTAATGACTGTCTGGTTAAAGTGAGAGAAATACTTCAACATGATGAAAACTGCTAAAATAAGGGAGCTGTGTTTTTTACTACATTAATAGAGTCATCTTAGATTGATTAAGGAGACATGTTTTCTGTGTTGCAGACAGATAATTGCTTTGACATATGGGATGTAGAGGAATGAAGAAGATAACAGTGTCTTTAAGGCAATTACAGAACAAGAAGTAAAACCTGGGGAAAATACTGCAAATGAAACACTCTTAAAAAACGAACAGGAATTACATGTTTTACAGTCGAGCAGGTGAGTCCCCCATCTCAGAACGTACAAATATCGCCCCGCAGGTACAGCAGCCTCTATTACATATTTCATTAATTCATACCATTTTGCACGCTCTCATCTCTCCAGTAATAATATTGCCTCATGCTGCAGGGCAGCCAGCGTCCATCATGCATAGTGTCTACACTGATCTCAGTGTTTCATGGAACAGCAAGTGCAGTGTGCCCACACACACATGCAGACACACAATACAACAAACTCCTCAGATGTAATGTGCTGTCCTGGTAAATTAGGAGCCTTTACCTGTTAATGATCTCCTTACAAAACTATGTACCATGAACTCAAACAGCCTGAGTATTAAAACAGCTCAGTATTAGTCAAACTTATTAAACCTCACAGTTGATATCATGCAGTATAAGCAATGGAGAGATTAACTTCATTTTCTGACAGAATTCCAGTCATATGTTTGCAGTAAAAAGCATTTCTTTGACAAACTTAAGAACAGTGCATCAGCAGCTGTCTTTCCACACTGTCAGGCTTAGTCGAACACAGTGAAGAACAGGATGAATAATAGTCATTTTCTCAGCACTGAGTATTAAAGTGGTGGGGGTGTGGGGGAGTTTTTAGGATGCTGTTTGACATTAGAAGAGAAAAGGGGAGAGAAAGACATGATTAGTCACAGGTGTTCTGGCTGCTGACGCAAACTCCTCATGCTGGTCACCGGGTACGTTCATGTAAAAAAAGGACTCATTCCAGCGCTGGGATGAGTGGGCAGTGAAAGATAGTATGATATATGCACTTAGGTAAGAGTTGATTAAAATAAAAAATTAACAGTTGTGTTCAGATTGAATGGTTCATGGAGAGTTCCTCTGGCATTTTCATTGGGGTTCATAAACGTGGGGAATGACTTTGACTCCCTCTCCCTGTATTTAACCATGAAAGTGTCTGCTCGGTATTGAACATAATTACAGGTGAATGTAGCAGGACTCAGTCAGCTGGACAAAAACTACTTCATAGAGCAAAACAAAAGCAAAGGCCCGTGTTTCTAAAAATCAATAAAAGCAATACCCTTACAGAGTTTTATTATATTAGACCAGGATTGATAATGCAATGGTCTGAAACAGAAAAAGAACAAGTGCACTTAAACAGGACTGAATAGTCTGTCTGTGTGAGCGAGCGATGAGAAAGAACAAGAGCAACCGCAGAGGGTAATAATGCAGCTGGAACACAAGTGTTAAAGAAAATAATTCAGTTTGCTTTGGAGAGAAAATGAAGACATGGTGATTTTTGCAGGATTTGTATCCCTTTTTGGTTGAATTAGGCTGTAAAATCTGTCTCATTTTTCTAACCCAGGTATGTCACATCATTACAAGTTTTTATATTTTTATATGTTTTTTTTTTTTCTTCCTGATAACTTTTAAAGCTTGGCATTTTGGCGTGGCCGTTTAAAGCTTCTCTCTTCCTCTAAACACATTACATAAACACATGTGGAGAAGTGCTTCCTGTGATACAATAAGATATTATACGATAAACTTGTATTCACCCCATAGTGGGAAAATATGCAGTGTTACAGCAGCAAAGGCAAAAATAGCAAACATTTGAGTTATCTTACCTGAGAAAAATGTAGGTATTTGCAACTGTAAAAAATATCTAGCCTGTCAGTATTGCCCATTTAGGTAGCATTGAGTTATTGTCCGTTAGTTGTGCTAAAATAACTAGACCACTGGGAGCAGGTCTGGTTAAACAGTCTGACAGCAGCAAGAAGGAAGGACTTGCAATATCTCTCTGTCTCACACCGTGGGTGAAGAAGACTGTCACTGAAGGAGCTGTCCAGCGCTGTTACAGTGCTCTGCAGGGAGTGGGAAACATTGTCCATGAGAGACGATAGCTTTGCCATCAACCTCCTGTCCCCCACCACCACTACAGGGTCCAGAGGGCAGCCCAGAACAGAGCTAACCCGTGACCAGTTTGTTCAGTCTGTTCCTGTCTGCAGTTGTGATGCTACGGCTCCAGCAGACTACTCCATAGAAGTCAGATAGAAATACTGAACTCCTGTTAAACTTGTGGATGACTTTTTAGTGTTCTTATTCCTCAGCTCTAAGTCACAAGCACAAATAAGCTTTCAATGATACATGTTAGAGAAGTTCCTCTTATACAGAAGCCTGAAGTAGACATGCATACACACATATCATAACCACCTATGACAGCTTTTCTCTGGAGGGTCACAGCTGAATTCAAAAGTAAAGTGTAATAACAGATAGAACAGTAGTGTGCTAAATTATTTTAAAAAAAAATAAAAGGCCATCTAAAAAAATTATATATTTAAGGTAGTTTTCAAAAATATATATATATCTTAGTGAAGATCTGCCATCCTTGTGAGGAGTGGTGGGGTGGCACTCTAGCGCCCTCTATTGACTAGCCTTCACCTCTGGTCACTATGCCACAGTGGCCTACACTAATGAAGTAACTTAGGTCTATTTCTGTGGTTGTATTGTACATTTAGAATTCTTGGAGTCAAAGTTAAGACCAAGATCTGGATGAGAGGATGAAAACTCTTCTAAATTTATAATGCAAACATGTTATGATGGATTGAATGATAAATAAATAGATAGAAAGAATGTATGAATGAACTCTTATTCCTGATGTATAGTGCCTCTCTGTAATGCAGCAGTGGAAGAATATTAAGTCTCCACTTAAATCAAATACCTGTTGGCTGTGTTTGGCTTTAATAGAGTAAAATATCGTATATGCCATCTTTTAGGAGCAAAACGTGATTTCACAGGGTTAGTTTACTTGGCTGAATTCAAGAAGCAGTGAAATTTGGTTTTATTACAGAGGGAGACAGTGCTATAAAGAAAATATGGAGCAACAGGGCAGAAGGAGACAAAAAAAGAAGACTGCTGTGTTTCTCCAGGGTTTGAAAACGTCATTTTTCACGGTCAAAGTCATGGACAGAACAGAGTACAAACTGCAGCTGAAAGGGACTACAGTATTATCAATCGGATGTTGTCCAACGGGGCTGAAGAAAGGAGACTATCATGGGGAACTGACTGCAAGTTTTGAGAACATAGAGGGAAATGCCTTTTCAAGGCAAGCCAGAGTGTAATACGACGCCAGAATCTTTCAGAGAAGTTCCGAGATTTTCAATCAGAAGTTGCTGCACATAAAGTTAGAGCACTTTGAAAACTTCTCATTATTCCCTGTTGAAAATGCAGAATTTATAACACACGTCACCAGATACTGTTTGATGTGAACATCATGGTCACATGCTCCTTTGACTATGGGACAGTTCCTCATTGAAGGCATCTTTCATCATTTCAAAGACCCTCACTTGAAACAGCTGCAATAATGAAAAACATTCTGATCATAGATGGCTTTGCATCGGATTTCATCGACCAAAAATGAATGTCAGATCCAAATAAGCCACAGCCAGAACCCAACACCCACACCTGAAAATAATAATCCAAACTTTTTTTTTGTTTGATATCAGGATACCGTTGGCAAAACTATGCACACCCCCTGTCTTTTTAAAGTCCAGTTCTCTGGTTTCATTTTGACATTTCTCTCAGGACACCAACAATGGATGCAGGATCAGATATCATCCTACAGATCTAAAATTTGAATATCCAGAGCTCAAAATAAAGCTGTTTTGCTCCATTATGTTTGGAAACAAAAAGCACATCACAAACTTTAAATCCCAGGGCGTGCCAGAGACATCTCTTATAAATCACATTTTATCCAACTCTGGCAAGGACTCACTTTAAATCCCCTAAAGCTTGATTCTGAAGTAGTTTTGAGTCTCATCAAGCTGCTGGTGGTTGATTTTATACGTCTAAATAAAACATTCTGCTGATTAGACAGAAAAACGGCAAGCAGATTGTTTTTCTCTGTGTAAAATCAACACTGATTGTATGCTTGCTCTTCAATGGTCGCATTAAATAAAGTGTTAATTTATTCACAACACATCTACAGTAGCAGACTAAGCAAAATACTGAAAGAAGAATCACACAAAGTTATCATGAAGTAAAATCTGAGCTTAGCTCTATCCCCGTCATTTGACTGAATCCAAAACGGAGCATGTTGCAGGTGTCTCAAGACAACAGTAAATTTTGCCAGATCTCTGAGCAGTGCAGGGATTTAGAGATGGGTAATCGTCCAACAGCAACCTCACCAGCTCCAAAGAGACAGACTGGTTCATTATTCTGAGAAAAACTACATTAATTAGTTGCCCACCTTCCTGTTGTTCTCCTTAAGGCCTTTTTCCCTCTGTTATCATTAGGTAATCATGTATGATTGTCCTGGGGTGTAAACATCAAGCTACAAAGTAAATCATCATAATGAGGCTTGTAAGGTCTGTGCAATTGGTCCTCCGGGGGAAAGATTGACTATAGCTTCTGTAGGATACTGGTGAGCGGTATTTGCGTTCTTCTTGAGTGCATGGTATTCAAAAGGCTAATGGAGCTCATGGTAAGCAGAGATTACACCAGGGGTGTCCTGTCAGAGCAGCTCATACAGAGATCGCTGAGGGCCTCATCTAATATGTGCTGAAGGAGTAGAGAGAAAAACATGAAATATTCTTCCAGCAACTTCGTCAGCTGAGATGGTATCTGACATTTCCTTTTCACAAGGACATGGGGTTTACATTTAGTGATATTGGAGAGGCTGGGGGCTTTGAAGCTTGTGTGGTGATCCCAAAAGAGTAACATCAGTACATCATGTCACAAATGGAGGGAAAAGATGCCAGAGATATAATTAACTGTTCCCACTTTTTTATGTATTACCATAGACTGTAAATACTATGGACAACTTGGTTCCGCGTCCCGCCAGTATACGGATTTGAAGCCGAAAAGCCCTCGGTATTTCCGTGTTTTTCTCCATTTCCTAAAACCAAAATTGCGCAGTAGCATTGTACGCATTCGGCGGGAGTGTCACCAAGAGTTGCTGTGATGACGCTCGGCTCAAACAGCGTATCCCCTGGGTGAGCTACACAATCTTTGTACACCCATAGGCTGTATCAGGTGTCAATCATAGAATAACTTAACTTTTAAAAATGGAGCTGTACAGAATAAAAGATAACTTGAGCACAAACCCGTCTTACTGTAACTACATGTGAACATCACAACCAGGGGGAATCTATTCTGTTTTTTCTAAAGTTTGTCCACAGCCCCATAGGGATTGTTGGAGGAGGCAGGATTTATGACCTATACTGCAGCCCGTCACCACAGGGTGCTGTTCTCAGGGTGGCTTCACCCAGCAAGGAGGCAGACAGCATCCACTCTATATACAGTCTATGTGTATTACCTATTCCTTACAAAGGACTTCTTAAACATATACAATACAATTTAGAGTATAAGGCACACTTACCTTTTAAAATATTTTGTTCTAGCATTTTTCCATCTTAAAAGGATGCTATGTCCTATACAAAAGTGAAACAACTATAACAGTATACAATGCAAAGAGCATGATTCTATTGTCTCGAGGTGTTTTACCCAGAAGATGGCGCCACACAAGCTTTGTCACAGACATACACCAATATCCCAGTCACCATAAGTCACTGCATACTTGACAAGATTATGATTTGTCTCCTTATTGTATATTGCAAGTGCATTACCTCTGTTAAGTCATTGAACAGCTGAGACAGAAAGGTTTAAGACACTTTTCTTTTGTTTTCATAGACAACACCCTGCTCTGAGCACAAACATGCTTGGACACAGTTAGACAGTTCCCATGTCGCTGTTGTGACAGAACAAGATAAACGCCAAATCAAGTTTAGCTTTGACGGCTGTACTTTTGCTCAAAACTGATGGTTTGGTCACAAAGTTGCTCCCCCCTCTCCAGCCCTGATTTATGTGTGCAAGGACAGAGAGAGAAACAGAGAGAGAGAGAGATAGTTGTTGCACAAGTGTACACCACTGTGCAAATGTTTGCTATTTATCATACAGTGACATTGTGAACATTATTGTGAATTTATGAGGGCTTCTCCTGCATAACGGCAACATTTCATGACAATTACTGAATTGTGTGCATTGTTGTGCTGAATTGATGGACCACCCTCTGTACTGTTATCAGTCAAAGTGACAGGTGGTCATCAAATGTTCCCTCTTTGTTCAATACATTTTCTCAAAGGCAGAAAACATCCTGTTATTGCAAACTCCGGGGCTGGGCAAGCACACTGATAGGATGAGTGTAATCTGGTAGATTTATTTAAGCATATTTGCTGACAACAGCTGCCTGCTGCTGGCAATGAATTTGATGGCTGTGAGGATCTCACCAAAATGTTTAAGTCGTGAAAATTCAAAACCAACGCAGTTACCTGCAAGATGCTGAAACTGTCTTTTTTGAGTTTGGTCATTATATTGTTTTATTATGAGGCCCTCTGTCTCAGCCGCATTTTCAACAATAAAAGCAAACATTTAATCTATAAATATATATATATACCAAGGACTTTTGAACAAAACACATGACCACCAGAGGCCAGTCAGCTTAAATGTCTGCCATAGTGTATATAATTATAACCAAGATGCACATAAAGCACTTTAAAACACAGGCATTCAAATCGATATGTTTGCAGCTGAAGCACTGAAGACATTTAGGGAGTCCTGACATAAGTAGACTTAAAAAATACAACATTTTTAAAGACACTTAAGAGTCATATCAAAAAAGCCAATAAAGTAACAATAACAATTTAAAATAATTGTTATTGCAGTGATAAGGGCTGCTTTATGCTCCTGTAATTACTCCTCCATTAGTTTACAAAATGTCTCCTACTCCCAAAGCACGATCCTCTGGAGTGCTTTTCTACTGCCTGTGTGTTCACAACTACAAACCCCTCTCTCTCTCTCCCTCCTTTTTACCCCACATTTCATACACACTTGTGGTGCCTGCAAAGCCGTCCACCGCTCCCTCCCACAATGAGCAAGAGCTGGCTGCAGGACACAAACCCCTGGAGACTAACTATCTTAATTAGCCAGTATTCCTTTTTCCAAAGAGAGGCATGCCACAGCAGAGGGCACAGTGAGAGAAGGCTGACCCGCTGCTTGTCACTGAAAGCTTAACCGGGTTAGGGGCAAAGTGAGAACATCTAACAGCGGGGTGATCAAAGACGGAACACACAAATCAATGTGGACTGAACAAGTGAGCACAAACCTTCTCTACAGTACGAGTGTGTATGTGTGCAGTCACACACATTAAAAACTCCAGAGCCTGTACCAAATTGAAACCATTTAAGCTTGAAAAACAGCTGGACTGCTGAGATATCACCTCGTCTGGACACCTCAGCGAGTTTATTATGGATATCCGAATTCAAATAGCTCTTCCTTTTCCTCCCTTCCCATACTGCTGACAGTTTCATCGGCCTCGGCCATGTGTTATCGAGCAGAAGAAGAAACCAAAGCACCTGAGCCTATAACCACAGAGCCTTTGAAGGTATTAGGATGCATATTGACAATACAGGACCCTGGGCAATTACAGCCCTTATCTTCCTGCCTGACAAACAGTCTGCTTCATTATGGGCTTTTAGCTGACACCTTACCTCAGCCTTCCCCATTGAAATATCACTGCTAATGCAAGAAATGAGACTGCTAAGAGGTTTTGTTAAATTTATCTGGATTGTTTAAGCATAATTTTTCTTTTTTATAATGCTTTTAAAGCTTCCATTAGTGAGAGGATGCAGTAAATGACAATTGAAGAAACTGTACGGAGGATGAGGAGGAGGAGGATGAATAGATAACTACTGAGGGGAAAGCAGGGCGCATGCTTGTTTGAATTCTTTCAAGTAGATAACAATTGAAATTACTAAAGAGGACTCATTTTGCGGCTAAATTGAGTGAAAGGAATTATTCTGAAGCTTACAGTTTTGGTTCTTTATTAAATGTTTTAAGAATACCTTTTGTGTCAAGGGTAAAGGTAAGGGTTGAATTCGTACCTGGACTGCTGCATGTTTCTGGTAAAAGGAAACTTTATCACTGAAGAAAGTAAGTGTGCCTATTTCCACCTCAGAGCACCCTTTGGGGATGATTATGCTAATGTTATCTGTCATTGTAAGTCAGTTCAGTTTATGGACAAGTAAAAATCTAAAAAGTTTCCATTTTTTACTTCGCTTATAAGAGAACTCTTCTGGTAAAATATAAAGAAAATGTTGCATAAGTCTCTAGGTGGATTCAGCTAAAGTGCATGGATAGTTCTCGCAAACATCAGACTAAGAATACTCACTGGATTTAAGTAAAAGGTCCAGATGCACACGGTAAACTTAAGTCACATCATACAGAGCAGACTGGGAAATGTCCTCAAAGTAGGAGCAACCATGGATACCATTGAAAATATACCATGAGCTGATCAAATCCTCGGTCTCCCACCTCTAGAAAAGGCGGGTCGTTGAGTGCAGTAAGTTCAGTGAACTTGCCAAAACTGATTCGGCAGCAGGATCCTTCTATGTGCAGTTCTCAAATTCTGATTAAAGGAGCACTATTTTTGTATTTCAGCTAGCTGTAGCTACTGCCGCTTCCATTTCTTCAATACATTCTGGTTACAACGATGACATTTCAGGTGACTGATTAGTTGTGATAAAATTTGGAGGCTGCCTTTTTTCCTTCCCTCAGAATACTTGCAACACATATGTGGCACATACTAATTGTGTTATCCTCCTCTCAAACTGTGTGACATTATTTTTATTGTATAAGCTTATTGATATTTAAAACAAGAACATCTATCAACTGTTTGAAACAAAATTTTAACATTAGAGTACGTGGAACAATGAAATATTCCCATTATTAGCTGATAAATTACTAGACCCATTTCTAGGTCTCACTCCGCTAGGTAAGAAAAAAGGACCCCCTGTGCATCAGCAAAAAAGCTAACACTAATGCTGATCATTTTTAATCAAAAAATGTAACAGAATTCAGTGTATCCCACAATGCACCAACACAGCCCACTCTTATCAGCTGATGGCATCAAACTGCTAGTGGACTTCTTCAAAGACAGCTTATCCTGCAAAATAGCCCCTTGCTTCCGATGACAGGACTTAAACTAATATGAAATATCAAACAACATCAAAATAAATATCAAATGTCAAATTGTTTTATCAGAGATTTCACACGGCTGTTTAAAATGTCATTAAAACCCCTGCGGAACTGGCACTTGGTCCAAACTGTATTCGTCTTGGGTAATGTGCATATTTTTGGTTTGGGGATGCTACAATTAGTACGACTACAAAAAGATTCTGCTTTACATCCTCTAGATTTTACGTTTCAATCTTGTGGGAAACTTGAACATCTGACCGGTTACCAGAAATTTTCTTTTGTGATGAAAAATTGGAAATTCAGTTCAGATGACTGACCTTATAAATTGGATGGAGAGTGACAGGCTATGGGAACTGAGAGTGGGGTTTATTGGGGTAACCAGTGTTTTGGGTAATATGTTGTACTGCGCAATAAAGAGAGATTGATTTAAAAAAAAATCTGCCATTTGAAATAGTATTGTGTTAAACATATAAATTATACCCTAATGTTTGTAGATGGTGCAGTTTCTTACGTTGAAAGCTGTGTGTTACACTTCTCAGCTCCCAAAGATGTCATTTTTTAAAGTCATCTACTTGTAGCTGTACTACATTCTTGATTCTACATAATTCATCTATCAATTCATGAATGAATAAGTACTCATTAAACAAGTGTGTCCCAGTTAGTTCAAATACACTTCTACAAACACACATACTAGAGATGCGCTGTCTATGGTGCTGAAATCTCTCAGAAAACCGAGGCACTGATTTTAGAGCAGAAACTCTAACATGTCCAGCGTCTCACAGTCTTCTGATCATGTGCCTTTTGTGACAGTAACATATAAGGGTTTGTTTTGGAATGGGTCTTTCGGTGCAGTCCTTAAAACCAATTTCAGTGCTGATTGAGTGGAATGTTTCCCCCCCTTTTCTTTCCTCTTTTGAAAAAAAAAGAAAAAAAATCAAAGTTCAAGCCCATCAGCTAATGAGCTCTAATTACAAATGGTGTCTTATTGTACCTGCCATGTGACATCTTATGATGTTACCTTGGGAACACAGCAGGTGCCATCCTGCTGTGTCGCTATAGGGAAACTGTGTACAATATGGCCATTAATTAAATTTGTCAAAGCAGCACATCAAAGATAGAGGTTTACCCCCTTGCTCAGGGTTTCTGTTGTTTTTTTTTTCCCAGTTTCTGATAGCTGCTGACTCCAGAGTCTAGTTTGTATAAAAGAGATAAATGGGTAGTTATGAACCCCCAGTAACCCCAAAAGCAAAGGCCAAGGTTTTTGCTGCATTAACATCAAAATTAAAATCAACATTTTATTCACAGTTAAATTGTAACATCCCTTTTCTGCTTAATTTCACATTAAACTAAACACCGTTTTACAGTTATGTTGAAATATTTGCATCTGCAGTTGGCATGTTGACATAATGTATAAAATAAGCATAAAAACCTGTTTTTTAGGGTCTTCTGCTGGGTATATTTTTAAACCTGTTGACATTTTATTTGCACCTATCTGATCCTTTAGCTCTGCTAAAACCCATACCATGTTCCTTTGCTCCTGTCTTCATCAATCTGGATTATATCTCATTTTCATCTGTTATTTTAACCTCACTCCCTGTTTTTTTTTTTTTTCACTGTTCTTTTCACAGTTTTTCCTTTTACTCTTTTTTTTCTTTGCAGGCGACTGGTCAGACATTACCAAAAATGTTTTATGCTCTTCAAAGATTAATTATCCACCATGTTGTTTAACGATTTACAGTTTTGAAGGGAAATATATTTCTGCCACAGTGTCAACAGGCAAAGGCGAACGTGCTGGAACTCCTGATGTGATTTGGAGTTACGAAAAATTAATCATGGTTGTTACGATTTTTGACCAATCAAAATCTATCATTAAACACACCCAGGTAATAGAGTTTAACACTTGTACGCGCAATAAGCATCAGGTGTGTATAATATATGATCAAACTGCTGTAGGGATCTTTGTTTTCCCCGGGTAAAGAAATATCTTCGGTGAAGTGGTCTGAAGGAAGCAGGCAAAGAGGAAATAGTTCAGACAGACAATGTTTGCAGAGGACAAATAAAAAGCCGTACAGAGTGTGCCGAGGGAGAAGAAGAAACTGAGTAGAAACTGCAGAGATGGCTCAGCAGGAGAGAGGCCTGACTGCAATGTACACAGAGTCTGCCTCAGTTTGCTGTAAATAAAAGAAGAATTCATATGATTAGGTAAACATTTCATCACTGTTGCTTTCATTTTAAAAGTTAATCTAGGCATGAATCATGTATGCAAGAATAAATCATTTCCATCTTTTTAAATCCGCACACTTATTTTGAAGATAACTTCTTCCGATAAAACAGGCTGATGCTTATCCCCTATTCATTTTTTTTTCTCCATCTCACTCTCTCTGCCGCTCTCGGTTTGAATCTTTATCAGTGGATTAGTGACTGTGCCTCGCCTCAGTGTTAAAATGGGGTCAACTATTCAAATTTCCACCAAGCCCCTTTGAGTGAAGCATTTCCAAACATAGTTTCCACTGTCCAGCTTTGTGTTGTATAAGCGCTCTTTTGACACTCAGAGCTATAAAAGAGCCGCAGTGCCTCCGGACAAACTGATCAGCTTTAGTGTCCGCAGCAGTTAAAGAGCCTGTACAGGTTGTGAAGCAGGTTCCTGCTATCTGCATGCTTATAAAACATTTACTATCACAAGAAGCCTCACTGGGCCTCATTGGTGCTAATTAATATCCTCCTACTTTTTTTGTCAGATCGGATCCTTATCTCGGATTCTATATTGGATGTGTAAACATCCTCCTGGGTCGGTTGTGAGAAGCAGTGGGAGTCTGTTACATGCAAGTCCTCTAGTTTCCAGAGAGTCTCCATCTATCTGCCTCCTGCCATGAAAACGGCAGGCAGCCCGTCTCTCAAACGTATCATTTGTGCAATTATAAAATGGATGTGGATTTTCTCCAGCCCATTAAAACTGGAACTCTGAGCTCCACAAGAGCAGTGAATTTCAGTCTGCCTGTCTTTAGACAGTGTGATGAAATATTAAATTGGAGCAGCATGTTTCAGTGATTGGAGTGTCATTAGTTAGTTCAAAATCATATAATGAGACCTACATTTGAATTCAGTTTGGTTTGAGTTTGATTATACACCCAAAAACAGCTTAGAAAAGCTAAGAAAAAACAGTGCTGAGGGTAAGAAAACTAAAACTAAAACATGGATGAGACAGTACAATTAAATTACTGTCGAGCAACACAAGAGAGCACTCAAAGTGTCTGGGTGTCAGTGCATGGTGCTCTTCATCACTGTCATAGCAGCGATAGGCAGCAGTGCAGGGACGTAATGTTTCAGTCGCTATGGACACCGGTTATCCCTTGCTGCATGAAGGAAAAAGACACTTCAACCTGGAAGGATGGTGTTTCTGCCAGGCTGAAGCCTCAACCTGAAATCTAGACATTAAAAGGAAATAAGAAGACTCGCACAATCAGACTTATTAGTGTACCCCCTCATACTAACAACCAGGCAGCAACGTGAATGAAAAAGTCACACAGATCAGAAAAAAATGGAAACAAATACTAAAATTGCATTGGCAAAAAAAACAAACCTCTTAAATAATAAAAACAAAAGATTTGAACATCTCTATATAAAGACAATGAGTCACCTCTGGTAGCAAAGAGCAACACTTGAAGGCACCATGGGCTTTTACTGTGGAGCACAGTTTATTTTTGTTGTGCCATTTTCTGCTTTGGTATAGAGAAAGCAGAGAAGACAAATGTAGCTTATTACACATGGATGCTAACAATTTATATATTTTTTTTTTTGTTGATATGTTGTGGGACAGAAAACCATGTTACAGCTTACTGGTTAGATCTGAAAGATACACATAGGGCTCTATTTTTGTGCCTCACCTGCAGCGTGGCGCAAGCAAGGCATTTGTTTATGTTGTGATCTGTAAATATCTTGTTAACACCATCATGTGACTATTAACTGGATATTGGATTTAATGTGGTTTAATATGTTCATTCGGTCAAGCATGCCAAATGCGCTCATCAGATAAATTTACATCAGAATATACGGATATAGATATAAATGTATGTGATGACCAGGTAGTTGCACTTAATATTAGTTGTTGTTTATTATTTATTGCACTGAAATGTGCCTGACACTGTGGAAACCTGCTCATGAGGCATTGGTGATGTGTGCACACCGCTGTGCCTGTCTGCCAAATCACCACTTGACCAGCTGCGCTCTACCTGCACCGAAAGCTGGCCATGTTTTCAGCGCACTTTCTGCGCCGCCCGTGGGCACGAAAATGTCTTTTGGCATTGATGACACCTCCCCCTGCTATAATGCCACACCTGGATTGGTGCATCTCGGTGCACCTCACGCTGCTGGTGGACATGAAAATAGAGCCCATAATCTGTTTTTTTGTGAAGGAATAACAAGAACTGTCCTTGAGGCATATGGTCGTACAATTGATTGAAAGCATTTCCACCCCGTGGTGTTCTCCTACCTCTATATAATGTAGTGTAGTCAAGGTAGATGCTTGAGTTCCTTGTTTAAAAAAAAAAAAAAAAAGGAGACGCAATAACAAAAAAAGTGTTTCACTGAACACAGTAAATCAGTGCTTTATCATTGCGTCTATATTGGGATATTGGGACTCTGACTTTGACAGCAGGACTCTTTTGCTTTACGAGGTGCATGACTTTTACCAGGCTGGCCACTGAAGCTGTTCATTTTTTGACCTGCTGTATTTTGCTGAGTCATAGTCACCTGTGTAATGATGTTCTGCATTAATGTCCTAACACTAAACTGAACACTAATCTGATTATTAAAGTCTTTCTGATCATTTAAGAGGTCAAGCACACAGGTTATGCTTATTAGCGCCCTCTAATCTCTTAAAATGGAGTTACTCCTAAAACTAATTTGAACCATGAAAGTATGCAAACAGCCTGATAAACAGCAAGAGGGTTATCAAAGTGAGGGCCGGCATCCTTATTAAGAAGTGGGCTTGTGATCTTATTTCCAATTAGAAAAACTTTAAACTTTAAAACACAAAGCAGTAAGAAAAAGCAGCGCCATCATCACAGACTGCAGCGCTAGAGGAGAAATTCAGCAGATTTTAATGCCCAGAGTCTTCATCTTTCATTTATTTATGGGTCAGTCTTCACTTCATGCAAAGCAGACTGCATGTCTATTAAAGCACTATTTATGGTATGGTTTTAATCAACTGTAAAATAGGACATTGGGTTATTAGCAATGAAATTAAAAGAGCATGAAACAAGGTGCTATACAAATTGCTGACACAACATTATTAAAGTTGCAAATTCGTAAAAGAAGCTGCTAGGGAACAACCAAGGGATTGAGAATGTCAGCAAACAGCTGTTTTTGAGGATGCCCCATTCAGACTTTAATATCTCAGAGTTCTGCTGCATCTATAAAGTAATTTTATTAAACCTGAACTCTGTGGTGATGCTGCACACTTCAGAAAATCCAATTTTCAACTCATCAATTCATGGATTAAAAAAGTTATTATCCTTTTGTTGCTGATGAGTTTGGAAATGAAACTTTGGAAACAGTGTTAAGATGATTTGATCTATCTTACACCTTGTGTTTACTTTTTCAATATCTTCATATTTTTGTTATTAATGATATTGAAGAACACATTCCTGTACGTTTGTATTTGTTATCCCTCACATATGACCAATTTCTGTGCCAACAGTAAGCCTGAACATCTGAGTAAACGTCTGCATTTCTGTCTCTCAACAGGGACACACGCCACCAACCAGACCCCCATGTGTGTGTGAGTGTTTGTGGGAGATTCCTGTTTGAAAAAGAACCTCCTGTCAACCAGTCAGCCTTTAAAGATTGTAAGTATTTCTTCTACTTTCCCTTTCTTTCTTGGTTTAATATGTAAAAGGCTGCACATGGTTCCTGACTGATTCCTGTGTTAGTATCACACTGTGAGATTGTTCATACTGTATAGAAGTTAAGCCTAATTTAAAGCTAAAAGGGCGATTAGGCAGATCATGAATCGTGTAAAAAGATTTCTCAGTCCTTCCACTTCAGTTTGATCCAGCAAAAGAATATAAAACCTAATCGTACAAGGATTTAAAGCATAATCCTTTATCAATGTGAGCCACAGGCGAAAGAGAAAGTTAAATTTCGCTTAAACGCATAACCTCTTTACAACTGACTAATCATTCTGCTTCAGCGGGCCTTCCAAATGAATCACGCATAATTAATCCCCCTGCTGTACCCCCTAACCTTTCTCGTCTGTCTCTTTCTTCCTGAAGAAACTCAACTTCTTCTCTATTAGAGGTGGTGAACTCTCTCTCATGTAAAGCAGCCAGTGTTGTCATGAGTTGCAGTGACGGTGCAATCACAGTTTTGCGTGTGTCCTCTGCAGCGTTTGCTAGCATCTGCAATTCTACATTGAATCTCTGCCAGTGAGTTGGGAGCTAATGCAGAGTGGTGGCTCCTCTGTTGTAGTCAGGTACATCAGCCAATGGCCATAGCGGGGTGTGTGAGGGAGTTTAATAATGCTGCAGACTGAATGACTGCAGCCAACAAAGTAATAAAAAATGGTGCAGTCATAACCAATCGTGTGGAAATGTCCTGTTTGAGCAATTTATAAACTTTTCTGATTATTCTCTTTTAGTTTAATTAGATCACTTCAGACATTCTTTCATTTGCATGAAAAAAACAGCACAAATGCCATTTTGTGAAAAAGAAACACTACCCAGGTCATAGAAAGTTTTCCATAATTAGCATAGGAAACACGACACCCACAAACTTTAAAAACATGTTGTTTACCCTTGAAGCACTTTGCCATCATAATCATCTCATGCCCCCATAATGTATAAAGAGAGAGGTGGCCTCTTATGCTTACTGAATCACTACTATCTATTCTGTAACTCTTCATATAGGTCAGTATCAGGAACAAAAATTCTTCCACTTGAGCTGAGAGAGGGTTGCATGCTGGGATGACATTGAAAACATATTTTAGAGGTGATTAAATTGTAAACTCGCACCCAAGAACTGTCAAAACAGAACAAAGTGATCATATTCCCAGACTAAATTTTCTGGCTTTTATATATGAAAATGTCATCTCTGCTGCAAAATAATACAAAACCTTTCATACTGGCTGGGATTTTCAAGCACTCTCAATAAATAATATAGAGTTGGCCTCAGTAGCTAACTTCTGTGATAATTTAAAGTACCCCTCCGATCTTTTTTTTTTTAGTGGTCTAGTTGTAATGAGGAAGTTTTTAGCCAAAATTACGTTACCTGTGTCATTTTCAAGGGCTTTCCTTCTACAGAGCTCCAGTAGCTCATTAGCAATTTACCTCTGAGTCGTGGGCGGAGATAGCGCTGCTCTGCACACTCCTCTTCTCGCTAGCTTGCAGCCTAACATTGCCAGTACAGCAGAAGCAGCAGGTAACACAGGAGCTATTCAGTTCTCAGACACTAATATCTTTGGGGGTATGATGAAAACTAATTCTGTAGCTTTCTTACAAGCATTGCAAACCACAGACGCAGAGCTGGCGTAAGCGAACTAAGCGCCTGCTTTGGGCTCTACTGCCAGTACGGGGCCCCCGAGAGTGATCAAAAAAAAGATTTAATTTATATTATTTTTTGCATACGAGTGATGCTTTTTGTTTGATCACATATATTATTGTAAAAATAAAATAAAAAAATTTAGAGCTGCTGCTGATGGAGGCCTATGATCCTTACTGCCTATATGTCAAGGCTCCGCTACTGTTATGAGCCTCCTGCTGTGTAATGTGCACAGAGCATCCTGAATGTGTTACATTTTGAGATTAAAAACCATATGTGGCCCCCTAAACATCATTCATCAGTCATTCATTGGTATCATTTGTATGTTTGCATTGGTATTATTTATTTTATTACCTAGGCCACCCCCCTTAAATGTGTAAAGACATGTCAGGCACATTAAATCTATACTGTAGTAGGTGTGTGAATGATCAACAATCAATATTATTGGGCCCCAAAATCAATTTTTGCTTAGGGCCCCATTGAGGCTTGGAAACACACACACACTTATTTTGACAACAAATTTTGACTACCCTTGTATTAAGGCTTAAGTTACTGCACTTGTGTTTCACTTTGTAGATTTAGTGGTTACTGTTGATCATTTGTCTAATTGCTAGTTTTGCTTGTTTACTGAAGGTCACAATATTAGCATGTGTATTCTTGTCGGCCCTTGTCGTTGTGCTTCTCCACCGTCATACATGAGGCTATGCACAGTGTTTATTATGTTAACTTGGTCTCAGAAATAAGTCAGCCAGTAAGCATTAAGTATAGCATTATTATCACACACATACACAGAAAGGAACATATTGCTGGGGTTACCATGCTTACATTTAACGTCAGAGTACAGCTGACTAAGATGCAAATATTTTGGTCAAGACTTACAGGATGAGGCAAAAGTTTGACCACATGTAGTTGCAGGTAAAGATTCCAGTCAAAATCATCCTGAGGCAGGTAGATATGTTGGTGCTAAACTTCATTGCACTCAATCCTCGAGCTATTGAGACATTTCATTGCAGACCAAAGAAACAGACTGACAGGAAGATTGACAGGCTTACTCCTGTTAGCATAGTTAAAAAGTTTAGTTTAAATGACAGGCAAACAAACACAGGAGACTTTTTCCCCCCTTCCTATCTTGTTTCAAAGCTGCACACTCTCACATCTCACACTCCTGAAAATCCCAGCATTACCACAAGGGAAGAGAGGGGGCAGCGTCCTTCAGCACTTCACAGAGATTTGAGCAAACCGGCTGAGTGGAGAAGGCCACAGAGGACCCGATGTGTCGGGGATAGACAACACAGATAGAGCAACAAAAAAAATCCTCTGATCCGCCGAGGGGAATATAAACAACTACTCAAGCATATGGAAGGCTTTGCTATCACAAGCAAGGAGAGACAGGATTGTTTTTCACCTGCGTCTGCCTCTGAGTGCGTGGTATGGAATAGTGATGCTTCTGTTGGACCGCTCCTGTGTGAACAGTTGGCTGGCTTTTAATGAACGCTGAATGTATGAGAAGAGTAAAGGTGGAAAAAGACCGGCAGGTACAGACTGATTAAGTCAGAGCTACTGTTACATCATAAAAAAATCTTCAGACATGACTAATAGCGTATAAAGGTCAATGATTCTTGGGCTGCCTGGACTAATTCCTGGATAAATGTTGAAATTACTTGCAAAAACACTGATTAAAATGAGGAAGTAGGAGGCAGAAACTTGTACCCCGTAGAGTCATCGAACTGCCCAGAGGCAGATTGGAGACCTGCTCAGAGACCATTTCAAACCTGTTCAAGGTTTTTATTCAGTGGAGATGTATGTAAATAGAGACAATATCCTGCTTTATGTTCACTTTAAAGTAAAAAAATAGCAATCCCCTCCTGTTAAGTGGTTATTACTCCTTTGATCTGTCACCAAAACAGGAGCTAAGCTGGTTCGATAGTCGAATTGATCCAGTTGGTTTAATAACGATCTGCAGTTTGACTTTTTTTCTCTGTCTGCCATGCTAAGCAGAAGGCTTTGCCATGATAGATCTCCTAGCTCAAGAAATCCTGTTAGAAGTTATCCAAGCCAACATGAGTGGAGCAAATCCATCAAAGGCAAGGCTGGATATCCTGGTGGGGAACATTTACCAGTTCAAAACCAGTTCGCTGATCTTCTGTCTCTGGTACATTTGTCTTATCTCAACACTGTGACCCTTGACTTGCTTTGTTGTGGCCTCATGGAGCATCTCCTGCACTCAGCTTTTACTGATCTTTTCTTACACGGCTCTATCTCTACTTCTCTCTCTCAGTTCTCTGTATACAGTGGACATAATTTCTTTTTTCTCCGTGTGGATAAACGGTCTATGTTGGTGTGGTTACCGCAGCCATCAAACACTGTGGATTTTCTTATCTTTGCACCCTTGAGTCCCCCCCAAGAAGACTTTCTTCTCCTCTTCACAGATAGAGAGATGCCAGCTAGTTTGGGGATGCTGACACAGCTGAGCCTGTGCCAATGTGTTGTTATCAACAACTGAAGTAAAAATTGAGGCGGGCTCTGCTGTTGCTAATCACAGCTGGCAATTTTTAAAGATTGCAATCAGTCGATCAGAGGTAGATGGTCCACTTGAACGCTGACTTAATTCAGGCCAACTCTCGAACTTTTATAGATCTCAGCAGGATTGCAAAGGTTTGATAAGGACCTGCAATGTGTTTTTACTTTCACCTCATCAACTTTGGCAGCTTCACTGGTGGCCCAAAGTTTCAAATTGCAAAGATTAAGGTACCTATCTGGACTAAGTCTGGCATGTGTAAGCAGAAATCCACAAACCAAATCACAGCAATAATAATCATACAAGTTCTGATAAGACTTTAGAAATAAAGCGGTCAAGTTAGCAATAAAAACAAGAGCACCAGACAAAATTTCCAAAACAAAGCTTTTGGTTTGGTCCTGTTTGATGACTTTTGAAGTGCTTTTTTTTAAAAACAGAATTTGCTCAAAACTACAAAGCTTATCTTTTTGGCACTGAAACTACTTACGCTCGTCAAATAATTTTTTGAAGCTGCTCTTAAAATCCTTCACAATAACAAAATAATCTAGTTTAGTTAGGTGACTTTGAAGCTCAACCTAAGATGAAGGGGGGAATGTGAAAGGCACGTCAACCAAAGACAAAAACTTTAACTTTTAATTATTGGCATTGGGTCATACCAAGGTTACAAGTGTAACTCACCTTAGTAATTGACCATATATAACCTAAAGTGCATTACTAACAGATGTTTGTTCAGTTTTCTGGATGATTGTATGTTTGTTATTCCCAAAGCCAGGAGTTATTTCTCAGTTTTCCATTTGTAAATACCGAGGAGGCAGCAGAATTGTAATCGAGTTTAAGGCAAACTTGAATGAACAAGTAGGTAAAAGTTTTGTGGCATTCAAATTATATTTGAACGTATTGTGTAGTGATATAGTATATAGAAATATGGTATTGTTTTTAAGTATTGTAATCACATTGATTCATGTTATATTGTATAACATTGCATTATAATGCATCATATCATATCGTATCGTGAACAAACTTTTCTGAATTCAAATTTAAGGTTATCTGACTTCATCACTGGATCAAAACACTGAGTTTAAGAGAAGCATCAACTGACTCTGGTTTAGGGTCATGACCCATGTCTGTTTTCATCTTGTCCGGCCACTGCACAAGCTGCAGGTTTTTTCTTCTTTGACAGCTACAGAGAGAGAAAAAGCTGATAAATTGAAACACTCGTAACAATGCTGCTTATTTGTGTGTGTGTGTCTGTCTAACAAGTGTACATCAATGCGTGTGTGATCAGACTCCAGACTCATCAGTGGTGCTCGTCTCCTGTCACAACACTGTCTGACAATGAGCGCCTCTGTCACACTGGGTGACACAGCACTCCAATTAATCACAGAAAAGGACCACTAATGAAGTCGTTATGTATTCCGAGAGTTTTATCTTGACAATCCACTTTTCCCTCTAAAGATACAGAAAGACACGTAAAAGGCTTTGAGGCATTGTGGTAATGGATTAGCTGAAATGGAGTTTGACAAGTGAAATATTGCCCTGATCAGGACATGGTTGAAGTGTTGATGTAATTTTCTTCCTTTTGCTTGTTAAGTTTGGTCTAACCTTAAACATCCATTAAGTAATCTTTTCTTGTGTTCTCTTTTAATGGGTCTAAGAACAAAGTGCTGGAGTTCAAGTTTCTCCTTGAGCAAACTGTCAAAGTCAAAACTGGGTGTTTTCATGGGTCAGGTACTCTTGATTATGAGGATGCAGCCAGCTCTTTTAAAGCATCACTTGTTTTCTTATGGCTTAGAAATAAAGTAGGACATACACCTCTGCATAAACACTGCCAGACTGAAGGTTGAAATGATTCGCTGTATTCTAGACGGACTTGGATACCAATACAGACTCCATCCTAAGCCACCGTGTCCAGGTGAACCACTTACAATGTTGACTAACTATGTCCTTAGTTATAAATTCTGAATTCAGTTAAAATAGAGGCTTCCCTCTTATACTAATACATGTCACTGTAGTTTCTTGTTCTTTGACTCCAGATAGTTCAGAGTCACTCCAAAGCTTTTTCTGAGTAACGAGTCAGGAATAACTACTCACACTAAAATACTCACAGGAGGTGTAGTAAAGCATCCTCTCTGCTGCTGTGAATCATTGATTCGCTGTAGGCTACAGTATGTATGCACTTTCATTAGCTTGTCCTATTTTGGACTGGTTTAAACACACTGCCATCAATGTTACAACACTGCTATGCTGCACTCATTATTGCTTTGATTTAGTCTCTCCCCAGAGAAACATGCTCACTGTGTAGCCTATGGGCTGTTTTGTCACTCTCCTATTAGCACAGCTACTTAGTTAGCCATGCTGGGTGTGTTTGGACTAACCTGGCCCCCTATTGGCAAACATGTCACTTCATTTGTTGCATTTTGCTGCATCTGTGGATAGTGTGTTCCTCTTTCTTAATCTCTCCCTCTCTGCTCCACTTTTGCCGTTCTTCCTTTCCATCTCACCTGACAATAACACTGTCTTATGTCATGGACACTATGGCCAGATAGACCCTCAGGCCTCTGGGAAATGTCCTGGAGCATTACAGACAAAGACTGTGCCTGCTCTAGGCTGTATCACAACTTTTTTCTTGCATATGTTGATTATTTTGTTTCTAAAACGTTTGATCCAACACTCATTTCAGACAGTTTGAACCGGCCTGGTCAGTTACGTAACATAACTCCAGAAACCATACATTGTTTCCTCAGATGGATTGTTGCATTGCACTGTTATATTGTATTTGTACAATACAATACTGTCTGTTTGCCCTCTTACACACAGGGGGCTTGTGTTTGTATCTGTTCACAGTTCGTTCTGCCAACATTTAAGCACCAGAGTTCAGAATTTTGTGATAACTAGCTCAAAGGAAAGTACAGATTAAAGCAAAATTGCCATAAACTCTGGGTCAAACGAGACATATTCAGCTTCTACAAGCTCGCTCTCTCTCCGCTTTTGTCCGCCACTCTGAAAGTTCAAAGACAGCCAGCTCAGTTCCAGACACAATGCCTTCCACAGGAATCTCTCAGGAGGTTTAAAATATCTTCTGTTGTGGCTCCAGTCTGCAGTTGTTGCTTTAGGTCATGATCTCTTGTGTTGGCCTTTCTGAAGTTTTCGTACAAGGGTGACTGTGAAGAAGATAAAATGGATTTTTTTTTTTCTGTATTCTATCGACCTACATGTATCAGAACAAGGATTCAAAAGAAATAGTTTTTAGATTTAATAGTGTAGTCAGTCAAAACAAGATAACAAAGATGGTACATTTTTTGTTTCAAACATTTTTCTCTCTTGTTGAAACCTGGCACAGAAAGACACTTTAGTTGGATATTTGGGTGTTTTGCCCTTCTAGTAGCTGATAAAGCCTTGCCCTACAAGCTAAAGAAATTAAGCACTTGCTTCAGAGGTTTGGCAAACATATGCCATTTAACCATGCACTGTGTAATACACAGTCTCAGTGGAAGATGCAAAAGGACTTCAGAGCCAAACAAGGGGAGACTGTTGTTATGGAAATGCCGGCTCAACCTATAGTGACACAGAGATGGAGTTAAAGCGTGCCTTAAACATCCTGACAATCAAACTACAATATGCTTACCTATCAGTCAGCACAGCCACGTTCCTAAAAGTGCAAATCACTGCCTAATTCTTCCACTAAATATCATCTAAATAGACTTTTATGTTCACTTATTTGATTTGACTGGGTGGCTTAAATGTGGGATTGAATAAGATGTTTAAATGAGAGCAAGGGAGATTCAAAGAATTCAGAAGATTATGTTCTGGATATAAAACCTCCCACTATGTTTTGTGTGTACTCCTCTTGGTTCTGTTTACCAGGTAAATGTTGAAGCAAACAGGAGAAATACGTGGTTTTCCCAACTGAAAACAAACTATAACACTACAATTATATTTTTAATCTCAATAAATGGTCTCATTGGTTTCTTGTTTGTTTGAGTCTTGTCTGGACTATCTGTGATGAAGAAAAAACATACAGTATTCCCCCTATGCCGGCAGTTCTTAAATTAGGCCAATTAGATCTTCATTTCAAAGACTTAAGTGAGAAGAAGAGCGTCTGATGCAGAGTGCAGGCTGAATGCATAAACACTAAAGAATGAAATGCAGTTTTGTTTTTACAAAGACTGTTGATCCAATAATCTCTGAATTTGGCACGCAGTATATTTGGAAACTGAAGACCTTAAAGTTATTACAAGACGGTTGGCACTAGAAGCTGTTTAGCTGCTGTGGGCAAACAAAAACAGTCTGAACTTCTGAAGAAAAGTTTATTCTTACAAAAAAAGGACATGATCGGTTATTTCATAATCCTACTTATTAGAACTTTCTGTATAAATGCCTTTTACCTATTCAATAACTCATCTGTTTTAATTGCTTTTTTTATTGAAGTTTGTGCAAAACACAAACAAAGCAAAACACTGCTGAGGTGACCCCATGGCTCTCAGACCAGCCAAACACTATTTGTGGTCACATTTAACTACTTCACACCATAAGGGGTGTTGTGGTTCATGTGGCCATGGCCCCCTTATTTTCTAATAGTGCCAACCGTCTTGGCAGCTATGTGCACTTAAACATTTACACACATGTGAGAGGCGTAAAATCAAGACAAACAGTTTAATCTGAAGAAGCTGAAGGTCAACAGGCTTGAACGCTGAACTGTGAATTTCCTGACATACAGTACTGACTGATATTAGGTGTGTGTTGAGAGAAAAAAGAGAAAGACAGAGAAAAGGAAAGAGCAGCAGAGCGAGGGTATGATGTGGAGACAGATCTACATGTAGATGGAGTCTCAGGGGTTCCCACCATGCACCGTCTTACTCATAACCTCTCCTCGTTCCTTGGCCCTCAGGCTTACAGCTGCTCAGTTGTAGAAAAACAGACCCTGACAAGTTGCTATGGTGATCAGAGTCCAGAGGAAGATAAAGATTACAGCCTACCAAGTCCACAGGTATTGTAATGAAAATGTGTGAGGCTATTTCTTCTAGATTGTGATAGGAAGTCATATGAGAACTTCCTTCATACGAACACTGGTGTGTCACTACAGTGTGCATGCAAAGCTTCACCCTTAAAGTGGTGAGCACACAACTTCAATTTGATTTCTGTATCAAAACAGTTAACAAATTAACTAAGAGAATAACAAAAGTGATAAGAAATTATGAGTTATCAGTTTTCTTTGTTTTTAAATGTTAATACTTGTTTTTCTAGTGCAGTCTGTGGTTGTTTTCTTACACGAACTTAATAAGAAAATCAGAAGAAGAACTGTCCAGTTTCTCTGTCACACATTGACCTCCCAACTGTTAAGTCTCAGTGTCTGATTGGTTTTCAACTACTGGAAATGTGCTTTGTCAAAACAAGAGGTGGTACCTGAGAAAAACCTGTGAGAAAACAAGGAGTGTTCATTGTTATGATGAGCATTTTTGTGTTGATATCAATATAACATGTTTTTGGATGTCTGAGTAAGACAGGGTCATGGGAGAACCTCAGTGGGCTGATCATGATGTCACAGTTTTATCTTACAACCCTATCAGAGAATAAAACCACTGATCCTTTATTTTTACTCCTCCATTTGTTCTGATTTACTCCTCACCTTTTTCTTTTTATTCTCTTTATTTTTCTTTCCCCCTCACAACCCCTGGAAGATGTGTGTGTACAAAACATTCCCTGCCGTGATGTTGTCAGTGACTGCAATAAAGCTTACGTGAAAGAAGTTGACTGCATTTAAAATGGTTTTTGCCTTTAAACACGATAAATCCACTCCATTAAAAAATGAGTAAAAAAGAAAATACTAGAGAGGAGAATTGAGAAAAAAGCACCTCACCACCTTTTGATGTTGGCTTCATTGGTAACACTTTACTTGACGTCTATCTCTATAACACATTATAAATATATGTATAATGCGTTATAATCATGTTATAGCACTGTATAACTATAGTTATAAACACTCATAAATGATCATAATGCTTCATAGCAACAATCATAACACATTATAAAGCATTTTATCATGACTTACAAGGTCAGGTATTATAATTTGTTATGCTTACTGTTATAAAGCCTTATGATAATTAATGAGTGTTTATAATGATAGTTATACAAGTTTATAAGCAAATTATAACACATCATAAATATATGTATAATGCGTTATCTATGTGGGCATTGTCAGCAAGTTGTTAACAGTTATAACACATTATAATACCTGACCTTGTAAGTCATGATAAAATGCTTTATAATGTGTTATGATTATTGCTATAAAGCATTATGATCATTAATGCGTGTTTACAACTATAGTTATACAGCGCTATAACGTGATTTATAATGCGTTACAGAGATAGGCGTCAAGTAAAGTGTTACCGTTTCATTTTAATTCCTTTTAGCAGAATATAAAATCACACTTCTTTTACTCAGACAATCCAAGTCATAAAGTTACACATTTAATATCTTTTCATGACTTAAAATCATTCACACATAGTGCAAATTGACTACCTCTGCTATACTACAGCATATCATACCATTAAATTGTATCATGAGTCACCCTGCATACCCCCCACCCAACAGGAGCAAAGTTAAAAGGGGCCTGTGCTAGTAAACTGTGTTTGTTGGAGCAAACAAGCTCCTCAAAGACATATATTTGGGCTTGCTTGCTTTGATAGCGCTTGAAAAGTCCCTGAGGTTACATGAAGAGAAGAAAATCAGTCCTTGCAAAAGTTCCTTGCATCATGGAGAACAAAAATTTTACCCATTAAACCAGAAAACTCTCTGTAGATTCAACACTGTCAAACATAATAGGTAGCTGCTATAGCATGCGTCTAAAATATTAAGTCAGCATCAAGGCTGTGCTTAGACTAATGAACCACATACAAAAAGATGTCACATTCAGTTGATGCTTACACAAGAGTCTACAACAACGATAATGAGGCTATAAGTAATGAAGCCGTTTGTAATTTCATCCTAGTATCCCACATGCCTGTAGACTTTTCATCTGGGATTCATTGTTTTGTGCACGTCTCACACACAGACACAGAGACACGCACCCACACATGCCTGTGCATTTGGGTGTGATGTAAAGGTTTTCTGGAGCATGAAATAAGCTTTCTTAGGGTACAGTGAGGAGGAGAGCAGCTGATGTCCCCGGATATCTCTTAATTAAGTACATACGTGCTCATCTTAAAAATCCTAAATGTCACCTCAGAGCTGCTGGCTCCTCTTCCAGTCCCTCCTTTTGGTTATGCCTCTTAAGTTAAATGCTGTCTGAGTAATGCAGCACTTGGCCATACTCTTAATGAGATAGTGTGAGAGGGAGGCTGTGTCGCTACAGTAGTGGGTCATCCATGACTTTGTTATCTCAAAGATGAACTCCAGAATTAAATTTGTTCGTGTCACAGGATCAAAAAAAAGCTTCTGCAGAGACTCAACTGTCATAACACAGACAGCCATCCCAGGAGTTTATCCTCCAAGCACATACACTGGCTCTCTGGTTTCCCCCTCCTCCCTTCCTCTACATGATCTGCCACTAAATCATACCTGATGCCGTGTGATGTGTGTGTGTAAAGGAACGCGTGTGTGCATGATGTGCTCCAGACTGTGATGAGAAGAGAGGAGGCAGCTTTGTGATAAGAAACATATCAGTGCTCTGCACCTGCCCGCCTGCCTCCTCACTGTTTGACAACACTGGTCCATTGCATGAGAGTCCCTCTCATTGTCGCAGCAGATATTCCGAAACTATAATGAGGAAATAAAGTAGTGTGCACACTTTAGAGCTTCGCCAAAATGTGTGTGTGTGTGTCCGTGTATGAATATTAACCACGTCAAACAAATTTCAGCTGAAATAGAATTTTAATCTTTCATCGTCAGGACCTTGACATGTGACACCTCCTGCAGAAAGATGAGAGTGGTAAAGTTACTGCTTTTAAGATGAAAAAGCCCCCGAAACAAACTTTTTTGTCCGAACCTTACAGACCTTGGTACATTTGTCAGTATGTAAGAGAAAAACTGCAGTAATGTTGCTGACAGGTTCACTTCTTTCAGAACAGTTTATGCTTTTAGCTTGTTTTCCAGAGCTTTAATGACATGTGCTCCCAACTTATACTGCTTCTTCCACTAGCTTACTCAAAACTCCTTCTGTCTTTTCTGTTGCACCTGACCCTATTACCTTGAATGCTTCATATAAGCACATAATCCGATATCCCACTGTTTGTGCTCTGTTTGGTTTGGCTCAGTAGAGCAGCTTAATGAAGGCGATGAATGTATTCAGTATCCAGTATCACAACTCGCAGCTGTTAATTATCTGAATGCAATCAGACGTTTGTTTGTCCTGGGTTCGGAGTGAAAAGCTTCGGCATACACTAGCATGCCTGCAAACAAACTCTGGCTCCACGCCTCGCTCCCACAGTGTCTAATTTTATTCACTTTAGACAGTATTTCCAACAGAATTTCTTATGTTTCTCTGCTGCATAAACCAAGGTCATCTCATTCATCTGCCCAATCTAGACTTCCCCGCTGTTCCTTTCTGTCTTCCCCCCCGCAATCCACCATACACATAAACAGATGCTGGATTGCGCTAACCTCTCGGCGCCCCTGTCACAACACCACCACTTTGCAATCAACAGCACTTTCTCAGTCTTCACATACATGGCTGAATAGATACGATCGCATGATTCTGAGGGAGCGAGGAGCCGAGCTGTGGCCATTAACTGAGACAGTGCCGGGAGGGGGGGTTTCAAAAGAAAGGCAACCAGCAGCCGCTATACACCTTAGGCACATTCAGAACTCCTCTGTAAGTCCTTCACTGTAACAAAGCCATGAAAAATCCCATTAAATGTTAGATGAGTCATTAGCAACTTATTTTATGAAGGTTTCTGCACCTTCATATTGAAGAGAAATCCATTTTAGTGTCTGAGTCTGTCGTCAGAGAGAGAAAAGACAAATTACATCTTCAGTCTCCGTACTACAAATTGGCAACCTAACACAAAAGAGAATTGTGCTTTTTGACTCTAATAGACATATATCTGTCCTGGTTTAGCCGTCACCATCATGACACAGATGTTCCCTGATGTAGTGCACCACTCTCTATACGACAGAGACCATTTCACTGATTGATTCCTTCAAATGGTTCTGCAGAAAGTTCAATATGACAGACAACCCAGAGCATTACCTACAATCTTGTTGATTATCTCCACATTCACATCGATTATCATGAGGTTGCCTCCCCCCTCATCTCCAGTTATCAGTCTGTGGTTGCTGATACGGAGCTACATTATTGATCATAGCACATTAACAGGGATGATAGTGCACGGTGCAGCCTGATTCATCATAGCGTATGAGGGGGCTAGAGCTCAGAGAGTCACCTATTCTCACAGCAGGAATAAACATACATCTCCAGATATTACAGACCAGGTCCCACCTGTGGCCAGCGGTGGCTACAACAACCCAAACAATCTTTAAAGGAAACAGCCAGTAATTTCAGATTTAACACAAGTTTAAAAACACAGAAGTCTGTATCAAATGTAACTAATGAAACATGCGATGAAAAGTTTTTTTTAAGTAATAAACCAAACTTTATTAATTCCTCTGCAGCCACTTTGCGACCTGCCCCTCCTAGCTCCTCTTGATATGATGTGTCTGCTCATCCCAGTGTGACACTGTTGCCATAAATCAACAAGTTAGTCCTCCATTTCTGGTGTTCAACTAACTTGATGCTTCATCTTTACTGTTGCTGCCATGGCTGTGTTTGTTCTGCCTACTTCTTCAGACTTTTTTCAAGAGTGGCCATTGTTTCATGTTTGGCTGCACCCCCACATGACTGGATATTGTCTTCAAGTCTTCAAGATACCAAAGGTTTATGTGATAAGATGATCTTTAGAGCCATTAAAAGGTCAACAATTTGCAGTTTTTGTTGGAAAAATCGGTCGACTATCATGTATTAGGGGCCCTCTATAACTCTATCTATGCAAAGTTTCCCTGTTAAAACCATTAACAATAACAAAATTGTTAAAAAAAGTGCATGTTTTAATGTACTTGCATCCCCATACTCAGCTGGAACAACAAACAAACATTTCTAGGTGAATCTGTCAATAGAACTAAATTAAATCAAAGCTTAATACTAAGACAAATTCATGGAGTATATTCATTTAGTCTTTGTAAGAAAACAGAGAACTATTTTTTTTTCCAAATATTTAACCCCCATACTAATGCTACCAAGCAAATTACAATAAAAATGACAACCGCAACCAGAATTGTGAGCAGTCAGCGGTTCGGCTTCAAAGCAATAGTCAAGCTCCTTTGGATATGTGCACATATTCCTCTTTCCTTTCCTTTGCCCAGGGTGCATTAAACGGATTAAAGTACCAAGAGCAGCCAAGCATATATTCATTTCCTGCACACCAAGGGCCTGAGCTGCACACTGCATATTATAAAGTGTCACAAAGTCCCTGGACCATCTCACCGAATCAAAGATAGAAGATTAAAATCTTTAGAGCAGATACTATCTTCTTCATTAAGCGATGATGCAGCTTTGTTTGTTTCAGACTCATATAGGAGAAAAGAGATAAATAATGATGTTAATAAATATGATGGTCAAGTGACTGTGCACAGCAAAATGATAGGAGGTCCTTCTTGACAGCTCGGGGCTTGCCGTTAGTGTAAGTGAAAAAATTATCAATAGCTAGAACCAGAGAGTTGTTAATTTTCCTACAAATGACAGCATGAGGTTTACTGTTTTACTCATTACAGAGTGATGCACACACATTGCAAAGCTCATCTTTTGTTCTCCTGCCACAACCATTCAGTTAACGTAACAAGAATAGAGTCTCCTCATTTAGATGCACTCCAAATACATATGTATATATAGTGTTGTGACAAAATAACATTGAAAGAAGCTCAGAGAGGGGCAGCATGTGACAGAGGGGAAAACCAGGGAGCAGATGCAGCAACAGAGGAAATGATAATATATTAACACACTACCAGTATTCTCCCTGTATTTGGGTGGTATACACCTTTACAGCTGGCAAAGTGAGAAAGTGTACAGCCTTTTTTTTAAACTGCATTTTGAAATTAGTCTTATTTTGGGATCTTTCATGTTGAGTAACTCTCATAGATTTCATATTCAATAGCTTTGGAGTAATCAGTGGTGATTAAGGTTTGCAAACCAAACTTTAATAGAATCAATAAACTCCTTATCTGCCATTGAAGGTCACTGGACTCCCTTGCCTTTAGCTGATCACATTAGCATACAGCCATTTTGCATTGGCAGGTGGGGCGAATCTTATGGCCTCTGCAATGCTTGCAAACTTCATAAAAGTGACACTGGAGACTTTGGTCAGCAGCTTATCTTCCAACAGTGGTCAGCATTCAGGCAGTGCCAGTGCACAACAATTTGAGAGGCTTTTTGTTCAATAAAAATCCCTAATGTGACATTTGATTCTTGTATTTAAATTTTGTTGGGATCATCAGTACGACTGTGAAATGCTGAGAATTCAGAAAAGTAGAAAATCAACTCATCTATCATTTTCTTTATAAACATATGTTTTGCTGCCAAGAACAAAATCATTTGCAAGTGAGCAGCTTGGCAAAACTGCATTTGAATCCATTTAAATATCAACATACACAAAGCAGAATGGAAATTCATTATAATTAATGTAACTGTTCAGATCATTAAGGAAGAAAAGACCAATGGACCAGTGGACACACACAGCTGTTGGATGCCTGAGCAGATGTAAAGATGAGATTTTAGAAAAACATCAGAGAACATCAGAGACAACAAAAGCTGCGCAACTGCCGCAGAGTAGTGGACTTGGGTCGAATCTGTGATTGGGGATGAGTGGGTCCTGGCTAAACCTGAGCAGGCAGGCGGCAGAGGCACAGCAGCCCAGCAGGCCAGATAATTACATAGCCACTTGGTATTCTGTGCACAGCCACTAAAACATACCAGCACAAGATAAGTCCGTGGATGGAGGGAGAGATAAAGAGGAAAGAAAGGGAGGGAGAGCTGCTACAGAAGCTCTCAGGCATACCAGACTAAAAACACAGGGCGGCTGGGTTACAAATCAACCCCATGCTGTGGTCCGTGAACCCAAAGACAGACTAAACTAACACTCTGCCTTAAAGAGACAGATCTGAGATTTAATTTACAGATGCATAACATTCAAAATGAGTTAGATTAACTTAACCTGACAGTAATCTGGGACTATGGAGGTGTTTAACTAGGTGTGCAGAACTTGTATCACATGTTAATGAATGATATGTGTTGAACAGTTGTACCAAATATTGTCATAGCAAAGAGCTTTAGTATTCATCTTCAGCTTCTTATTCAGCAGAGCAGAGCTGTGTTTGTTACTTCAATGAATAAATTAATATAACAAATACATAGTTTGTGGAAATGTGTCTGACTCAGAAAATTTGTTTACACGCAAAAGTGAATATTAGTCAGGAGAACAGCGACAGAGAATGAAGACTGTGTGGGAAAAAGGCTGCCTGCTGCAGACTGCAGGAGGACACCACTTCTATTGGTACACACAAAAGGGCGGAGCTGCGAGGGGGGAGCAAGGGCTTGATATCTCATGGGTGGTAGTGATATGAGGCAAGGGAGGAGGAGAGGGAGGGAGGGGAGGCAGCCGTGCTGTATTTGGTAGAGAATAAGTGCCACTCTGTGCTGCTCGGCTGTCAGGCGAGCTGCTGAGAGCTGCGTGCTCCACTGAAGGGTGACAGCAGAGAGACAGAGCCGCGCTGCTGGCTGTCACGGCCACTCTGCCTCGCTGTTCTCAGCTGTGGGCAGCCGCCTGGTGTGTAACCTGCTGCTGGCTGGCTGGTGGATCACGAGTGGCTAAACATGCCATTTCCACTTTGTATGGGAGAGCTGAAGCCAGAGCGAACTTTGAGCAAATAGTCCCTTTTAAAAGAACAAAGTGCGGAGGAGGCCAGTTTTAATACTGAAAAGGTCTGAGGTTTCAAAGTAGCCTTTGGTGATACCCGGGCTGCATTGCCAAGCTTACCTTTCCATCTTATTTACAGCATTTATGCATTCTGAAAGGTTGGCTTCTGTGAATAATAAGAAATCGATAAGGAATGAAAGACTGAGCAGGCAGGCAATCCTTACAGTGCAGATTCAGAGTCGTGTGGCTGCTTGGTGGACTTCAGGGAGAGAATATGCCACACAGGCCTGACTCTTGGCTCCTGACTGATGAATCAAATGTAGTGAAGTGGAACCTCCCCGCTCTGTGAACATAGATTTAAAATAACCAGCTTGGGAAACTGCAGCTCCTTGCTATCTGGAAGCTAACTCAACTATTTTCTTTTTCTTCTCTTGGCTCTGCTTTTTTTACTGAGGGAATATTCCCCATTACTTGATTCCTTGCTTCATATTTCATTTTATGTTTGGCTCTATTTGATTTTAAAGCCCAGTTTCAATTGCAGTTCCCTTTTCAGCAACACCAAACTTTATTTCAATGTTAGAAGGCAAGAAAAAGCCCACTGGCACAGGCAGAAAATCAAATTAATCTGGAGTTAACACATGTAAGCATATTATTTAATAAGGGATTTTTAAATAATTCAGCAGTCCTCGTGAATCTGTCCTTTTCATTTCTTTTTAATGCATGTTCATTGGACTAACAAGTAAACATCTAACTCAGTGCATCCCCCATGGCAGCTGGGAAATGGTTCTCTAGGTCTGCGTCTCATTTATACTGTATGTATTTCATCATCAGCAGACCAACAAGTGTGCCTTTCCATTGATGGGTTTCAGTGGACCCACATGGTCGATTAAGAAGATTGCATTTGTGATATTTCCAACCCAAAGAGCTATTAAGGTGCAGATCTACACTCGAATGCACCTAACACCCTTAGCTATCAGGCTGCAGGACTTTAGGGATCATGGTTTTCTGCTGTGCGTCACAGATACGCAAAACTCATTTGATTTAATGTCACAACATAACTGCAGTGCTTGTGGCCTGGAGCTTGACTCTATTACTGTATATACTGTACGGATAGAAAGCAGAGAAAAACCATCAAGAAGAAACAGTTTTTGGCTTTCAAAAGACAGCACCATCATGTTTGCTTCAATATTTATGACCTCTACAGGGGTGCTGCAATCTCTGCACAGCATTAAAGTTTGCCCCCTGCCCTCAATAAAAATGTTCTTTATTGCACTAGAGTGAGGGGAACTCGTAACAAGCTATTACATGGATGAGCTGCATTTCTTAACCTCATCCCCTCTTTTTATCAACCAGAATCCTGCTCGCTGACCCGCAGAGAGCCTCACGGCTGAACATCTGTTTGCCTGTCCTCTACCCATCTCTCCTCTGCTTATTCATCACTGCTGAGTGCCGCTCCTCTCTATATGTCTGTCTGTCTGTCTAAGTGCCAGACAAAAAGCCGGGTTATTGATCTTAACTAAATGAAGCAGAGTCAAGGTCTTTATAGCAGATCTATGTTTTAACTGACTCTGGCTGAAGGAGAAACCTGCTGTTTGACAAAGTTTGTCACAGTGGGACAAGCTCAGTGCTGAGCTGCGTCAGCCTCATGGTTAATGTTAACAGAGTGGCTCTATGAAAGGGAACTGTGATCTGAATTTAAACTCAAATCACACACACACAAAAATCATTGATTGGCTGATGCAGAGCTGGATGTTTGGTGTTGGTGCAAACTCACAAACACACAGAAACACTCTCAATAGCTCAGGGAATGTGCCAATTATCAACAACAGCTGGCTTACAGTGGCCTGTGGTGACCAAATTAGGCAGAAGGTGTTTTATTACTTAGTGTCGCTGCGTGCCTTTGGGACTCAACAGTTGTGTCTGTTTACAAAGCTGAAGCATACTAATTTCATTTTAAATTAATCAGCCAATTACAGTTGATTGTTGTTTTTTGTGAGATACATCCTGTGAAATTAATGTCTGCTACTGACCCACCACCATCTGAAAAAACATGAAGAAATCTCGTTCTTAATTAGAAAATTAAAATACATATATATCAGCAAGAATTCATATCTTAGATGTTCGAACACACACATTTTGTTCACAAAATGATTCAACCCTTGATTGACAGTCACCAGTTAATATTTCCATCAGCCAACTCGTCACTTATTTTCCCAATTCTCACAGCTGAGTAATGTCTAAAGTGACTCATTTCCTTGTCATTCCAACAGAAATTTAAATTAGGTCCAAACCAACAAGTATAAAAGGTAAAAAAAAAAGCTCAAGCAGTCAAAAGTGAACATGATTCATGTGATCACAGAGTATGCAGGTTGACTGTGTCTTTTTTTTCTCCTAAAGCGTGGCTGCGATTAGCACCACCAACCTGTAATTTCCTTTACAGGTGGAACCCTGCAGGTTTTCCATGTACCTGTGCTTGCTTACACATTGCTCTAATTGAGTGCCTGTATGCCAGTTTGACCACTAACAGCCTTCATGTAACTTCATCTCCATTTACTTTATCAAGAAACTACCAAACAATACCTTGCTACAAGATGCCATCTTTGTCTGTTGCTGTTTACATCTGGGCTGTGGAGAACTAGGGTATTATGACAATTGGGCTGTAGCCATTACCCATAGCTATACATCCCCAGTTTGGACAAAACAAATAAACAGAATTAGGATAGGCCCCAACATAATGAAAACACAAAGAAATTGATTAGCTGTTTGGTATTTCCAGAGCCAACATGTGAGATTAAAGACTTTAAATCAGAAACTAAAGGTGCACATCAAAACTCAAATCAGTATTCACTTTAACAAACTTTTACATACTATTGAACAGTTGTCATCAATCAGTAAGCAACATATCATCTACATCATATCATCATGTCTTGATCCTAAGTCTTTTTTCCACATACACCTGCCTGAAATTTTCTGGTTAAGTCCCAAAGTTGCTTGTACACACATGTCCCACCCTGACAGTATCAATTCTTCCCTGTCAGACGAGGGGGGTAGGAGGGTGGGGGCTGAGGGCTGAGAGATGAGTCGTGACATGACATCAAAAACATGCTGCAGTTGCTCCACTGTGATGTATACAGCATTATCAAGGACAAAGCAACAGAGTCCTCCCATAAACATGGATGCAGACAAAGAAAGGTAAGATTATTTATAAAGCGCCAGTCGTACACTGACTAACAGAGACATCATCTCAGTGACATCATCCACTCGTTCCTGAGGGATAGTTTAATGTCCAATGATGGTGGTTGCTGTGTTGCAAATGCTGACTCATCCTTACTTCCTATCAACCTTGAAGCAGGCAAAGAGATGAAGCTGAAGTGGGCTTTTAGCCTTCTATCAGAAGATTTTTAATATGCTAGCTTGTCCATCAACTCCACACTGTCCCTAGTCATGCGAATATATGTACAATTTTGAGTCTTAACATTATCTTAATGGATGTATTATTAAAATACCCTAAAATGTACTCAGAAGTGGGATGTAAACTTGTTTCTTAACTTAGAACTTAACTGAAGGTTCTTGACTGTACTTCCCCATTAGCATCATACTTCACTATTTGAAGTTGCTACTCAAATCTTTTGTTAAAGATACAGGTTTCTGTATGTCAATGCTAAGTGTAAATCCACTGATGTGCTAACATCTTCACTGCCTAGGTTTTGAAAAAGACTCTCTTTCTTCAGCCTCTGAGTTTTTTTTAAATCATACAACGTTTCTTGTCCAGGGTCCATACTGGTTGCATAATTCTAAATCCCACCCCTGCCAACTCACTCAGGATGAATTAACACAAATAATTCAAGCTGCATTCACATATTTGATCAACCTTTTGGCAGAATTTTTACAAAGTGGCAGGCCCGAAAGTTCCAGACAAAATTTAGGGTGAGTAACACTTGTTTTCATCTGCCTATGCTTCAGAACTTGTGGGAGTTTCAGGAGTGTGGTGCGTTTGTGCACAAATTAGAGTAGCTCACTACTTAAAAATAAAAGGTTCAGTCATCCCAGGCTCAAAATGAGTTTGATTAGTCTGAAGCCTCAAAGAGCTCGCTGTTTGAACACTGGCAGTACCTTTGTATCTTTATTGACTGCAATCAGCAGTTATTTTTGCCAAAGAAACCTATTCTAAAATCTCAACACAACACTTAACTATCATTGAAAGTAGAATAGTAGAAAATGAGGCATCTTATTCCCACGTTTAGAAGCTTGAATGGTTTGCCTTAAAAGAAGTTGGAACAGTTAAAGTTCCAATTTAGCTCAAGCAATTAATCAACTGATTGTTTCAGCCCTTAATAACTTACAACACAACAAACCCTGCCATGCCAGAGTTGATAATTAGAATGAGATTGCAATGGAACAACAACACAATAACTGCGCCCCTATCATCTGATGCTTCTCACAGACAGAAGCAGGGATACAGTCATGCAGTGTAACCTTTGGCTCGGGCAAAGTGAAACTCCTGGCTGACACAAAGGCTCCTCCTAAGCAGAGGGGTTGCAGGGTTACGCTGGTCTGCAGACAGGGCACATTGGAAGGTGTGGTGCTGATTTTCATGCTGTGGCAAAGGTCATGTGGTGCAATGGTCACATTAATTATGTAGGAGTGTGTCAGAAGAACAGCTAAGCCTCTGACCAAGAGGTCAGCCAAGAGGTCTCGACTGAAACAAAGGAAGACTTCAAACATGTGGAGAGGCAGATGTACTTTTTCATCATATTTTCACATCAAAATGTGCCCGATGAAGGTTTTCCTCAGAGGTAAAACAGGGTTCCCTTCTTTAAAGATTGATTGATGCTATGCCTGAATGATCACATCATTTTGGGGGCTCAAAATCTCAGCACTTGAACTTGTACCCTCAAAACAGAGATCAAGTTTGTGGGAATTAAGAACCTAGAGGAGATTTCCAGACTCTGGCAGTAAAGAAATGAAGGTGACATAAAAGTACACATAAATTAAGCACTAATGTGTGACATACTTGGATAAATCTGTTTATACTGTTCAAATAACACCAAAGGACATAGCATGATAGAGCCTGTCCACTACCATTCATCTTCATTTGTCTTGGTCGAGGTGCTAACAAAAACAGAGTGACTCAGCGAGGAAAGAGAGAGAGAGGGAGTGTGGAGGGAGTTGATTTCCCACAAGAACAGTGGGATGTCGGTGTGTGGAAAAGCCTGTGTGCAGGACTCAAAGGGATCCATTGACAAAACAGGCTCAACAATTTGTAAGTTAAATTTTGATGTTGTGTGTTATCATCGGAAAACAACAAATGAATTCTTTGTATTCGCCCTTTATAACTACAGACAGAGCTGATCATCCCCCCAAGGGTTTGCAGTGTAGTACCGCCATCTTCCCATAAAAGCCAAGTATGGACAAACCAATTTTTTTTGTTTGTTTGTTTGTTTTTCAGAGTTTTTTCTGGCTGCTTTTGGTTTCCCTTTAAACTGATTTAGCTGCAAATTTATCTCTGAATCCTTCATACTGGTACTTTGACAAGGCTGCAGTCTCTACTGAACCTCAATTCTAGAGAAGATTTCATTTACCATGTTTGCATTTGTCCTGATACTTCAGAAAGGACTGAGAAATTGGTTGCCGTTCATTCCTCAAGGTTGTGAATTCCATTGTGAAGAAGTCATATTCACTCCAAACTGCATTCGTTTTTCAGATCTCATTTCACCTTTCCATTCCTATTTCCTAGACAATTATACCCTGTCAAGACCTACACTAAACAAAACATGGTGGGGAAAGTATATGTGATTCTTTCGCAATGTAACTGTCTCTCTTTCAGAAATTTTGTCTCAGTCTAAACTATTCAGAGTTTTCATCATGTTTAAGCTTTCTTGCTCTCAAAGTTTCTTGACTGGGGTTTCAGCCAGTGGGCTTGTGTGTGAAGTTTGTCGCTGTCATTTTAACGATTACTAAGTGATTAGTGGTTCAGTGGGAGCCCTGAGGAGCCTCATCAAGCAAATTGCACTGATAAAGAAGTGTTTGTATCGTATCTGTTATTTTAAATTAAATCAGATTAAAATGTTATCTGAAAATAATCTTGAGAAATCAGGGCTGATTGAGTTTTTTTTTTTTTTTCCTGAACTGGCAGCATCTTTTTTTCTACACAAAACCAATGCAGTCATGCATTTATTAATGCTTAGCATCCTCAGCCCAAAAAGGCCTCCAGAGTTAGCTGGTTTCTCTCACTGTGCTCATGGTATTCTCAGTTCAAAGTAGTTTCACTTCAGGACTAATGACAAACTTGTCAATGTCTATACCCAACCCATCGATGTCAAAGGGGGAGGGACTTCTTATATTAACATTGTCGACATCAACGGTAGAGATAAAGCTAACCAGACTTGTGAAGTTAAAACTGTCCAGGTCTAGAGTTGCAGTTTCGACAATTTACACCAATACAATTCCTTTCTATTTTTTTATTACCATTTACCTTATTTGCAAAATGTTCCTAAATAGAAGCACATTTATAAGAATGCAAAACTATTTCAAACAGACCTGACTGCTAAGGGAAGCAGAAGTGCTTTGAGATGATGTCCTTATCCTAGAAGCAGTGAGCACCAGCACAAATGAAGTGCTGTTGGTGGACACAGGCCCTAAAATATCGATGTGAAGATCTTGAAATCGCTGCAGCCACTTTTTAGTCTCCTATTGTCACTGCTTCATCAGATTCGAAAACGTTTGTATTCTTGCCTCTAACATGATGACAGACGTTGGAGAAGTGACCACACAGAGGTATTAAGTAAGGGTGTGTCAAGACTTTTTTTTAACAACACAAATTGATGGATAGCGTTTAATATCGTGAAAGTATCAACAAATGAAAATGCCACAAAATGTATTGAAGTGAAAGGAAAAGTACAGGCAGCCTGCTTCAACAGAGTGCTCTCATAGATGGTTTTCACACAAGACCAGGTGGCCACTGACAGGGCAAACGGCCAATCATAGTTCAGGACTTTGGGTTGTCACCTGAAATGGCCAATTTCAATGAGAGCCATCCCTCCAGACATAACTCGTGGTATTAGAGTGTGCTTACTGCCCAAATCAGTGGTAGTTTCAAGTTGAGAGTGTATCACTGCGAGTCTGCTGGTCAAGATTTCTTGATTCAAAAATTAATGTATGCCGATATTTCTACACAAAAATACCATAGACAGAGAATCATTTATCATCCAACATTCATTTACCTGTGGATAGATGATTGAGCATTTTCAACTGTGCAATAAAACACACTTAAACACACATCATTAACCTGCATAGCCACACATACACAAAAAGGCTACAAACACACAAACCAGATAGACAAGGCACATTTTGGGTGACTAAACCACAACAGGTGCACCTCTGACATAACAACCTCCCTCCACTGAGTCGTGACTTAATTAACAGCCTGCTGGCCCAACACTGAACACAGCACATAAAGAAGAGGCTAATTGACAAGACAGGGCAGGTAAAACTGAAAGAGCTCAAATGTCGGAAACAACCTTCTGTGGACATTTTCAAATCCCAACCCAAAGAACCAGTGATCTCTGTCCTTTCTGCATCAGTCACCACTCCTGCTGTTGTTGCATTCACCCACATCCACAATCCACTTTTAAATATGACGTCTGTTTTGGCTTTCAGGTGGCAACAAAGAGAAAGACAAACTAACAGGACACAGACAGAGAGATTAAAGAAACAAAGAAGCTGCACAAAAGGGCAGGAAGTTCAGACAGTGACAGTGAGAAAGCAGTCAGCAGAGCTTGCTAAATAGATACCATCTGGTCCGGCTTTGAGAGGCCATTTATGTAAGGACAGTATGCAGCCAGCAGAGACAGCCAGGAGGATGGATCCTGCAGCTGCCCAAATCTTTCTGTCTATATCTTTATTTCATTTGTCAAAAACAACAAGGGGGTGGACTTTGCAGGCAGCCAGCGTGTCAAGTGAGGTTTACAGAAATTGAAAATGTAGTGCTTACCTTGCACATGAAAGGGAATCACGGTCTGGAGCTTCCTACAAGAGTGAGAAAATAAGGAAGAGCCAATTAGATGTGAGAAATACTGAGAAGAATTTAATGACAGTGTCTGGATGTGTGCATGATCATCACATGATGGAGTAAACAGATTTATGGTTACAAGACTAAATTCAACCATACAGTAAATTGAGCTACATCCATTTTAGTCTGCTGAACCCACAAGGTTTTACATAATCAAATCCTGTAGATTAAAGATACAATAAAAAGTTCATCAGTTAGAAAGTCCAGGACTTACTTTTATAAATCAGCTGCTCTTTTCCCCACAATGTGAACTGGCTGAATTGTCCTGTAGGATGTTCTGTGCGACTGGCCGGGGCAGCAGCCTGCAGTGACAGAAAGGATTAGGCCCAGTGCCGATGGCTTCATTTGATTGGCTCTCTCAGTGCAAAGGCCTGTCTATCACAAACCAAATCCTTTTAATAAACAGCATAAATATTTAGCAGAGGTTTTACCACCTCTAGGGATTGAAAGCATATTGAAGACAGTGGTGACCCTGCTGCCAAAATCCCTTTAATGTTTGCAGCTTCCTAGAGGCCAGACATGTGACAGGCACAGTCTCTTTGTCCAGGATGGCTCATTTCACAGTGCACTGGGGAGATTATTGTGTCAACTCTTTCATAATCCTAACAGGATTTTTGCAGATTCAAGGATTTGGAACATTTGATAGGAAACGCCGGCAGCTAGCGTTCCAGGGTGACGGGGGATTTCTCATTGATTGAAGAGGATGTATATGCAACTTTGTATCACATATGAGTGTAAAATTAGACAAAGCCTTTGTCATTTCAATTGAATAATCTTTTCCGATGTTTATGCTCCAAAATGTTCTAAGCTATGGTTAAGGCGTGTTTTTTTCATGGAAGAGAAACACGTGCAAAAAAAATTGTAAAGCTACTAAAACACTGCGATCAGTCTGATCCATAATCATTTTTATTTCATTGTCTGAGATAAATCCATAGAATATACACAGTGTGTATTTACTAAACTATTATCTGTGCATGTGACTCACAGTGCGGTGCAGTATCTGTGTTTTTCACACTTTTAATCGTCATTTAAGCCGCAGTGGACTTCTTTTCTCATGGGAGACTGCAGCTGATCCAATGATGACTTTTACTGGAATGACTGTGCAAGTCACCCTGCAATCCCCACTGGCAGATGATATTCTCCATTTACTGTCTGGCTATAATCCAATTAAAGTAATTCATCCCTAAGCCTTTGACCTCACTCAGGCTTTAAAGAAAATACTATTGCACTGATTGATTGCAGTCTCCAATTAGACTTTTTACACCTTGTTACCATTAAGTTAATATGACAGGTCTTCTCCTCATAAAAAAAACTTAAATGGGCCAAAAATCTTTATCTTTTGGGTGTTATTTTATCTGCTCTGTGACACAAATTGTTTGTCACTTTGTTAGACAAATTTTTGTGTAAGGTGGAGTGAAACTCAAGCGTTTGTCCAGTACACTTTGTTTAATAGAAATCTTTAGAAAATCAGACTGTGCAGCCCAGGCTAGGAGCTCCATGATGCTAACTGAGCACCTACCGAGTACACCACTACCATCAAATTTAGTACATAAGGTGCACTTTTGATTTCTTTTTTTGTTATCTGAAAATTGTCTGCATCCTACACACCGGTGTGACCTTTATCCAACAATCGCATGTGAATATAATTTACTGTTCTGCTGTATTTTACCAAGAAGATAACGCTTGAAATAGCAAGAGGCTGCCTTACTGTGCAAAGGATGCCGGATACAAAGCAAGGCAGAGGAAAAGAGAAAAGTTGGTATAGTGTTAAGGAATCAAACTTTGTGGAGTGTTGATGATTGACAAGACTCCTCAGGTGACCAGCTTGAGTCCTGGGGAATTGGTAAGCGAGCAGTGTGTCCATCTTATAGACTTTTGCATTCAGATCGCTGTGAATCTCTGTTAGACCCAAACAGCAGGCTTAGACACAGTGAGATTTCCAACATCACAACAGCAAGCTCCTCCCCTGGAGCCCTGCAATGCAGGCTAGACTCGAAGAAGTAGAGGATGGTCGCGGAACAAGCGTGTGTGTTAACAGACCTTGTACGATTGCAAAGCTCATAAGAAAGCTAATTATGATATTAACTTTCATAATTTCTCCAAAGACATTAGTGTCTGAGAGCTGAATAGCTCCTATGTTACCTGCCACTTGTACTACACTGTTAGGCTGCAAGCTAGCGTGAAGAGAAGGTTGAAGAGCAGCGCTGTCTCCATCCATGATTCTGAGGCGAATTGCTAATGAGCTCCTGCAGCTCTGCAGAAGAAAGGCCCTTGAAAATAACACAGGTAACGTGATTTTGACTAAAACTTCATCACAATTTAAAGACCACCAAGAACACTTTAAGTTGTAAAAAAAACGGAGTGGGACTTTAACAGATGGAACATGGGTCAAACTATACGATACAAAATACATATTTCTTTTCTGAGCATGTGTGATGTTGTCACAGTGAATTCTTCAAGTGCAGAATAGAGGATGAATGATAAGTCCTGAAGTACTTCATCAGCACAATATATCAGCGCTTCTTGAACTTCTTGAAGAAGCAGTCTTTTGGCTTCACATTTCACAAAGAAAGGAGCATGGTGGATCAGTGTCAGTCAGCTGTCAGCTGCCTGTCGCTTCCTTACGCCTATCAGCATTTTTGATGGCTAAGCTCAACTATTGTATCAGTGTAGTTAGTATAGTAATGAAAACCAACTCCACTAGAAAGAACTGGAGTACTTTGATGGTACTGTTAGCATGCCTACTTATGCATAAAGATATAGCTATCATAATAACATTTTGTACATTATTACTGTGCTAAGCATATTCTTTTCCAAAGCATAGGAAAAAACTTCAGAAATTTTTAGCTTGAACGTGAAGCTGAGGCGTGTGTTGATTTAGTTTTGCAATTCTTTACTCATAAATTAAACTAAAACAATTTCTGTTATTTCAAGAGCTGACAGTGCTGGGCGTAAAGTTAGGGATTTCACGAGACATTAAGTTTCAGTACATGAGGACTATAAATGCTTCAACAAGACTGTACAGACTTACAGGTACTTCAGTGGCTGACTAACCTCCATCCTCCTTTAGGAACACTCAGAGCCATGTCACAAACACCAATAAAACTTTGAATACCTTAAATCCAAATCTGCCTGTTAAGACTGCTGACATTCAGCATTCAGGCCGACATAATCAAAAGTAATAAAAAGTCCATTCAAAGCATTTTCTAATAACACCACAAACTTCACAACAACAGAGCAGTACACAACTGCAGCAGTAACTCCACACATAAACCAATATTAGATTCATTATTAGATTCACTGCATTGCCAGCTCTGATGCAGATGCATTTTTGTGGTGGTAAATAATTCAGTCAGCTAGAGAAATGAGCTTGGTCTGTTCATCTGTCAGTCATAAATAATCCCTGAGATAGTACTCACCTATTGTCTAACTTCTCAAGGCACTGATCCAATAAATCCCAGCCACTTAGGCCTCTCCTCAATTTCCAGCTCATGCTGCACAAGTCCCAAGTTTCTTCAGTTGATTCCATCTCAGATTCAAATTATAATTCATACTTCAGCCATTTACCAGACACAATTAATCAGAGAGATCAACAATTAGTGCAACAGTGAAATAAGTGAAAATTCCTCGAGCATCAACAGGGTAAGCAGGCAGATAATTCAGAGTGCCATGTGGAAGTGCCATGGTAATTGTCACTGGAATGGACTCTTTAATTCCTATTAAACCATAATTAGGACTCTGCATTCTAGAGGCAGCATCCAAAAGGCTAAGCCACAGCCTCTGCATATGGGAATATGCTAAACTAATTGTGTCTGAATGATGTCGTACGAGTAGAATTAATACTGCATTAACTTCCTTTAAGTGCATAAATTGGAGTTGTCGAGCTCAGTGTCAAGCATTCTCCTTACGAGTAGATGTACATTTAATCAAGTTTATAAAATGTTATTTACTGAGCAAGATGTAAACATTTAGCAGATAGTTTTTTGTTTGTTTGTTTGTGTTCTGAAAAGTAATACATCATTTCATAAAATGTGGTGAGCCATGTTTCTTAAGGGCTAATAAGGACGCTTTCTGTATTGGAGGATTTTGTGATTTTCCTTTCATTATAGTACCTTATACCAGTGGCGATTGCTCTAAGACTGCAAGGGAAGCTCGGCTTCCCTTAAAATGTCACCCCCCCAAAAAAAGAAAAAGTGGTGAAATACGTACGGCTGTGTGTACATTTCATTAACTAAATACGCACTAGAAAGCCTTCAACTTTTGTTCAGACACTGTGATAAGAAGCTGATAATCACAGGTGACCGGCATAACTTCGTTCTCATTCATCCTCGCAGCGCCTCGGCGCTTTAAACAGCCGGACGCTGGGCTTCTGCTGACTTCAATGTGGAAGCTTAAAGTGGGTTGTTCCAGCAGCGAAACTAGACGCTCATTGGATAAATGCTGGGCTTTGTCCCGCCCAATGGAAGCTAAGCTTCACTGGAGTTCTATGGCGAGAGGGCGGTCCCGACTTTCTCCCGGACTCCAAGCTTCTGCATTCATGATTGGATGAGCTGTCTGAGGCGAAATCCTTTTTTGATTGACAGCTAAACAAGCGAATCAGCGATCTTGAAGAATAAAACATCTACCAGAGCATTTTCCAAGTCATTCATTCCGTTGTTCTTAACTGCTCCAGAGACTTTACCGATCCTCAGCGACTTTTGTCTTTGTTAAAAACGACTGCCGTTGTGTTTGGCGACTCTGTTCTGTTACATACTAATAAACAAATAGAATTATGATGTAGGCCAGAAAAATGAGCTTCCCCTCCTTGAAAGACCAGCAGCCGCCACTGCCTTATACCTATTTAAAACATTTCTCCTGATCTTTATTGGTAGTTACATAATTTAAAAGCTGATGGCTCAGAAGAATACATTATGTAATCATGCAGTTCAATATCCGGATTTGTCCCTGAAGTATCAACAACCAATGACTAGTTGACTCTCAAAATAATCATTAGCTGTAGCCACAGGCACTATCCCATCTAAAATTCAGTAAAAACCCGTAGAGACACTTTGTTTCCCACATAAACTGTATTGAACATCGGCGTGGTCTTGATTCTACTTCTTATTGGTTTCTAAAGAGGCATTAAGAATCACATATTAACTCCAGTTAGCCTCTGGCTATAGAAACTGGCAAAGAAGGAGAGCGCAGTCTTGCCACCTGGCAAACAGCTACAATGAACCCACCTGCCAGTCACATCAGCTCCAGTCCTGATTATGCCTAATTATGCGTAACTCTTGGCTTTTTTTTTTTTCATTTTGTTTCCCTTCTTTTTCATTCACTTTGAATGATTTTTTTTCACTGAGGGCTTTATACACCTTCATTAGAGAGGATAGGACAGAGGATAGTGTGAGAAATGGAGGGAAAGAGTGAAGAGTGACATGTGGGCTGCCTGCTTGGGGAAGCCTCAGCACATGGGCTGTGCCTTGCACGGCTGGCACCCCTTAACTTTGAGCTTTGGTATAATTAGAGTAAGTAGATTACATGAAAATGTCTCCTTGTGCAGCTGTCATGAACAAAATGGGATCTAGAGACAGACACTGCTTCTTTTTTTTTTTTTTTTAGTTTTTCCCCAGGCTGCTCACATGCTAAATTTTGTTGTAAAAGGTGGATTTCAAGATTGGTCATGAGGGTTTGGGGGCAGGGCTCAAGTGGACATACTAGGGACTGCAGTTTTTTTACACGACTACAAGTCCTCATTTTTTTATCCATGTGTTTTCACTTTGTTTCCACATGGGCTTTGCTTATTTTATTGCATTAAAGAGAGAGCACCCTCCCCCTTTTTTTCAGTTTTTGGGATTTAGTGCAGCCACAGAGATAAAATATCATGGTTGAATGCCTCATTTTCAATTTTGATGTTCTTATCTCTTATATAACCAAGACATACTATAGTTAAATTATATAGATAAAACTTGGCTGTGGGTATTTAAACAAACAGACAAAGAAAGCATTTTTCTTTTCGTTTAAGTTACATCACAAGAAATGATTGCTACATTAATCCTAAAATACTTCTTTTTCTACAAGAACATGTCTCATTTGTCCCAAGATAAATCAGGGAGCTGTTTACTTGCTGTTGCACTTCAGCCTCCAAGTCTTGATGGATCAAGTATTTACAGATTGCAGGGAGTAATTATTTAAAATAGTCATAAAACACTAAAAAGTAACTAAAGACAGAAAAGAGCTTTTAGCTTTGGTGTTTTTTTAGCTGTTACGTAATAAGCCAGAAAACCTCTCAAAGCTTACATCATACTCATTTCTTATTGCTTTTAAATACATCGTGCAACAAAGTTTGATTCTGGTCAACAACTGCAAACTACAGACCTTAATGAGAGACATTCATCAACACACCTCGGAGTGAATTTTAAATCTTATTCGTCTCCACTGTGGCTGTTTACAAAGGTGTGTGCTGGCTTATTCACTGACTGATAACTGAAACTATTCAACACTGCAGCTGAATGAAATGCAGTGTTCCTCCAAGCTAATGATAAACCTGTCGGAACGAAAGCCTGAGAAGAAGATAAGTTAAAGGTCATTTTTCTCAGACCTGACGACAAAGCAGGGATGTGGTGCCCCAACTCCTGCAGCCTGAGGAAACACTGGCATCTGGTGACAGTGTCTGCAGGGTGATTGGAGAGCGTCTGGCCATAGTTGTAGCAGCCACATCACTATTCTCATCCACCCACCATCCCTCCATCCACCAGAGCCTCAACAAGCTACCGTGAGCAGTAGTCATAGCAACGAACGGGCTAGCCGGTGCCCTTGGGGATCATTTCTTGACAGAATTCCTCGGCGTCCTCTCTCTGTAAAAGGTCGGCCCCTCTGCTGAATGGCTGTTTATCTTTGCAGGCGTGTGAGCCTCGGTGTCCCCCTGGCTATAGCTCCATCGCTCTCCCTTCTGTTCACTCCTTCCCCGCCACTTACTTTGACTGCCAAAACCTCATCTCTAAATTAAGTGAAGGATTCAAAGCTGAAAATTCTGTGTGGTAACCACAGAGCCGCAGGACAAAAACAGTCAGAGGAGGATGCATCCCTCTGTTTCTGATTCAATGACTAATATGTTTGCTCTTGTAAGGACACTGATGGTGGCTGTGCACAGCTTCAGCTCACTATTTCACCCTGATATCTGCAAAATGCTCAAGGACTATCAAGAGTACGAACAGGGCTCAGTGAATAATGGACAAGGTGTAAGTGCAGGCTATTCACAACCAGGATGTTTATATTGTCTCCTCTCTGAGGTCACAAATCTTGGCTCCTCAGCACTCAAGAGGAGGCGCTTACTGACATTTTTAATGACACACCTGATGAATGGCGAGTCAGTGGCAGCTCCTTAAAGACCACGACTGAGGGAGTGTCTTTAAAGCTCCTGCAGAGGGGGATAGATAGAGGAGGGAGGAGACATTAGAAGGACAGAAAGAAGGAGAATAAATGGGTAGTGAAGTGCACTGTCAGAATCCATTGAGGGAATAAAAGGAGAAAATAATCATTCTCAATCAAATGCATGTAATCCCTTTTAGAGGCAGAACCAGCTGCTGCAGCATCATCTGTCACAGCTGTGCACTTTTGATACAGACAAATAATCTTTTGTAAGTCAGCTGAATATTGAAGACCGACATTTTGATTCCAAACTAATCTTTTTAAATGATTAGTGTCATAGGAATTCAAAGCACAAATGGCTAAATGGATTTTTTGCCATGGCCTGAGTTCAATATGGAGCCTATCAGCAACAAATCAAGCCTCATCTGATACCACGATACAAGGTAGAGATCGGTAATGCACGAGTGCTATTGCAAATGAGCCGTGCTCCCCTGTGAGGCAATGTTATCAGAAACAACAAGTGACAAGAATATCAATCTGAACTATTGACTAACGTGACTCAGCCCTCTGTTTCTGTCAGTTTGTCTCAGCCTGTGGCCCCCTAGAAACAAGTCCGCTCAGCGAAGCCCTGCACAATAATACCGAAGAGAGCTGCCATGCTCTTTATCGCTCTCTTTTCTTTCTGTTTAAGCCCGTTTCCACAATCAGTGTCTCATCTTCCGCCAGCAATCATCAGAGTCCCAGATCACAAATGTAAGCTTAAATATCTGGCTCTCTCCCCTTCACATAATCATTTCCACCCTTTTTTTTCTTTCAGTCGGTTTTCTGCCACAAACACAGAAACCCACGTGTCGCACATAATCACACAAAGACACACACAAACACACACTCTTTCAGTAATCTTGCTTTCACTGCCTCCCACACAGGCATCTGTAAAAGAGCATGTGTGGTTCACAGCAGTACCTTGCTTGGTTCACACTGAGAAAAGGTTGGCAGATTCAGAGACCTTAATGTGCTACTGACTCGACTCTGTGTGCATTGTGTTAGAGGTCCCTGATAATAGCCGTTTAAGTAAAAGCAGGACACAAAAATCACTTTTAGCACTTTAGTTTTAAGCAAAATGCAATTGACTTCACTTTAGTGTGGCCAAGGAGCCAAGAAAGAGGTGTCAAACAAGATGTCAATCCAATTTAGCCAAATGAGCCAACTACAACAAAGAAAGAACATTTACATTTTAGCTCACATCTTTTCCACCTCAACTCTGAAAAAATACAGACTTGATTGATTTTTTTTTAACATTCAGACAATAGATAACCATTTTATTGGGTTCAAATGTTTAACTTTGATCCCATCTTTTAATCAAAGTAGAAAAGGGCAACCTTTCCAATTTTTTGACGTGTTAAGAATTTTTCTTGAAATTGCTTTAAAAATGTATGTGCTGTGTATGGGCTAGGCTTCTGGTACAAAAAAGCGCAAATCTACTAATTTGGTGAAAATATCTTGCAGCATTGTGGAATCAAATAGTGCTTGTTGCATCATCTTGCAGTAAATGAAATGTGTTGAAGTCTTGTCTGGTTGTACAAGCATGTTCGACTGTTCTTTACATGCTTTAAAGATTGTTCATAAAATCTTCATCACACTCGGCTGTAGTATTGCTGGAGACTCGTGGGACTGTGGTGTCAAGTGTGAAGTCGATTGGATGAGTGGTTCTCAGGAAGGGTGCGGGCAGCTCTACTGCAGTTCTCTACATGCGCTTCACACTTCTGGGGGGGCAAGCAATCAACCCTTTGCTCCCAGAGGGCAACCAATCCCGTCTACCATGTGCTCTGAACAAGCACCTCGCTACTACTGCAGAGGAGTATTGTCGCTGTGGAGAAACAGGGAATGTTTCATCTTTGTTTGTTTATATTTCCTTTCTTTCCTTGTGCAGGTGAATGATTGCGAAACAGAGAAGGGTCTTCGCAGTGCGACCTTGTCCCATGCTGCTCCCTCCTCTCAGGGGATGGCCAAGGTCCAGGATGGACACAGTAACGCATGTGACAGGTAACATTTTACTAGACATGTCGTTGATAGTTTTCTCTGCAAAAAGCAGTCTGTCTTTTCCAAATGTACATGAATGGATGGATTTTGGTTTTTGTTCCTTCCAGCCCTGAAATGTTAGAGGAGAGCCAGGATGGTATGGACAGTGGTACCCTAAGTCCTGCCACAGCTCGACAGGTCACCATCCAGCGCCACCCAACTCAAGGCTTCGGCTTTATCGCAGGCAGTCAGAGGCCTGTCATTGTACGCTCCGTCTCTGCCGGTAATTTGAGAATGAGATGCAAATACAGGGAAAACACAGAGAATATCCACTCATACGGAATTTGTCTCTTATTGTTTGTATGACTTTGTATGCTGGCTGTGTGTCTCATCTAACATGCAGACGGCCCTTCCTTTGGCAAACTTCTCCCGGGAGACCAGATCTTGGCCATTAACGAAGAGACGGTGAGCGACGCGCCCCGAGAGAGAGTCATAGACCTTGTAAGGTAACATCCTTTACTGTCCCAGGAGGGTGGGAGGGGGAGGGCAGGGGGCCAGGAGGGACCAGCAACAGGGCAAGTGGAGATAAAAGAGGACACGGGTAAAGAGAGCGGATCAAAAGGAACAAAGTGTTTCTTATTCCCGGTGATGCGTTTCATCAATATGAACCTGTGGATGAGTCAGTGCTTGAGCAGCTGAAGGACAGTGAGGAAATGGCAGATATAAACCCGCAAAAGCTCTCCAAATACTGTGCTGTCCGCGGCGTTATCTAACACACTCCACTCTCTGTTGTCTCTCCACAGACGCTGCAAAGAGACTATAGTTCTCACTGTGCTGCAGCCCCATCAGGTAGTATAATGGGACACTCACTCTCTTTCATGTTCTTTCCCTTAGGATTCACTCTCTCCCTCTTCATCTGTCTTGACACTTTCCTGTCTCTCTGAATCATACAGAAACGCCAAACAGAAATCTGTTCCAACAGTGCACAATAGTGCAGTGCAGACATACAGTACATTAGTATTCATGGCCACGGTCGGGCCTACGCTTCAGAGTAATTTCTTTTTTCGGTTGCCCCTTTCAGAACAGCTCCATATAAAGCACATCCAAGGCACCTACATCTGGCCTTTTTAGAGAAAGATGGTGTACGTCTCTATCCACATAACAGGAAGAGAGGAACTTATTCAGCAGACCATTCAGCCAGACATTTTTAGAAGATGAAAAACAATTTAGAGAACCTATTGGATTTATACATATCAGATTTGTGGGGAGGGTTCATCCAGAGCATAAAACAGTCCTCATTTTTTGAGTTTCGCAGCATTTCTGCAGAAGTTGGCCCACAAGTTAACTCTAAAGGTGAACATTTTTACTGATCTTTCACTAAGCAGCCTAAAATTGATAAGTATTTTAACTTTTATCAGGTGATCCATGTTTGCTGTGTCGCACTGCGGCAGCATTAGGCACGTCTCTTTAGCACAGGCAGTCACAGGTGCTTTTTTCTCTCATTTTGGTCTATTCTTTCAAGCTAACTCCAGAGCTTCTCTTCTCTCTCTCTCTCTTCTTATTCTCAGTCACCTAAGTCTGCCTTTATAAGTGCAGCCAAAAAAGCCCGCCTGCGAACCAACCCGCCCAAAGTGCGCTTTTCCGAGCAAGTGTCCATCAGCGACCCAGACTCAGTAAGTTCAACGAGTTTTGTCTCTCTTGACATGGACATGTAAACACATGCTCTCAGCCTTCTTCCAGATCACACTCTTTTGTTTGATTAGAAATTGCAGAAAGCTTCTAGTAGCCACTCTCCATCCTCTTATGCAAGCCCGAGCTTCTCTACTGTGTGAGCCTTTGGTTCAGCTGTTAAGCCTTGAACAAACTGCTCCTTGAATCACTCGAGTTCTTGCAGGAGAAACTCCATTTTACAAGCATTCAAACCTTTTTTTAAAGCACGTACAATATCACAGAGAAATGTTCAATCATTTGTTCATTTCATAAATAATCGAGATCTTTTGGCATAAAATTTGACTTGCATGGTTGCACATGGAAAATCTATCATATTCACATATTTCTGGACTGACCAATCAGCACATCTACAGATGACACCTGTGTAAGAGGACCACAATATCTCATATTGTAACCTATTGTAACTTAACCTAACCACAGAAAGACTGTTTGCGAATCAGTCAATGACTGCAAAGGAAGGCAAAGAAAAGAAATACAATTTATTTTCAGTAAATGCCGTAGGTGTTTTTAAAAAGGAGAGCACTTTACTGTGTATCTATTATTTGAATTTTGTGTCATGCAGCTAACTTTTTGGGGGAGTACCAAGTCTGCGGTGGTCAGTAAGTACCTACCAAAAGTGTCCCAAGAAAGGAAACCCAATGCACAGTAACAAGGTCTTAGGCTGCAAAGGTTAATTGATACACATGGGCAGCAAAAGCTTGTTTGCGTGGTCCAATCCAACAGAGGAGCCACGGGACTTGGTGCTGGTTTTGATGAAAAGTTGTCAGGACAAAGGAGCTAGTTTGGCACAGTTAATGGAGCAGAAGTTTGATGCACAAAGACCACAGAGTTAAAGGCTCAACTTCCAGTCCCAGGATTATCTGGTTCATGTCATATCCTAATATCTCCTTACATTCCCTGTACACCTGTACATAGAAAAGGCTGAAAAAGCCCACATAACTGGTCTTACAAAAAGGTGCAAGAATGCAGAGTGCATCACAGCTTTTCAAGGCTGTTGGAGCTGCACACCAGGTGCCCATGCTGATCCCTGCTCACCACTGAAAGCACCTCCAACTGGCACGAAATCATGAGAACTGGACTGTGGAGTGATGGCAGAAAGAAGCCTGGAACAATACAGCAGTGTTGACTTGGTCTTCAAAATCACAGCTCTCCATCTATTCAAGCATCTGTGTAACAGGCCAGTTAACCAAATCTGATCTATGACTATCTAAACTTTATATCTATTCAGAAAACATTCTAATATATGGATGAAAACAAAGCAGTTTAAGGGCAGGCTTGGGTAGTGTCAAACAAATAGAGGGTCAGTGAGCCTTTACAAGATATAAAGGATTTGTTGATGTCTCGGTGCCAGATACCACATCCTACCTTCAGAGGGCTGCTGGAACCCATAATGTGGGTCAGAGCTGGTTTTGCCCTGACCTAATGAGAAGGAGATCCACACAATATTAGCCAGGTGGTGACAATGCTATGGCTGACTGGTGTACATAAACGTGACACAGTGAGTGCCCGCAAAAAAATGTTGATTAGGATTTATACCATGATGGTGCTTTTGGAGTTCACACAGTGTTTTAGACATATCTCTGGTTTCTGGTTTACCTGTTTGGGGGCTTTGACCACATTTTATTCAAAAACTTCTTTTAAATTCAGAAAGCAGAAAGCATTAATAATCTAAAGGGTTTCAATCAGTGCGATCATTTTCACTAAGTTTCCATAGCCTGGTGGTCCATCAAAGATCTGTTGGGGGTTAGTCTGTAAATAAAGTGAGAGCATGAGAATGAATGAAGCAATCAATATAGAATCAGAAGTTAGAGGATGGGTGTTTCATCAGTTCTCTTTTTTCTATTTACCTGGACTTAATGGAAGAAAGTGAACAGCAGGAGATTGCTCCTAACACAGACTATCAGGTCTCTGATAACCTTTGGACTGACAGCTTCAGCTGACTTTTCATTACAGCTAACTTTACCATTCACACTAATCTGGCAGAACCACAAGTCTACACCATGTGAAACCCGGGAAAATCTCTTTATTGAACCTAAATTAAGACTTCAGTTAAACACAGAGATATTCCCTTAAACCAGTAAAGGTCATTTGCTCAACGTATGGCTGGGAAACTTTCAGGTGTGAGACTCTCTATCAATCATCTCTCACTATCACTAAGTAAAGTGATTTCTCTCCCTGCTTCTCTCTTAGAAATGTGTCCAGGATCAAAGTGCAGAGCACAGGGCACAGTTGAAAAAAAAATAGGAGGGAGATCATTTGATTGGTATTGATCAAATAGTTCAACCACCCAGCCCATGGAATGACATCAATTAATCTCAGTCTCTGATGATTTGAAGCCAGAATCTACTTTCGAACATCAGAACGGTTATCATGTTGGACGCCGACTGTAGTTGGATGTTTATTGAGGGGCAGAGGAGGAGAAAGAGGTGATATCTTGACATTAACTTGACCGCTCATAATTTCCTTAACATTTAAAAATTGATCTTGGGCTTAGCCTCACCCACAAAAGCAAAGAGACCGGCTTAGACTGGAAAGTTATGGACCTTTTTATGGCGTTTCCACCGTTACACTCTCCCTTTAATCTTGCAGTATGGAGGAAGATCTGCTAACTCATAACTCAGGGTTTAGGGGCTTCCAATCTGAACAGAAGCACAGCTTGTTTAGCTTTCTGAATACTTAAGTTCTCCAAAAGCAGACTGTCGGGCATCTGCTGTGGACACAGCCCTCCATTTTAACTAAATGTGTTTTCTGAGACAAAATGATGCAATGAATCTGCATCTTTTTACTGTCACAAATGATGTCTGCATAGTGTTCTTACAAATCTGATCATAAGGACTGATTTGGTTTCAGCCCTGACCTATGGATGATTAGATTTGGACTGCAGGCTATTTCCCTCTACATCCTTGACACATGTCACATTTATCCCCCCAGGTCCATCTTATAATATTACGCTATCTTCTTTCTCTCTAATCACAGCTGTGTTCTTCGAAAACTACATAATGAAAACTGAGTCATCTTCTCAAAAAGCCCTCAGAGAGATAAAAACAGGCAGGAGAGATGAAGGGAGGAGGGGTGACGGGAAGGGGACAATGCCCGTCACATCACATCTGAGCAAGAATGAACTGAACTGCGTATCATAACTTTTCTTCTGACAAGTGTTCTGTCTACAGGCTGTAACCTTGAATCAAGACTCTCCTCTTTCAAAACATTCAATCCCACTGTCCATTTTTTTTTGCATAGCATACTGAATGGATACACTGGATAGATTGAATGAGACCTGACTTGATCCAAGTACAATCCATCCAGCGGGCATCCTAAGACAGAAATGTCGGCCCTCTTGAGCTGTCCAGTTCAAGTACCTCTTCAATGTGTAACATAAGCTTTATTTGTTCTGAACGCCACCCCAAATGGACCTCCAACTTCTTCACTGACTTTTTTGTGTAGTTAGCAAAAGCAGAGTCACAGTTTAATGGCTGATTGTGTTCGTGTTGAACAAATATCCCCAGACTACCTCGTTTGGCATATTTTAATCATAGCTGTCTTCTCTCTCTGTCTCTTTCAGACGATGCTCAAGGACGACTCCCTGCTACTCATACCAAATGTGTTGAAGGTGTTCTTGGAGAATGGACAGATTAAGTCCTTTACATTTGATAGCCGTACCACTGTTAGGGTATGTAACCAATATTACTTTCGTCAATTTCCCCCAAAATATTCTATTTAAGGTACTGTAAGGGACTTTTTATTTACACTGATTTTGGCAACCTCTGTGTATAAGGCAGTACTCTGATCTTGTTCTGTTCTTTGATAAAAAAAAGGTGTAAAAATGCATAAAAAATAACTGAATTGAAGTAGCCAATGTAAAAACTGATGGTCTTGCTTGTTTTGTAGGTCACATTGGAGAAGTAACATTAATTTCAGTCTATTAGATAATCGGTGAAAACTAATAAACAAATGCAGCAAGTGATTGCTTTGAGTAACAATTTTCTCTGACGTTTTCCCTACATATATCAAACACATAAATGCTTGAAACACATGTTAATTATTATCCTTTTAACACTACTTTAGGGCAATTTTCTCATAAGACATATATCTAATATGTAATTGCTTGAAAAATGTGTCAGCCCAGTAATGTGATTCAGGATATAGAGCAACAAATGAATCAGACAGAGGTCATTGCTGTCTCTCCATCAGGCTCCAGGATGAGTCTGACATATTCCGGCAGACTCATTAAACAGACACGATTAGATTTCACAAATCTCTGTGCTACTCTGCTCAAGGAGGGGGAGCGAAAGAGAGGAGGAACAAAGCAGCACTTTAAAAGGAGCGATGGAGGAAGCTCTCCCCTGTCAGCCTAATTAAATAGTATTCACCATAATAAGAGGGTCCAGATCAATAAAACAATGCCATTGATTAAATCAGTGGCACAAAAGGATGCCCAGTCGTGTGCACATTAGACTCTGTCATCCAAAGATGCTCCCCTGCCATATTTTAGACTAAAATCTGTGTTCTGTGGCTCCTTCACGTAATTGTGTGGCCTCCCTAGGCATCATTTAATGAAACCTGCACAGGTCAATACAGCTAAAACTGCTTAGCCATGTTTTTCACAGAGAGCTGATGCTGAGGTTACATCAATGAATGTCAATTAAAATGTTTATGGAGAGCAAATCATTAGTGTACATTTATACAGCTCTTAATGAGCTTCCAACCGAAACTTTGAAACAAACAACATTGCACCGACCATCAGCGGAGTTCCTTGTAAAGTCTGTCTTTCAAACATATACGAGGGCAAAGAAATAATCTCATCCTCAGGGACAGCCTTGGGTAAGATGTAACAGTGAATAACCACACAGAAAGGGCTATGTCTGTATCACTAGAGGAGGATTCAAAGTACAGTATACATCATTTACAGATACTGATCTGCACAAGAGCAAAGTTTGCCCAGTGCACCGCATGTTCTTTTTAATAGAATAATCTTACTGTGCACCAAAAACGCACCTATGAAATCTCTTTATAGCCCAGTATTACTCAGGGGGGATATTTCCTCTATAGACAAAACAAACATTTCTGTTGCAATGTCCCAGCTGTGTTAAGGTGCATAAAGTTCTTATTGTTTTTTATGTTTCTTTTTTCCAGGACGTGATGTCCTCCTTGCAGGACCGCCTCTCACTGCGCTACATTGAGCACTTCGCCTTGGTACTGGAGGCAGGCGGACTGGACCAGAACCAGAGGTTGCATCTGCTGCAGGAGAACCAGCCTTTGACACATGTAAGACACTCAAACCAATGAGTGTTAGTTATGAGGACAAAGAAACTGAGCTTCAACTGACAAATATGATGGAAGAATGAATTGTTTGGTTCTTTTTATCCAAATTAAAAATGGCTGTAGCCCCAGATATGCCATCCATTAGTTCTGGAGGAGGCAATATGAAACCCAATGGTGGCCATGTTGGAAATACCGACTCATCTAGTAATGAAAAGCACAATTATGATGTGGGCATGTGCAATACTCACATCATAGGACATGTGATGACTGTCATATGATCTGAAACATGTCATGCCGTCACCACTTCCTTGTTGTCCAGGATTAGTCTACAGTAAAGGTCCATCTAAACCATTAAGGCCTAATTGCAGCCTCCCACTTGATCACAGAAAAACTGCAGTGTCTATATCAGTGTGTCACATGACAGTAGAATGCAAACATGCACACAAGTCCTAAGCTAGTGCTGTCACAGATTTGAGGACAGTGTTGTCTCTCATGTCTTCAGTGCTTGTTAACATTGGAGGAACATAAACAGTCCACTAAACAAACAGGACCAGTTTTAACGACTACTGTGTGGTGCTCAAACATTGTGGGGATGTGAAAATCATATACAGAGAAAGAGCACGAGTTTCCATTTCATTAAGTTACCATCACTGGGCTTCTAACATGCCATTTTTGCAATATTTTTGAGAGCATTTTTCTGAGACAGTTCACAATTTTGATCAACTTTAACTTAAGAAGATGCGGCTGAAATCACAGTGATCTAAATGTCTGTCCCGCATCTGTCAATAAAGGCATGTTTAAGGACAATCATAAAAGAGCAACTCAACCCTTTATCTAACATTATAGTGATACAATTTGCTCTTTGTAGACTAGGGAAATAAATTAGTGACCACAGAAAAAAATACTTTGTTTTTATTTGGACTAAGAAATTCTACCACTTTTATCTCTCTGAAACCCCTTTTCCTTACCAAGTACACTAGCAGGGACAGCAAAGCAGCAAAGCATTGCATTGTGAGTGAGTCTACCCTAAATTTGCCAACTAAGGCAAGAAATCTGGGAAAGCAAGCAAAAATTTTGGAGAGTAAACTGTTGTTTCACAGATTTTGAGACATGGCACAACCAATACAGTACAGGTTTTTGATTGGCTAACTGAATGAAGCACATATAATGCCCTGATCGAAAGCAATGAGTAAAATATAACTTTTCATTGACAAAAACCAGAGATGAAAACTATACTTTATATCACCAAGGTTAGCCCTACATTGTGCCTGCCTATAAGACCAAGTTAGCTGCACCCTTAATTGTTATCAATGCAGAACTTGTATGTGATATCTCCAAAATGGATGCGTCATTAAAAAAATAACTGGTACAATAGTGGACACTGAAGGAACTGCAGTTTTTTGGCACTCCTGCAATGGCTTCATATTTCAAGACTGGAGGTTACAATGTGTTTTGGATGCAAATAGCAACTTTTGCTGAATCTTCTGTTTTTACTGTTTCTAAACTTGTATTCATGCTCTATTCTGAGGTTCGTTTTTTTTTTTTTTTTTTTGGGATTTCCTCACATAGACAAAACTTAAATACATGCACATATGGTATTTTCATTGTTAACAATCATGGTGTTGTACTTGAATGTTAGAATTAAGCCAACCCTGTACAAAATGAAGCTGCAATGTGTGACTTGTACCAAATATGAAGGTGGTTATCTCCCTAATACTATCATATTCCCTCAGGTGGTGCATAGAACCTATTTCCAAGGGATGAAGTGTCTGTTCCGCATCTGCTTCTTCCCCAAGGACCCGGCCGACCTGCTGAGAAGGGACCCCGCTGCATTTGAGTACCTCTATATACAGGTAAAGCACTGGATTAAAGAGGATTTAAGGGGGATGTCATTTCGTTTCATGACACTGTCGGAGTACAGTCTCCTTCTAGAGCAGCAGCTGAGAAGAGGGAACCACTAGATGTTCTTAAAGAGGGCTGGCTAACTTCAACAATGTCGTTTGCAGTACGTTTGCAGTAGGATGTGCACATAAGAATGTTTGACCGTGTCTTTACAGAGTCGTAATGATGTCATCAAGGAGCGTTTCAGCATGGACTGGAAATCAGATATTACGTTACGACTGGCTGCACTTCATATCTACATCACTGTGTCCTCTGCGCGGCCTAATCAGAAGATCTCTCTAAAGCATGTAGAGTACGTCTGCAACCTTTCAATTTTATTATCCATCAAATTAACTCATGAGAAATCACACATAAAATTGATGTATTACACTTTTTTCACCACATTAACAGTTTTGTGTACCCTTTCCAGAAGTCCCAGTGTAAAATTTGTTCATTTAATAATGTCTGAATGTTACGTGTTTTTTTTTTTTTATCTGAATAGATTACAAAACTCAAATTACCCATGGATCAGTTTTCCCAGCTCATTATGTTAGGAAGAAATCCATTGTTTTGTGAAATTACCACTCTCCCTCAATTTGCTAATTTATTCTACAGTACCTCAACCTAGCAAGCAATTAGCTTCTGCTATGACAATCACAGAAGCAGAATGGATCCTCTGAGCTTGTAATAGACTTCACAAGGCTATGTCGGACCTTAGTTGAAAAGAGTGTGAGCTTAGCTGATTGTATTCCTCTTCCAAACTCCTTGGTCTTCGCAGTTGGGACATTGCCTCTGGACTCTGATTATCAACTTCATTGATGTTCTTTCTCTAGTGTGCATACTGAGGTTATCCTTCTCATTCCTTTCAATCCCAGAAAAGAGTGGGGATTAGAGCCGTTCCTTCCCCTTACTCTGCTTCCTACAGTCAAAGAGAAGAATGTGTGCAAGACTCTGTCTCAGTTGCTGAAGACCTACCAGCATCCACCACCTTCAGGCAACAAGGTACTCTGTGACTTTTCTATGATGTAAACATGAGGTTACTTCTTAGTGGATGATTTACTACCTTGTGGTTGTATTGCTATAGTAACACACGTGTAAGCACTGCAAAAACACAGAGAGAGTTTGCCATACTGCTGTACCATTGTTTACTATTTAGATGTTTAAGAGGAGCTCTTAAATTATTATATCCTATGGTTATGTCTGTTTAAAAACTCGCCTTTATCTTTGGACAAGCCCTGTATCTCTATAGAAAGAACTGTTGCATAAGACTTTATGATCAAAATCTGTGGCTCAACAGTGCCCCCATGAGGGCAGAGAAGCAAGATACAAAGATGTGAACATTTCTTGTTTTTCACTCTGTTGGCAGGTCCCTCCTCTCCAAGGAAAACTGCAATACATGCGTGTACTCAATGACCTCCCACCTTTTGGTGGCATTCTGTTCCAAACTGTAGGACTGGTAATATATATCTTGAAATGTGGTACAGATACAGATACACTTTTGTTTCATTTGTAGTTAATCCCTGGCTGTATTTTTTTAAGGAACTTTCTACACAGTTGATTTTAAATATCATAATACTATTTCATCAGAATAAAATAGTTGTGAACCTTCTATTTTCTTCAACAGGATGACAAGCAGTCAGCTACAACATTACTCGTAGGTCCTCGACATGGCATAAGTCACGTGATTGATCTGAAAAACAACCTCACAACTGTTCTGGCCGAGTTCAGTCGGGTTGCAAAGATCCAGCTCTACAGAGAGAGCCAGGGAGTTGCTCGAGTGGAGGTGTCAATTCATGATGCTAAGGTATTACAATCTCTGGACTGTTAAGACATACCACTATGCTACACTGGCAATGTGTAGTAAGCATGCCAACGTCAATGTTCACTCTTTAACTTAGCAAATGTGTTAGTGATTTAAAAAACACGAGAATTATCTCACGGATATAATTTTATCAGGTGATTACAAAAAGAGCAGGCAATGCTCATTGCCTGTCCCCTAAAAAGTCTCCTAATTCCCCTCCCTACCACCCCTTGCAGCCCCTGGTTCTGCTTATGGAGTGGCCTGATGCCAGTAATTTTGCATGCCTGATCTCCGGCTACTACAAGCTGTTCGTAGATCCAAAACGGACCATCTACTTCCGGACTCCTGGTCAGTCACAACTGACCAAGGCAGGTATGTTAAGAGTTTTCCTGATCTGTAGAGATTGATTTATATCAATTGACTTCTCTGATTAGAAAAAAAATCATCAAAACTTAAGTCATTTTCATACAAAATTTTGTTTATTTGAAAGATTAACATGGAACAGTCATATAACACAGGTTTAGAGCCGCATTATATTTAAGTATTTCTCTCAGCACCACACACAGTAGTGCATGTTAGGCTGTGTTTGCCAAGCTTCATTGTATGTTGAGTCTACATGAACATTGATTTGCTTCTCCATTGGCTGAAACCATTACCAAGTTGTTCTGGACCTACCATCCCATGGCGCCCCCTGCTGTCTCTCCTCTCATCTCAGCCTTGACTCATTGGAATGGAATACTCCATATTTCTTTTTTTTTTACAATAGAACAACATTATGGAATTGACAATGATTTGTATTTCTAGCGGTAATCATTGAAATCAACTGTTCAGACACAAACAGAGCCTCTACCATCTGCTGTCTCAACCTGTGCTCCACCTAAGAGGAATCATCATACCATCACATTTCACCAGAATCTAACCCTACAACCTCCAACAAACTTCAACTTTCAACATTCATCTCTAAAATATTAATCTCCATGTGACCACCAGCTGTCGCCTCCTCTTTCCCATCTGGATACTACATCCCCACCAGTGTCTAACACCTCAAATTATCCAATGCTTTGACAATTCTGTCCTCAGATTACAGAAGCTCCCACCATGCACACCCACGTTCAGGAGCAACCGGCTTGTCAAGTGGAGGGCGACGTGGAGAGGAGAGGGAAAGTTCACATAGGGAGTCAGGATCTGCAAGGGCCCTGGTTCCTGCTGAGCCTCAGCATCTGGGCCTATGCCACGTACACCTTCGTGAACAACAACAGTTTCAAGAGCTCCAAACACAAGCTGAAGCTGAACTTGACATTAATGAAAACTTTATTTCCCAAGAGCCCCCTGGTCGGGGTCGAACCAAGTCAGACCCCACCCAGCAGAGTACAGAGGAAATAGCTGGAGTTCTGGAGAGCCCAGCAGTGGACAATGCAGGATTCAGAATTCGAGCCCAGACCATGAATCAGTCCCAGAAAAACTCAAGATATTTCTGTGACTCCTGTAAAGCGAGACATAGAGCAGAGGGTCTTTCACCTGCTGTGAACAGTAGCGGGAGTTCAGGCAAGCACTGCTCCAGTGCTTGTGCATCCCGAGATGGAGGCGCTGTTGATCTCACGGCCCTACCACCCCCAGGGAATGAAGAGGAGGATGAGGAGGAGGCAGATGTTGGAGGGGAAAAACTACAACCACCACCACCTGCTATTGCTGCACCACCACCCGGTTTTAGGGACAACAGCTCAGATGAGGATGACACAAAAAGGAGGAGGAGGGCTCGCATCAGTGCCAGTACAGGGGTTCCTTCTGCGAAGCTGGCCCAAGCCAAGGAAGATGTGCCGGTGACACTGATTGATAATGTGGCCACTAGGACAGTCCGTGATCATGCTCAGGAGCTTGATGATGCTTTGGTGTCCACCTTACAGGCACTAGAGGCTTTGGCAGCTTCAGAGGATTACCCCCATCACCCTCAACAACCGACACAGACTGCAGGTCAAAAGGCTTTGTCAGGCCACAGCCCACATCTCACACACAAAATAAGCAAAAATACTGATCTGAAAAATATCTCTAAGAGTCCACTTGTCAAATGGCAAGGAAAACCTTTTTATTGTGCTATAGCACTGTATGCATATTACCTCCAATAATAGGTGCAAAAAACATTTGCTTTAGGTATAAAGTACAAATCAATTAAGAATCAACAATAGTGGCCAGTCATTTCCAAATATGGTGTCTCAGATACATTATTTATTAATACTTTAACTAGCCAATGAGTATCTGCCATTCTTTCACCTATCCCGAGCACAAACTGTTGTCTCTACAGTACTGTCAGGCAAGCTCATTCATTAACGGGGTCTGTGACATCAAGATACTGCTAAACTACAACTGTGTTTTATATGGGGAGTGCTGTGTATTTTCTTTTTTTTTTTAATTTTAGAAAAAGGGCTTTCATGCTTTGCAAACAATTTATACCCTTTATTTAATTGTAAAATGGTGCAAAGTAAAAATATAAAATGTTGAAACCTAAAATCACATTGTTTCATTCAAAAAATATGATTAATTCAAATTTGATGCCAGAAACACCTTTCAAAACATCTGAGGGATGTTATCTCTATAGCTTCATCACCTCTTCTCACAACAACCCTGGAAAAGTTTGAGAACTTAAGAGACTAGTTTCTGTTTGACTGATGAAAGATTTCAGACACTCAACTACTCAACTGCTCAACAGTTTGATTTTGATGCCCTGAATATGTTGATTTGCTGACAAATCAAAAAAGTAGTCTGGCCAGTTTAACACCTCCTCACTCTTACTGAACCATACTGTTGTATTACATGCAGAATGTGGTTTGTTATCATCTTGCAGAAATATGCCCTGTCTTCCCTGATAGAGGTTTTATCTAGATGGTAGCACATGTTGTTCCAAGCCTACATTGTTTGGCATTCATGATGCCTTCCCAGATGTAAAAGCTACTCATGCTGTGGGCACACATGCATCATGATATCGATGCTGTTTCACTATGTGCTGATGATATACCGATATACTGAATGACATGCCTCTGACTACTGACTACTAGTTGTGTCTATTTTTAGAGAAGTGCTACCTGAGGGCCCAAAGATCACAGCTGTCTAGCACAGATTTTTTGGCCTTGTACAAAGATTTCCTCTAATTCTGAGTTTTTTAATAATATTTTTTTCTTAATTAGCTGGGAAATGTTCCTGCACACATCTTTTTCAGAGTTTTGTTGCTCCTGTCCCAACTTTTTAAAAAATGCGTTGCTGGTATAACCTTAAACCTGAGCATGGATTTTTTTTTACCAAAAAAAAATTCATTTTTCTGTTTAACATTTGATATTTTGTCTTTGCATTTCCAATTGAGTATGGGGTTTCAGTTATTTGCAAACCATAAAAATATGATTTTTAAATTAAGACAACGCAACATCCCAACGTTTTCAGAATTGGGGTTGTATTTTTGCTGCTATCATTAAAACAGTAACATTGTTTCTTTATATTTACATGATTCAATTATCCTAACATTGTGTTTTGTTGCCTTCCTTCTCAGGACTGATTGTCTTAGCTGCCATTACACCAGAATCATCACTGGACTCAGGCCACGAGACCAACTCCTCAGAGTTCACAGATGTTTCTGAAATGGTGTCAGCTATGAAGCAGAACCAGAACCAGGCCTACTTGCTGGCTCACAACATCAACAAGGAACGCATCCTCTGCCGCCGTGACTTTCCCCTTGCTATCCCTGGGTGCACAGCAAAGACCATAGGGACCGGGGCCTTCTCTGTAGGTCAGATTCGTGCTGGCTGTCCACCCAAGCAAGTAATCCTCAGTAAGACTGTTCCCTTTAAAGTCAGTCCCAGTCAGGAATCGGCAGTACTTAGTGTTATGACAGAGCAGGTGGGAAATCAAGACACTACTCAGCCAGAAAAGAAAACAGAAATAAAGGCAAACTCTGAGTCCACAAAAACAAACACCCCTGATCCTCCTTCTATGTCACCTGAAGAACTTAAGGTGTCAGATGCTTCACTTGCAGTTCAAGTTGGTAAAGATCAGAAGCTTTCGAATTCTTTTGGGGAGACACAGCCCCAAAACCTGTCCGAGGGTAAGAAGGGGAAGACAACAGCACCTCCAAAACTAGACCCTAGCAACAAAGCCTTACCTATCCTCCTGCCTGTGGACAAAACTGCCTCTGCCAAGATTTCTCCCACTAATATGTGCCAAGATGCCAAGACTGCCTCTAGTGAGACCATGAAGCCTTCAAGCTCTACAGAACTTCTGCCAGTGGATGATCTTTTCTGCACATGCCCAGTGCAACAGGAGCCTGGGCCTCAACTGAGACTTAAAGACCCTCAGGTTCAGAAGGTAGTCGTGTTTCAATCCTCCTCCCCCACGGATGATGAGCGTCTGCGGGCCAAAGGTCTCCAGATGGCTAACAGTAAGGAAAATTCAGTGAGAGTAGGAGCAGATTCGAGTTTGGCAAAACACAGCCCTCAAATAAAGACCAAGTACTCACCTTGTCTGCCTGCAAAAGCAGAGAGAAAAGAGGTGGCTGAAAGCAAGACTGAGGAGGCCCAGGGCAAGTCAAATCCTGAGACTCAGAAATGTCCCATGAAATCCTTGCCAATTTTAGATGATCCAACAACACCTAATCCCTCTGTGGATAAGGTCTCCACTCTTCCAGCCAGAGATTCAAAAAAGCAGGGCAGTGGTAAAGGCAAGTCCCCACGCAGTGCCCCTTTCTTAAGCTTTAGAAACCTGTTGTCAGCTACATTTCCCGCAAGAATGCGAAGAGAAACAGATGAGCGAAGAGCTCAATTACAGAAGGTCCGTCAGTATGAGCTAGAGTTTTTAGAAGAGCTGTTGAAACCCAAGTCATCCCAGGGTGAATTTTTGCCCCAGGGATCCTCACCTGTGCCCTCAGGCACTCCTTGTGCCTGCCAGCTCCGCACCAGCCCTGTCCTAAAGGCACCAGGCATCTCTAGAGAGCAGAGACGCAGCTGTGACTGTAAGCGGATGTGTAGAGGAATGCGACTACCTGACACACCAGTTGGCTCGACAACAGAAACACAACACAGAGGCAGAGAAAGAACCATCTCAAAAACCCCTCCAGCAGTCTCCAAAGTCCCTCACAACCAAGGTGCTACGAGGAGACCTCAGACCTTGGAGATCAAGACCACAAGAATACGCTCAACTAGCCTTGAGTCAAGAGAGCCAAGGGGAGAGCAGGGTTCATGCTTGCCTACTTGTACCTCTCAAACAGACTGCATGGGAGGTCCGCAGTACAAGAAACTCCAGAGGCGATACAGTATTGGAGAGCTCGATAACAGCACTAGCACACCTGTGTATGCTGAGGTAAAGCCCAAAGCCAAGAGTTTAGAGAAGGAGATGGAGAGAGTGAGGGCCACAGGGCTGAGGCTACCAACCCCAATAGAGCCAGTTCACACTCAATCTCATCAGGACAAGGGGAAAAAGGGTGTGTTTTTCATTCAGGGGGAAGATTTAGTGCGTGAAAGTAAAGACGGGCCTGGAGAGGTGCTACTGACCTTGCCCAGTGAAGACAGTGATGACAAAGATAAATGCTGCTCATTCTGTTTCTGCTACAGGAAGTGTGAAGCAGCTGATGAAAGCAGTGAGAAGGATGAGCTCTCTTACTCAATACCACTCCAAGTCCTTCCAGGCATGGAATTGGACTCACGTACCTTTCCTGTAGTTAGCAAAACACTTCAGGTTCTTAATGCAGAGGACTGTAGTGGGGAAGAAGAAGAGGAGGAAGAGGAGGAGGAGGAGGAGCCACAGACACAGGAGATTGACCTAAGAGCCTGTGGTACACTGGAAGGGAGCCTGGCACGGGTACAGGCTCTACAGGGGAAAAGTTTCACTTTGCCTGATGGCTTCCTTAATGCCCAGTTGGATGCTAATGAGTTGCTTGCTATCCTGCGTCAGTGTGCCAACAGCCCACAAGCAGAGGGTGAAGCTCGTCTTCCTCCCTCACAGATTACAGAGTACAAACAGGAGTTGGCGGTGCGCTTCAAAGAATTCAGAGCCTCTTGTCGGCGGGTGGCAAGTGTTGAGAAAAGTCCAACACGTATGCTTGCTGTAGTATCAGCCAGCTTTCAAGTGTTGTGTGAACTGACTCAAACCTTTATTAAATTAGTCAGGGGGGTTCGTTCCGAAACCCAAAGGCTGCAGCTGCTGAGAAAAGTTGAAGAAGTAGCTATCAACTACACTTTGCTTCTACGTGCAGCAGAGGAATCAATGGGACACTCAAGCAGCCTACCAACAAAGACAGTGAGCCCTCAAGTTCCCCCAAATACCAATAACATGAGCTCTCTCACTCGACCCATTAAGACTCTGCCTGCTCAGTAAGAACACATCTGGAGGGAAGGCATTGAAACAGTTCCAACCGTGGGTGGCTTCTCTATCTAAATCATTGTTTCTTTGTTTACATTTTTTAAAAAGTCATGCAATGAATCATCCTCAGTGAAAATGGAAATGAACCTGTTCCATCTCATGTTTACAGGCCCTGAGGTAGCCTTGTGGATCTCGTTTTAAAAATGTAAAGATACACTCAACTAATGCACAACGGATAAGAACCCTATAACAGACTGGGTGATACAGGGCTAATCCCCTCACATCAATACTGATAATATACAAAAGTCATTATAGTATAATATTTTATATGTACTGTATATTTGAGTTGTGTCTACTTAGCAAATAATATAAAGTTTTGTGAAGAAAAAAGTGAAGAATATATTTGAAATGTATTGATTTAAGAGAAGTATAAAGATTAAAATAAATCATCAGAAATAAATGTATGCTCTGGAAAAAATATTTCAGAGAACTCGTCAAGTAGCGACTTCTGTTAATTGCATAGTCCAAGGCATTGGTTTGGCTAGATGGTGATGTGTTTGTTAAATTTTCTTACTGTTGTAATGCAAAATGGAGATCTCTGTTGGCTTTGTTGGCGTCTGGCATATCAATATGAGAGTGAAAATGTAAGTTGCTGTGTCGGAAAATGAAAATGACTGAAAGACAAGTATGACATTTAAACTTAACTGACTGACAGACGCCCATCCTCTCATTATACCAGTGCAGGTGTGAACACACCTGCTAAGGGCAGACAATGTAGCAGAGACCCTAGTCACAAACTTATCGCCATACAGTCATGAGTGGGGTTACTTCACTCAGCTGTAAAGAAGGAATATCCATACTGTACTTTATGACGCACAGTGTATTTTACACCATCACTGATCCACGTCTTACTTGCTTCACACTGTTGTAGTTAAAAATATAGCTATCCACTTGCAAGTGAGTGAACTTATCACTAGAACTTTGCACAACCTCCGAAATTAGCTCTGCAAGTTGAAATGTATCTTTTGATGTTAAATTTAGTGTTTTTTATTCACTCTGCTGCTGAATAACTGACTTGAGTCCACAACACACATAATCCATCTCCTCAAAGCTAAGTCTTACCCGTTTCAAAGAATCCTTTGTTTATATTCAGGTTCTCAGATACACTATAAACAAATTTGCTTTCTATGTGCTGTTACATTGTGCAATCTAGCAAATATATAAGGAACACAAAAAGTAGTTTTCTATGTATTTTAATAAAACTAACACATCTGTTTCCTGTCTGAAATCTTCTTTGTGTCTCATCCTCTTGTTGTTCTTGGAAACAATACACAGAGGCTTCATAAGTGTGCTGGCCTAACACGTGTGCTGGACTTACTGTTAAAGAAAGAGTTGTGAAAATTTTCAAATTCAAAAAATTAAAAGTGACTACTGGGCTGTCACCATACTGAAGACAAACAGCTGACACAGCTTGGGCTTTTGAACAACCAGAACTATGAACTTGAGTCATGAGTTTACTAAATACTGAACTTTTCTGACTTAAAAAAAACAATCCCTAGTCGAAGTATTTTCCTGCAAATTTCCTAGCTTAAGGTATCAGCAGAAAAATACAATATTTTCAGATTCAAAGCCATACAGTGGACTCAATATCTTAAGCATAAAATGTGACAAAAGTCAGAATTCTACAGCAACACATTCAAGGACAATAACTACTTTGCAGCCAAATTATGTTTAAGTTGTAATATAATCTTAAGCAATTTAGAAAGTACTAATTTCATGTCTATTTTCAACCAAAATAATGAGTTAGTGTAAGTGGAATAAACTGGAAATACAGCCCCTACATAAAAGGTTTTATTTTTACCGGTGAGACTGTAAACGTAAAGGCAGACTTTCCTGCACGTTTTGTTGATTTCACAAACACACATTAGCAATGAAAACAAACACTTTCTTTTAACAGTTTGTCCTTTGCAGTCGATGTGGCATTTTCCATAACCATGTGCAGTGTTTTCTCCTTCGCTGTACTGCATGTTTTCCCTAACGTATTGTACTTTCAGGGGCAGATACTTCAACAATTGTAGGTGATGAGACTGTTTATACAGATGTTTTGCAATTCCAAAGTGGAAAACAGGCTAAAGTAAAAGGCTGTGGTGGCAATATGTTAATGTTTTGCAAATAATATTCTGTATGAAAATGTATTATTCTACATTGCAAATGTAAATAGTAAGATAAAATATTTGAGAGAATACAAAACACTTTTAAAATCTTACTTGTAACATTACAACTTATCCAAACCCTTCACTATTTTGTATAAAGGAAAAGATTAAACATGTCTGTAAGGTAATTATTTATAGTAGTAATGTAACATAGAGACTAATAGCAAAACATCTATTTTAATGAGTATATTACAAGCGTAAAGCATGGGACATGTTTATTTTTATAACCAAAAATATTCAGACAATATTCTCTCATCAGCAGTTGAACATTTTTGACATTATGATGAGCATTTGTTGTGGTTGTCATTGTTCAGTTGCTTTGCTAAACTGTGTGGATTTGTCTGTGTTTCATTCACACGATGAGCCCACCATGGCTTTATCCATTGTTTCTTTCTGTGCACCTATTCATTCCTGTCTTTATTTACTGTCAATGATCTTGTCGTCACTGTGGTCTTCTGTCTGTGTACAAAATTAACTCATGTTTTAAGAGCAATAAAGTATATTGTATAAACTCTCAGAGAATTTGGGAATGACATTGCATGCAGTTAACTTGTAGTTGTAGTGTGGGTGGGGTAATCCATTGAAATGACTTCAAACAAAATACATCATGTGGCAGGTAAAATACCTGCCGGCATCTTCCCTGCTGCTCCTAGCGTGTTCTTACTGCTAAGGTTGCCTCTGGCAAAAACTAATGTTGACTCAACAGTGTAAACCTCTTTGACTTGACACAACTTCAAATATTAACAGTAAATGTTGCAGTATAGTTGACAGTTTAGGAATATTTATAATGTTTTTACTGTATTCTTCTCTATGTTACTGTTGCGCATTCAAGGAACAAATGAATTCTAGCCCAAGGCCAGCCAAGGAAAACTCAGTAAGTCAAACCCTGAAGTAAGAGACTAGCAGCAAAAGATAGTAAAGTAAAACTACAACTGGCTGTGATGTTTAAAACTTTAAACCACTACTTTACAGGCCTTTCAATTCTAAATGTAAAGCAAATATTGAGGTGAAATTCACAATTTGTGAAAAAAAAAAATATATAAATAAATAAATAAATTAGATAAAGCCTTGAGCTATCAAATTCATGATGATTAAATTCAAGTATCCCCTAAATGCAGTGGCTCACTTTCATGGCTATGACATTTAAATATTGTTGTTATTGCCATGGCAAAACACAAAACTGACAAAACAGATTAACTGAAAAATAAAATTATTATTCCAGATAAATTGAAAATGGCAGAGACAAACAACATGCACTGTTTCCTTGATGGCAGATGTTAACAAAAATTTGGTTATGTTCTGGAAAGGTGACCAAATATATGCTCGGGTCTCTCTGTCAATGTAACAGATTTTGCTTTATTGCAGTTTGTATTGTATTTCCTAGATCTATCGTGAAGGTGGTGAATGATAGAAAGAAGCATTACCTTGAGCTAACGTGGACGATTTTCCATCGCATGGGGGTTAATTGTTTGCAGTTCAAACATTTTCTGTGAACAATTAAGGAATTATAACTTTAACCTTTGTCGGTAAATTAGAAAGAAATGGCGCAAGAGGTAGCTGAAACTGTGTGTGCGTTTTCAAGTTAGCATCCACTTATTTCGGATTCAATTAGCCATTTAGCTTTTAATGTGCACGTGCTGTTACACCCTCTCGCTCGCACTGGAGAATCATTAGTGTACCTTGCACGCTCACGTGCCACTGGCTTTGGCTCAGTTGCCGGAATTACGTCATCGCGGCATCACCCGAGCAAAGGCGTGCGCGCCACCCCGGTAGGAAAAAAACCCGCACGCTAGACGTGTGGGACATAATGGTGGATAGGTAGGGAACTCACTTTAGCTCGCAGGAGCAGCTCGTCAACTGTTGATTACATTTCCAGTCGTCGCTTTGGACTCTAAGGTACCCGTGACTTCACTCTTGGTCGCTGGCTCAGCCCGCTCAACTTCAACGACGCCCTGGACCATAACAAAATGCCGAATATCAAAATATTCAGCGGTAGTTCGCATCCGGACCTGTCTCAAAAGATAGCTGACCGCCTGGGTCTTGAGCTGGGGAAGGTTGTTACCAAAAAATTTAGCAACCAGGAAACGTGGTGAGTGTTTTTGCTGCTTAATACAGTTTGTAGTCAAGAGTATTACAATATCTAGTGCGCAAATGTTGTAGCTAAGCGACATGTAACTGGTTAGAAATGTGGTGTCACGGTAAATTTGCCGCGCAGTGCTGTTGGAACTTGTAGTCCACGCATGTCTGAGAATCCATGCTAACTTGCTGCCTGTCTTGTAGTCCTCAATAAAAGCACCTTCGTTACATGACTTCAATGAAATTGTAACGCCATGCCTTATAGCATGAAGACCCTCATCTTGTGACTCAGCATGCTGATCCTCCCCTCAATTAAAACCCTTGTTCACAGTTAGACATCAGCGACTGTTTACTCTGCCTCATCTATCTTCTGCCTGCCACGGTGTGTTCCCTCCATGGCCCTAAGTGCTGTTTGTCCTGTCCTCTCTCTCTTCTGGCAGCGTGGAGATAGGAGAGAGCGTACGTGGGGAAGATGTCTACATCGTACAGAGTGGCTGTGGGGAGATCAATGACAATTTGATGGAGCTGCTGATCATGATCAACGCCTGCAAGATTGCCTCTGCCTCGAGGGTCACTGCTGTCATCCCCTGCTTCCCCTATGCTCGGCAAGACAAGAAGGACAAGGTGGGGGTGAGGGATATCTGTCTAATTACTTCTGTCATGCCATTTGCCATCAAGCATCATGACAAGAAGCCTGCAGCCATGTCCATCAGTAAACACTTAACAAGGCATATTTACTCTTCCTGTTTTTGTTTGCTTGTCCCTCTTTCATCCTATATGCTTTAAGCCATAAACAGTTCCCCTCCCATCCTTCCTTATGTTGCTATTTGGCTATTATTTGCTCTCATCCAAAAAATTTCAGTCAATTTGCATCATAGTTTAAAACTATGGAAGCTAGATACTGTGATGACACTAAATGTCCTGAATTTTATTATTAAGCTCGATAATTAGAAATAAGTATTGCAGTTGGGCCAAGCTACTTGTATTTTTAACCTTTTGTGTGGTTGTATCTTAAGGAAATGAAAATGCATCTGTGTGCCTAGTCCTCACTTAAATGTTATTATTAGAAACAAGCCATGCTTGCCACTTCACTTATTCCATGTGACTGAAGAGATCTGTTTTCATTTCAGAGCCGTGCTCCTATCTCTGCCAAGCTGGTGGCTAATATGTTGTCAGTATCAGGCGCTGACCATATCATCACCATGGATTTGCATGCCTCACAGATACAGGTCAGCAGCACCAACACTGAAAAAAGTAGTTCTGATTTCCAATCCTATTGTGAATAACTTCTGCAATACGTCTTCCTACTCCTACAATCTTAAGCTTTTTGCCTCATTCTGAGATTATACTTGAATACTGGCTTTTATAGCCTGAAATATAAAAGATTTCAATGCAGGACTGAGGGAGACACAAGCTGTTTATTGGTTCTTTCATTGTACAATTGAATTCAACTCCTCTGACACCTTTTAATCTATTATTTTGTTGTCCTTTTTCAGGGATTCTTTGATATTCCTGTTGATAACTTGTATGCGGAGCCTGCTGTGCTGAAGTGGATCAAAGAGAACATACCTGAATGGAAGAACTGTACCATTGTTTCACCCGATGCTGGAGGAGCCAAAAGGTAGGTTTCTGGCTTCATATGGATAATCTTCCTCTGAGCTCAGTGAAGCCTCTGAAATCTCTTCTGGATTGACTGTACTTTCAATTAAACTTGTGTAGCTTTTTTTACCTCCAGGAGTGTGTGCATAAAATTTGGAGAGAACAACAATGTACTCTCATTGCAGGGTCACCTCGATAGCAGACAGGTTGAATGTGGACTTTGCGCTTATCCATAAAGAAAGGAAAAAGGCAAATGAGGTGGATCGCATGGTTCTCGTCGGAGATGTGACTGATCGAGTTGCCATTCTGGTTGATGACATGGCTGACACATGTGGCACAATCTGCCATGCTGCTGACAAGTAAGTTCATTTGTACTTTTTTTTTTTTTTTTTTTTTTGATTGAAAACTTAATGTGGGTCACTGTGCTGATTATTTTTGTGTTTCTCTCTGCAGACTTATTTCTGCTGGTGCAACCAAGGTGTATGCCATCCTAACCCATGGCATCTTCTCCGGCCCAGCTATCTCACGTATTAACAATGCGTGCTTTGAAGCCGTGGTGGTCACAAATACAATCCCTCAGGAGGAGAAGATGAAACATTGTCCTAAAATACAGGTCAGGAAAAAAAGTGCAGCTGCAACTAAGGATTTTGTAAAATTGTTTTCATTTGTGTGTATCTTGTATACTTTGTGAGCAGAAATGAATTAATCTAATACTTACAAATAGACTCTTATTGTATATTTAAAGCTTTTTTTTTTCTTTTCTTCCTTCAGGTCATAGACATCTCTATGATACTTGCAGAGGCCATCCGTAGAACTCACAACGGCGAGTCTGTGTCGTACCTGTTCAGTCACGTCCCCTTGTAACAAATAGTGTCAACCATCCACTACCTGCTGTTACACCAAACGAGAAGAGGGAATTCCCCACCAAAAAACACATCCATTAGCGAAGATGCTCTGCTCACTAACCATGAAAAATAGAATGAACCGTCATGTCTGTTACTAATGCTGATCCCACTCATGTGAGTCCCTTCCCCCTTGAGTTGTGTCCTTCGTGTCCAGGGCACTTCAGCAACCGCAAGCTACCTTCTTAGGCCAGCATATTTATTGTACTTGGATAAGTAAGTGATTATCCATTGTGAACTTTGTCTCCCCTTTCACAAAACGAATAATCAGAGTTTCTCCTGACCATTTTGTTTCCAAAGGTGTCATTTCAATGTGTTGTCAAAGAGCTTATATAACTGTTTCCAGTAGGTCAGGGCTGGTCAGGAGGGGCATCTGCCACATAGGCTGTTACAGTGATTTTGTTACAATAAACGGATGTAGTTTTTCCATGTTGCTCTTGTATATCCTGCTGTTTGAGAGATTATTATTGATGAAGTGAATGTGTATCGAACCAGTTTACAGTGCCACTGAAGCTCCACTCAACCAAGAGTGCCTCAAAAGTTTGAAATGAAGGGACCCCCTCCTCCACTGTCCCACATCTCCCTCTTCCTGTTTTTTCCTTTTTAGTCCATTAATGAAGAGCTTCAGTGTATATTGTCAGGCAGTAGAAAATTGTGGGGGGTGGTTCCTATCAACTCTTGAGGTGCCCTCATTGAGTGGGGTTTGCCCAGTGTCCAGGGTTCACCCTGCAAGGTTCTACGTTGAAGGTCTGTCTTTTGAGAAGCCGTTGGATTTTAGTTTTAGGTCTCTGCAGGCTAGAGCTTCCTTCAGAAATGTTCACCTGCTGTTTTTGTTTTCTCTTTTGATGTTTTTTTTTTTTTAATTGTCTTTGAGGAGGGATTTGTTATCAGTGTGCATATTTCAAGCCTTCATGTTTACTCTTTCAGTAGAGTGAATGCGCCAATTATCTAAGGATGGATTCTCAATATTAAATGAGTAAAATCTTAATCCCGGTATTTGTTTTTGTTACATCTGGTGTTTATTGACCTCAAAGGGGATTAATATCCATAAAATAAAAAATGTCGGTGGATAAAGTATGATACAGGATACAACGTGAATTCATTGATGTAATCTTTAACAGGGACACTGTCCAACACATGGACTTAACTGCACTTCAGACAGCTAAAATAAAGTACCTGAGCATATTTGTTAACTCTTGGAATTCGGTTTACAATTGACCGAGGCAAATGTCTTTCCTTTTTTGCATTTGTCTTGTGTGTTTCCCCGTATAGCACATCAAGCTCCGGCAAACGATAGCACGTTGATTGACGGACACTTTGTCCAATCACGGACAATATCGAGTAGAACGCCTTGACCAATCGCCATCCTAAATGAGGCGGGCCAATGAGGGACACCGGCTCCTCCGAGACCTCTTAGTCATCTTGATATCGCTCCGCATGGTCCGACGGGATCAAATCGGTAGATTGCTGGTGCGGAGGTGCAACTGTTTACCAACGTGCTTTTATTATAGCTCGACGAATAAACTGTGGTTAGTCCTCATCTCGAGCTGTGTTTGCAAATATCGTGGCACGCCGGGTCTCCGTGTCTTAATGATGAGGAGTGGGGGATTGGAGTAGACATTTCGCTTTACGTCTTCCACGGTTGTGCTGCTCTGGTAAGTCTTTTCGCCCATGTAATTTGCGTTATATGTCTGATAACTCCCACAGCTGACAGTGTTTAACTTGGATTGAATCTTCCATTGCATCATACCCAGCTACATTCTTTTTCTCTCAGATTTGTTATCAGATTTGTTTAATTGATTCTGAAACTATTATAGGTGTGGCTTTGTTAATTGTTCTGTATGTGTGAAACAGCCCTGCAGTTTCAAAGTTTGGCTTTATGTCATGATTTGTTTTCTAACCTGCTCTCAGCTCAAGGATGGTTGGAAGTCCTGATCACAAACTGGATGATGAAGGCCTTAGGGACCCTGTGGTTCGTTTCCAGAGCTACCTGCACGGAGGGACCTCGAGTTTGTTATCAGCCCTCCCCACCTTCATTGTCTTTCCTGTCTACAAAACAGTTTTCCGACAACAGCTCCACAACACCCCTGTCCATACGGCAGTGGCACAGCTCTACAAAGAAGGTCCATTAAAGCTCTACAGGGGTGTGGTCCCTCCATTACTGATGAGGACGCTGAATGGTACTCTGCTTTTTGGTCTCCAAGACACGCTCCTCCACCAGCTTACCGTCTCATCCCATTATCCCATGCCCACCTCTGCCATGCCTGCTCTGGCTGGCTTTGGAGCAGGTATTGTGGAAGCCATGGTTCTCACCCCCCTCGAGCGTGTCCAGAATGTGTTACAAAACGGCCAAAACGACCACCGGCTTCCCACACTGAAGAGTGTTCTCATGAGGCTGAAGTCACAGAGATTGGCTTTAGGCTACTACAGAGCCTTCCTCCCCATCACAGCCAGAAATGCTCTGGGCAGCTCCTTGTATTTCGGCTTGAAGGATCCTGTGTGTACTGTTGTAGCAGGACAAGGGCTCTCACCAATGATCTCATCCTTTATCTCAGGGACACTGACCTCCATGGCAATCAGCCTGACTCTTTACCCGCTGTCTGTGCTTGTGGCAAACATGCAGGCACAGGTGGGAGCGGAGGGGAAAGGGGTCATAGCATGTTGGAGGATGCTGTGGACATCCCGGCAGAGGAGTGTGGCTCTGCTGTACCGAGGAGGGTCTCTAGTTATTCTGAGATCATGCATTACATGGGGGATCACTACAGCTATTTATGACAGGCAGCAGAAAAACTCAGGCTGACCAGAAGCTGTGATAAGTATTTGATATTATTGTTTTATGATTTACCTCTCAGAAAATGGTGCAATATTTTTACTTATTTACAATTACTTGACATGCAGATAATGGTAACTTCTTCTCTTTGCTATTTTTATTGACCAGTGATAAGAATCATCATGTTACTTGAAAGTGGGGCTGGGCGATAAAACGATAACGATTTATATAAAAAATTAATTTCCCTCGATATCGATATAAAACATGGTCAATACGCGTTCCGATAGTCAGCATTCTGCCATGTTTTGGTAGACTATAGGAGTAGCCAATGCTGCAGCTACACGCAACCATAGCCCTTAGGACATGAAGCAGAGTAATGTACACTGCAATATGTACTTATGTCGAGTACATGTTCTCGCAAAATCGGGGAATACCTCAAATCTTTGTCACCACCTGAATCAGTGCCACACAGCACAGCACACGCAATGCAAAAGGTTCCAAACCCCAAGCGGAGCAAGGAGCCCATGGCGCCTGTGCAGCGGAAACAGCCGACCCTTCAGTCCGCTATCTCTAGCACAACGCCTTACGACAAAACGTCAAAGAGACACAAAGACCTCACAGAAGCAGTAGGTTTTTGTATTGCAAAAGACATGCTACCAATAAGCACTGTTAAATTTCATTTTTTACATCCTGATATATATCGATATCGACTGATATGAATAAAATATATTGTGATAAACTTTTTGCCATATGGCATCGCCCAGCCCTACTGGTAAGCAAAGAGAGATGTGTTGCTCTTCCACTTTTCATTCATCACCTTATATAAGGGGACCAACCCCTGTTGTTCAGGTGCCAAAACTAAGGGTCGATTTTTTTACAACAGCTTTTCCTTAAAGGGCAAGCACAGGTTCCATTCATGACATTACCAAAGGCCTGGTTCTGTTCAAGTATCTTGACATAGACAGCGAGCTAGTTTCAATAAAATACTCCTCAAATGGTAGCGGACAAACTTAGTGTAGCCATATCATCTGATTGTTTACACCTGCTCTTTTCTTACGTTTACATGTTAAAATGTCCTCTGTGTTATTACAGTCACATGAACAAGATGCACTGCCTGATTCAAATCAACCAACACTGCCAGTATTGCAAGTTTCTACACACAAGGAAGGAAAAACAACACCACTGCCAGGGCTTGAAATTATGACAGTATGACCAAAGTTGTTTGTGCAGCATGTAATTGTGAAGCAAGTTAATTACAAGTGCCTGTAATTTCACTAATAATAACTCATCCTGGGAATCACAGCTCATTCTGAGGTCACTGTTGTTTAATGTCCGATAAGGTTTGGAGCAGGCTTTGTTTATGATAGTTTTAGGGTTATTTTTTCCTATATGAACACAGTATGCAGTAGGAAAGACAGAAAACACACATCAAAAACACTTATAATGGTCTTACTAGAGACGGTTCCACTACAATTTTCTCTGAAATCAGCATTAATCCTGTGTGACGAATAGGGCTCAGATTTTCGGAATGATGGTTATTTACGATCGTTGATTCAAAGGGCTGGTCCTGTCACCCTCTCTTTCCTTATTATGGCATCTCTACACAGTTTCTTCCACTTTTGAGGACCTGGAGCTACTCTCAAAAGTAAAGAGTGTAGAAATGGGAATATTAGTTGATATCTAGCAGTCAGATTTCAGAATGAATTGCTCCCCATCTCACCCTGCCCATACATGGTACATGTCTCAAGAAACTCCTTATACATTATAAATTGTAGTCTCCATTTGTCAAATATTTACTGTAAAAAACAACAACTGCTCTCTTCTTTTTTTTCCAGCCAGTGCATGCCACTGCCATTCATAATTTAAAACGGGTATATTACATGTTGTCTGCAAAACCTTTTTGTACTCAGGTGATAATACACTATTTTAAACATGTTTATGAATTAAATGAATCTTATGAATCTTAAAAGTCGGTAATGAAGGGTGGTGTGTGTTCATAATGTAGTGTCATAATAGTGGGATAATTTTCCAATCTTGAAGAACTGTACCAGTAATTAGATAAATGTCACATTGAAAATCGAATCATAGAAACAAGTAAGACAAGGCACAGTGGTTAGCAGTTTCCCATACCAAGACAGTCTTAGGTATAAATCTGTCTGACAGCTATAGGGAGTCTCTGTGTGGGAATTGCATGCTCTCTCAATGTCTTCATGGGTGTGCAGAAACATGCAGGCATGGGTGGAAAAAGGAGTTAAAATGCTCTTTTTAAGAAAGTTACAATTATGTTAATGATATATTACTCAAGTAGACGTACACTAGTGGTCTGTTAATCTACTCAATAAAATGTACTTATTTGAAATGTAAGGAGTACAACCTTCAACCCTTTGTGTAGGGTGTGGGTGGAGTATAACAGACCCAAAAATTATGCAAAAGCATATTGTTGCAATATAACCAACAGCATGTGCAAAAATGATTATGACTGCATTTATGCGGGGTGAAGTTATTGGATATGTTTGTCACATCTTTTGTCAACATTGCACTTTGTATGTGTGCAGGTTGGCTGCCTGCCAGCAAAAAATGTGAGTATAATTGACTGTAGTCAGTCAAGATTGGTGCAAATGTAGCAAGCAATTCTTTTCCTGATAAGTTTAATGTAACAGTAACACCAAGCTAAGGAAATTATCAAGAGAAAATTTGGCACAAAAGTTCTTGAAATATGATTTACACCTGGCCTTTTATGTCAATGTATCTTAAAGCAAGTACAGTCAGATATTTTGACTACATTTGAGACACATTTACTTGATTTTTAATGTGTATTTTTCAGCCAGCTGGCTGTTATGCAGTTTTCTGGGAAGTTTATATATTTTTAAAGATTATTTTAAAGTTGAAGGTGTAATTTAAGTAATAATTTAAACAATATCACCAAAGTACATACAAATGGCTACTCTATTATAGTAATGTGAATGAATGTAGTTGTCATTAGCGGTGCCTACTGAACAAAACTGTATAACTTTGTCAGAATACTGTACTCCTCCAGTCTGTAACCTCAATAAAATTTTATGACTGTTCAAGTGCTTAAAATATAGTTTTTCTTTTTATCGTATTATAATAATAAAACTTTCTTTGAATCAAAAACTTTACAGTATTTGTTGTATTCTCAGTTTTCTGACATCGTTTGTTGGGTGTCATGTCATAATTAAACCACTAGATGGTGTTAGAAATATACACATGTCATCATCCCACAATAACAACACAGGATGAATATTTTTCTTCGCAGGTAGTGGGAGGGACAGATGATTGAAAAAATTGAACAGAAAGGCAGTCGTGTGTACAGAGCAGCCTGTGAGATTCCAAGGAAATTGAGCAACAACCGTGTCCAATAAAAAAAGCTTTTTCTGGGCGTTGACAGCCAATCAGAGGCAGAGCATCAGAGTCCATGTTGGTGTGCAGAAGGGCGTGTGAGCTCTATTTAAACCCACGGCTTTGCACAGATTACACGGACGCACTTAACCTGCAAAAGACATCGTCACTGCGTACTCGAGCTGCAGGTAAAATACTCTGACCTGTCTCTGTGGCTTTGTCACTTAGAGACAGTCACATAAATACAAAAATAAAAGTGTCTTAGTTATGGTTTAATTATTTCTGCATACCAAAGGTTCACAAGTGTTATGCAACATTTAGATTGTATGCTTGGAAATGTTTAATAGTTTACTCCACTAAAGTTAATACAGACCTGATACAAATGCATTACTCTGCGGGGCTGCTGCGATATAATGATATTTTATTTTATATTGTATGTCACATCCTTTTGTTGTTGTTGTTGTTGTTGTTGATTATGTTGTTCTACCACTATCCTAATTTAAAACTATCACTTTATGCATGTAGTTTTATGTGCAGAAACTTGAATATAATAGCCTTCAAACTGTTTTTGCAGACGTACTAATGCTCAGTGTCCAAATGATTGTTCGTTTGTTTTTGTTTTTATCTTTTTAACTACATATTTATGAAAACCAATTTGTAAGAACAGCCTCTGAGTTTATTGGGCTTATATCATGGTGTAATATGGCTTCATATTATAGAAGTTGGCTTAAAGTGAGTGGCAGCGGTTGGGTCATGTTATTTTTTTTCTAACTGCCCAGCCCAGTATATCTAGCTTAAATCAGGTGTGGCCTCAATTGTGTACTTGTATGAGCATGTTATGAAGATAATGTCTTTAGTGATGAAATAATCATGTGTTCCTGCTCTCACAAACTTTCTTCTCGAAACTCCCTCACTCCCTGTTTTAGTCAATATCTGTGTTTTTGAGTTTCTAGAATTTCTTTCATCTCCCTTTCTTAATTTTTTCTTCTTTAGAAATCTTCAAAAATGTCAGACTGCCAAAATAATGTCAACCAGGAGGTGACGGATTTTGACAAAAAAAAACTGCGGAAGAGTGAGACTCAAGAAAAAAACACGCTTCCAACAGCAGATGGTATGTGATGAAAAGACAAAGTAAAAGTTAACCTCTAACAAAAACAGCAACTTCAAACACTTGATCATTTATGGCGTGCAAGTCCACACCCAAGATTTTATGATATAGCGAATGAACTGGTCTGATATATTATTGCAAGATAAAAAGATATCTTGTTTAAAGCCACAGTGTATGAAGAGGCAACGTCAGGCACTTCAGCCTCATATTGTACAGCAGAGAAATGAAATGAAGTTTTTAAAAGAAGTGAGTTTGATGAGTGACTGATGTAAGATTTACTGTGACATCAAGTCCCAGAGAGACAAAACTTAACTCCAATAAGTGCTAAAATGTTGAAGTTTAGGGGCTCCATTTTGATTTATACTTCATTGAACTGTTGTGTGAGTGAAAACACACCCTTTGCGAGACGTAGCTCCACTAATGCATTTTGTAAGTCATAAACAGTCTTAAACAGAGTGCAGGTGGTGTCAACAGCCTTAAAGATCTTGCTATGACCACTAACTTAGCTCACATTTACAGCAGATAAAGTAATAGATATTGCGCAATCATTGATATGGTTCTACATTTTATTTAGTATTTAGTCCTGTGTAACAAGCTGTGAGCATGGCGTTGAGTTTTGTGTGCATCTTTCTGCTATTTGAATACGCATTATGTTGTTTTCCAGGACAAAGATAATCCAGCCTAAAGTCTACCATAGCAGAGACTAAAATTCCAATAGCTTTACCTATAGTTTTTGCAAAAGTAGAGCTAAATTGCCGGAGTAGCTCTTCAAATATTTGAACTTCTGATAGTGTTAGACAGAAACTGAGGGAGAGGAAAAGCTTACCAATTACTTGAAGATATTAGCAAGACTGGGAAAGACCAATTCATTTCAAACCAGTGATTTTGAATTCAGATTTTTGGGTTTGACTAAAATTAATTGATTTTTTTTTCTATATCAGTATGATCTCTAATTCCAGCAAGAGTTAGAAACTCTTCTTTTGTCTCCTGACTCAGTCACAGATTGATTGCCTTTTCTCTGTCTTTCTTTTAATCCTGCAGACATTAAACAAGAGAAAAAAGAGGAACAAGAGCAACAAAAGAAACAAGCCAAGGCACCGAATCAATCATGATTCCTCTCACTTACTCCTGTCCTGGTACCTGCTCTTCATCCAGGCAGGAGTGCTGTCCATCATCTCCACCTCGGTTTCTGCTTTCTGTACCGCCATGGCTGATCCACAATGGTGTTTGGGCTGATGATGGGGAAAAATTAGTCTCTATCCTCTTGATAAATCAATGTAATGGGTGATTTTAGTGTGTGCTTTTCACGCGGATTACAAAGGTTTGAATTGTTTAATTTGGCAGGTTCAAAATCTAGGGGAAAAACCTATTGCATAGATGAAAACTAAAGCTAATGCTTTGTTTACAGCAGCAAAAGTATGTCTGTAAATTGTGCCATATTGGATTTGTACTGAAAAACAACCCTTTCTATTATATTTTTATTTTAATAAAAACTTTTGAATAAGCTTTTATAAGATTTTGCTTTTGTAAGTCTTTTGTCAAATTATTATGCAAGTGTGTCTTTGTCGTGAAAAGTTTATTGAGAAAGAGGTCTACTCACTTAAAAGAAACTGAAGAGGATGAGGCTAAAAAGAGTTCGTCTCATCCATTTCAAGGCTACTTTGCTGTAGATATTAAATGTGAAAGGTGAAAATGATCAAGATAAATTTGTTTATTCTCCCCATATACTGTACACTATAGGCAGAACAAGGATGAAATGCAGCTCAGTAAATGCTCGCGAGTGCATATTAAGAGCATGATACAAACAACACAGGAACAAAAAGACATGAAGAATTGACAGAGCGTGAAGTCTCATGTTAGATGTCACAGCCAACAGAAGTGTAGGTTAGTTCATTGAGAATGTTTGGAGTAAATATTTTAAAATAATTCAATCAAGACATTAACCTTTTTTTTTAACAAAGCAAAACAAAGAAACACTGTGACTGGAGAACACTGTCAGGTTGCCTCGTCTGCTCAGTGAATCTCAGCCTCCCAGTGAATCTTCCTCTATCCACAGTTACAACAGGCTGAAGAAAGAAAGAGGAGTGGATCTGCTGCAGCTGTGCTGAATCGACATTGGTAAAATACAATACCAATTATTTTAGAAAAATCACAAATTACTTTTTGTATGTATGTGCAATTTCTTTTTTCACATAAGGCCCTTTCTGAAAAAAAGAGATGCATCATACAGGTCAGTGGCTGAGAACAATTACTTTCTTTAGACGGTGTACATAGACTAAAACCAGGCTGTAATTTTCCATGACAAGCATGTTGAAACATATTCAGATGGCAGCATGTAAGGACTTGTGAGATTATTATCTTATTGGTGGTGAAATTTTCCCGTAAAATTTATTCACTGATTAACAAATTTCCCTCAGATGTAAAAAATTGCTCACTTCTCCAAGATGTTGCATCATGAAAACAGACATGGTTGAGAGAAAGAACATTTAAGGACAGGAAGTGATACTGGCTGTTAGCCTTTTGAAAGTACACCAAGAAATCAACAGAAAAAGAAAACTAAACCCTGATGAGTGATTTATGCATCAGGACTGTATTGTGACAAGCATATGCCTTGTAAACTTTTTCACCTGTATTTTTATTGCATGCTGTGAATAATTTGTGTGCTGTCCCCACATCAACAAAGTGACAAGTGCACATGGTTATGGCTCCTCACAAACGAGTTAAACAGGTTCTTTCGGTGGCTTTAATACTTCCTTGAGTTTATCACGTTCAGCAAAAAGATATGCTTCAACAGCAAGTAAAGTCATCTACACAGTCACAAGACAATGAAGTTAGACAACAAACTGGTCAACAGTTTGGTGCAATGCAACCTAACTTGATAGTTTTTGAAACCATCAAAGTTTTTCTTGCATTTATACCCATATTTGATTGATTATTTAATGAGTCTATAACTTGATTTTGGAGGTAAAGGCATCCACTATGTAAAGAAGTCCACGTGTAATGTACACCTTTTTTGGGATATGTAGATCTTTTTCATCTGTAAAACCCCAGAACCATCAATTAGATGATAGATTATCAAAAAAATAAATCCCCAGAAATACCATGAGTGTATTTTCAGGTGCTTTTAACACTCATAATGTGTTTTAAATCACCCACCCTCCCCCTTCTTGGCGTTAACAGTTAACACAAACACATTTTCTCTTAATTCATTGTCAGAGGAGTTTGACAAAGTTCTGAGGCATTTGCCATTGTCAATATAATAGTCTGCAAGATGGGTAGCATAGACTTACATATAATCATTGTGAAACACAACAAGTTATAAGAATCAGAATCATTTATTAATGGCCACACAACAGGGTTGGTGGAATTTGTTTTCCAGTACAGCACATCATGCTTACATCTCCCGTGTTGGATACATACATGCATGCAGAAATAAATAAATGAACAATGCAACAATACAAGATAACAGATGTGGATATAACTGACTTTAGATATTGGTTTAGTGTCTGTATGGCAGTTGGGAAGAAACTGTTCTTGAATTTGGCTGAGTTGGCTGTCAAAGACCTGTAACGCCTCCAAGAGGGCATGAGTGTGAACAGGTTATGTGCAGAGTGTGTACAGTCTGAGGTGATTTTCAGTGCTCGCTGTGTGACTTGTCTTTGATACAGAGTCTCTATGGATGGGAGGGTGTGGCCAGTGATTTTGGATGATTTGTTGATTATGCGTTAAAGTTTTGTGCATGAGTGACTGTCCAAGTTTCCGTACCAGACTATTGTTTTTTGAAAAAAAGCATATGAAAGCCTGGGGAAAATAATGTTTAAGAGACTAAGACTTAAAAAAAACACAAAACAACTCTGGTTATGGGTTAAAACCAGTGGACGAAAGTAGATTCTGGAACACGGGCCATTTAATTGATATTTCTTTCTTCTCTCCAGTTGCGTGCTTATCATTGACTTTATTCTCAATGGTTAAATTCAAATTCAACTTTATTTGTATGGCACTTTTCAGATAAAAAGAGTGTAGCTCAACGTGCCTCACAGATGCTAAGAACAACATTAAGACAACGATAAAACCCGATCCTCCCATCCACACACCCACCCATGGACCCACACACACACAGACACACACCCACCCTCGCTCACCCACAAACACAAGCACACACACACAAGCGCACACAGTGTGAGAATTCAAGATATATTGTTAAAGAGTAATGGCCTGACACCATGACATTGCATGAGGAAAGAGCTACCTTTGGGAAACACTGATTTAAGATTCAAGATTTGTTTATTTGTCATGTGCATGTTAGACAAGGTCAGCAGTGCAATGAAATGCCCTGGATAAGAGGACCGCTCGACTCAAAGGGGTACAGATGAAACACACAATAGTACTGGGGGAATGTGCTAAAATAAGGATAATATATATGCATATATATATATATATGCATATATATTATCCTTATTTTGGCGCATTCCGATATATGTTGTCCGATATATATATATATATATATATATACATACACACACACATACATTATAGACGAATAAAAGTATAGGAGAAATATTCACAAGAGGAAAAGAAGATATTTACAAAGTGAACAAGCGATGCAGTGGGTGCTGAGTGTGAATGTATGAGATGGAGGATAAGTTGGTGGGATAAATGAGGTATGAAATTTGCTGTATTGCACATGATTAATAATGGTGTATGAATGCTTCATTGCACATCACAGATGATATTGCACAGTTAAGTGGGTTATTGCACAGAGTATTGTCCAGTGGTGCTGTCAAGAGTTAAGTAAACGAAGATAAAAGATAAAAAATAAAAAATAAAAAATAAAATTTAAAAAATAAATATTAAAAATTAAAAAATGGTAAAAAGAAAGACTTAAACCTGATGAACTAAAACAATAAAATAAAATAAAATGAAATGAAATGAAAAAATTAAAAGTTAAAAAGGTGAGTCTTAAGCCTCTTCTTTGAAAAAAAAACATTGTTTACACCGGTGTGGCACAGGCATAGACTGTATATACTTCACCCGGCAATAGTGATAGAGGGTGAGTAGGTTTGGGTGGATTTGATGGCTTCTATATACAGTCTATGGGCGCAGGTTTGTTAACAGCGACACCCAACGGCCAAAATATACCTTACAAAAAAAAAGACATTATTGCAGTACCACTTTCCCCCCACAGGATGCGCCAAATAACAGACAACCGAGTCTATGGGGAAACCCGGAGGGAGGAGGGGCGAGCGCTGCTGCTGGTCTGTTCATTGGGCCAAGTTAAGTCCATCAACAAGCTAGTTAGCGGTGATGAACGTTATCGGCGATGCTCGAGCAACAAGAGACTATGGAGTAGCATTTCGAGCGATATTTTGGTGCTTTGACAATCACTGTTAATCTGAGGACCAGTCACTCCAAGTGGTTGTAAGAGTCTCCTCCATTCATGCGGTCGCTTGTGGACGGAGGAGTCTAAGCTCTCGGTGGCGGGCAACCTCAGTCACCATTTAGCTGGGACAACTGGGACAACACGGCTCACACACCGGTACGTCTGTTTTTTCCGATAGCATGCTAGCTGAGCTAACATTAACTACAGTAGCGTGCTCAGATGCACAAATACGCCTGGTTTTGCTGCAATAAAGCGAATTGGGGTCCACAGCTTGGAGGTAAATGTGAATGTTTCCTGCATCCCTCCTTTCCCATCTGCTTCTAACGGCAGAGGTAACATCAGTGGGAGACGCTGCAGCGTTTCAGAGAGAGGAGAAGTGATCATCGACATGTAAATACTGCTGATTGTTAGCAGACATCGGCTAGTTAACGCATCAGCGGCGTGTTGTTCTTGAGCCGCTTCACGTGATCACTGATAAACGCTGTGAACGTGGCCGATATTTTACATTTTTACCTTGTAAATATTATTTTTTGTGTAGATGAGTGGAGTACAGTTGATCCATTCATTCATGGTGTGATCAGCTAGAAAACACGACTCTGCATACAGTCCTATTAAAGGGGAGGGGGGGAAAGTGCCATGAGGGAACCATATAAAAGTGCAGCAAAATAACTGAAATTAGGCATTCATGAACAAAAAAGTCCTAAAAAAATAAATATATATTTAAACTGTAAACTTAGGTTCTTTTCCACCCATTCCTGGGGCATGTGAGTCTTTCCTGGTGAAGACTCAGTGTCCTTGGCACAATAACAGCTGCAGAAGAGAGAAGTTTTATATGGCAGATTTTGAGTGAGTAAAAATAAGATAAGAAGAACTTTATTGATCCTCGAAGGGAAATTGTCTCACATAATATGTCTCCAAAACTTATCCACTATTTACACAAGAGTTATAAAGTCTGTTTGCTGTGGGTACAAAGATCTTCTAAATCTTTCTGTCCTGCAGCGAAGAGAGGAGCCGTCCACCACCATTGGCCCTTTGGTCCATCAAGGTGTTGTGAAGTGGGTGATCCATGTTCCATGAACCTACTTTACCCTCTGTCACTATAACATGTACCTGTAGGAAAAAGCAGGTTTTTGATCAGGGAAACAAATATGCCTTCAAAGATGTCAAAGGCAACGCTGAAGCTACCCAGGGACCCTTGATACTCAGACAAACACAACATAATGAAAATCACGTCAACATGTTTGGTCAGGTTAAAATCATCTGGCGATAGTGTTCTAAGGTTAAGACTGGATCATGTAAATGTCAATATTTGCTTTTTTTCTCTCTTTTACACAGAGTAAGAGCATGGTGGTCCCAGACAGTGCCAGTGTGGTCCCCCAGCCTGACCATGGCAGTCCCACTGGCCTCACGGAGAGCTCCAACCCGGGCTGCGAGGAGGAAGAGGAGGGAGGTCAAAACCTGGCAGGGGTGGAGTTGGAGGAGGTCCGAAAGCTGCAGGAGCTAGTTCGAAGGTTGGAGGTCCAGAATGAGACCCTACGCAACAGGGGGAGTAAGAGCATCATCCACAGAGGAGCCAGCAGCAACAGCAACCTCACAGCTGCTGCCAATATCAATGAGACGTTGACCTGTGAAGGAGTGACCATCTCCCACCTTAGATTGGAGCACAGTGGCAGCACAGACTTTGAGCTGTCGCCCCCTCAGGACAGCAGTAGCGGAGAGGACATGTCCCCCTTGCCCATGGCCAACAGGCTCGAGGAAGAGGAGGAGGAGGTAGAAGAGGATGAACAGATTCCATGTGGGGGTTTCCTCACCTTGACCTGCAGCAACGGAGGAGGACAGTCCGAGGGGCAGACCCAGACGCCAGAAAGCCCTTCTCAGGGAAGTTACGAGTCAGAGACACTTGCAGAAAGTGATTCAGGGGTCGACCAGACGGCACTGGACGAGGTGGATGTCCTAGATTTGGAGGACGAGGGTGCAGAAGTTGAGGAGGAAGACAGTTGGTATGTTTTATTGTATGCACTACTTATCTTTGGCGTATGCATCAATGAGCCTTTCATTTCCCATGCTGTAAGCATTTGACGAATCAGTGATCAGCTGCTAGACTATAAACAGATAGGAGTGGGATGTCATTTTCTGTGTGCGCATGAAAGGGTGAATTTGAGTTCACTTTAAGGGAAGTTTGTTGCAACATAAATACAGGGATGCAACATCTAACGCTTGCATTTTACTTTTGCTTGTGTATAAGAGAGAGGAGCCCCTTCAGCCAGATGAGTCACATTTGTTTTTTATGTTAACCTCTGATTTGAAAGTGTGTTACTCCCCCACAGGGCAGTGACTATGCTTTGCTTTATGTTATTTTGATGTTGAGTGAGACTTTATTTTTGGAAAGGGCAGAAACTGCATTTTTGTCATCCATAGGATCACAAAGAGCCTTTTTATTAACTTAAAAAGCTTTGACTGCAGCAACTGTTCTTATTTATCAGTCTTGAATAGTAGTTGTATTGATCTGGACAAAGTTATACAGTTAGTAATGGAGGAAAGGCCTCACAGAGGGGATCAGTTCAAAAGTAGTGTGACATGTATGAGACTGTTGGTTGTCTCTTGAGCTTAACTCTGCGCTCTGGGTTTGATAAATGTCAGGCATGAATGATCTGCTTCTTGTTTGTCAGGTTATGGAAAACATTTTTTTTCCCCACTATTATACATCCTCACCCAAACAGAGCAGAAATGAAAATACCAGGGGCAGAAAATAATTGTGACAACAGAATATCTTCCAAGCAGCATTTTACATTAATGTGGACTTGGCATTAATCTGTCAAATCAAAAATGCAAATCTACAAAGATGTTGTTGCCACTCCTGAAAACAGGTTCAGTTAAAGCTTAGTTATTGTTTTCTAACAAACCAAACTATATTTCCTTAAAAAGCAGGTTAACAATTGAAGATCTATGTCATTTACTTCATATGTTTCTTCTTCTTTAACCAGACGAGTTAAAGTTCAGACACATTTGTTTACGACCTTACCATAAACAGGTGCCATATTGTTCTCCGGATGGCTACTTAAGCCATCTAGTCAAGCAGCTTAACAGGCAGACCATTCATGGCTGAATTTCAGTTTCCCATCATTAGCCATACCATATGTGCTTTGCGAGGTTATCATAGCCAAAACATCTAGTAATCCCAACAGCGACATAATCTGATCTGCCCCCGGCTAGATGCTGCCGCGTGGCTAAACTGCTTTGGGTGGGATTGCACAGCATGTGATCAGAGGCCCCCTTGTGTGCAAGCTGCATAAACAAGGCCAGAAAAAAAGACAACTGAGGGTAACTGAAGGGTGTCGTCCTGTAAGGCTTTTTTGGCACATATGCAAGTTACTTAATTTGTCTTGACAGGTAATGTCCAAACTGTGTGAATGTCCATCTTGCTCTTAAACTGCCTGTTTTTTTGTCGGAGAGGACAACTTAATGAATTCTAGTGCCTAGCAAAAAGCCAATTAGACATGAATTTAGAGCTTTGTGATTACATGCATCCCACCACCACAGTTAGAGCAGGAATAGTACAACAAACCTAATTTATTAGTACATTTTTTTTGCATCAGCTGTATTTTGGTCACCAAAGCCATGCCCTTAGGATGCTCCTTGTGACTCGAGCTGAACACGCTGAAAAAAGGGACAAGCTCCTTTTGTAACGGCATGAGGTGGATTTCACTTAATGGACCAGCTAAAAAAGTGAACATGAATGCACAAACTGAGGTCCACTCTCTCCAATGTTTCCCCACCACATTCAGCTTCTTTTGTTATAAATGTAAAGAATAAAGATAAGACTAAGTCAGTAAATTCCATTAGCAAAAGTGTGAAAATATTTCCAACCTGACCAGTAGGATTGACAATTTTCAGTTTAAACATGGTAGAAAGGTTGCTTTCTTCAAACGCCTAAGCTTTTTTCAACATGGATTAATGCTCTGCTCTGCTCTGGTACAGTTGTATATTTATTTACAGGTTTAGCAGTTACAGTAATGGAACTACAGAGGCAGCTGTGTGTGGATGCCAACAGCCTGGTGATAACCTGTGATCAAAACTCACGTGTAAACAGTTGAACCACAAGCGGAACGCACGTCATTAATCCACAGCAAACACAGGGTTTGTGTGTGAAAGAAGTAGCTCTGCACACACACACACACACTCACACACTGGAAAGCTGTGCTCCCTGGCCCGATGTGTGACCTGAATTTTACTCCCTGTATTGTTGCCCACTCCAGTGGGAAATGGGTCCCTTTGTGTTTGCCTAATGGGAAGATGATTTCTATCTGATTGGTCCAGAACTGGTCAGTCCAGGCCTTCTGTGACTCTCAAAGGATCAGCCCATCTGACTGTCTGTTCAAAGCTGGTGGGGAGCTGAAGCACTTGAAAGATCACAGTGGAGGCACAGGAAACAGAAAGAGAAGTTTTGAATGTTAACAGTCACATTGTGTGGGTGCCTGGAAACCCAACATGGCTGGACCCTTGCAGCTTTGATTGAAGGTTTTCTGGCTGTGGTGAAGTTACAGCCATATCCAAGCATGACTCTAAAGTTTCACTCTTAGATTAGCTGAGCAGTCAATTAGCAAACCAACTTCAATTCCTCTGTGAATTAAAGGGTTTTGTTTTTTTTGCAGTTGTCCATAATTGTAGATGTGATTGCAGCATGTCTTTATATAGACTTGTATGAGTGAGACATTTAGGCAGGAGATGCAAAAGAAGAGCGCATCAGGGATCCAGACTGACGCTGTGATAAGGATGTTTAAAGGTGCATCAGTATTGAGTCACCGGCTGTTAGATCTAATAACATCATTCACCGTGTTTAAACAGCTTGGATGTTTGTTTGATGCTAACTGTGGGTGGATGTTGATGCTGCCAATGCTCAGTCATGCCTATGATGAACAGCATGAAAATCATTCTGACTGTGCATGGCATGCTCAAATCTATTTGATGTATACCATTTAAGACAGCAGTTTGCTCGAACCTCTGGCTTGTTTTTATTCCAGTCTTTCGCTCTGCAGCTACTGACACATTTGACGGGAGTCTTTACCAAAAAGTAGATTAGGCTTACTCTAGGCTTACTCTTACTCGGTTTCCCCGAAACCCGTTTTCCTTTCCAAATCCCTTTTACTGCTCTCAATTGCTCTCGTTTCCCAGAGTAATGTGTATTTGTCTCCCCCCCTGCAGGTTGTATGTGTCTCCGAAAAAGCAAGTGGCAGATCAAGGTCCAGAATCTCCTTTGAAGTGGTGTCGGCAGGCTCTCGACCAACGCAGCCCAGAGACAGAAATGGCTTGTCGGACCCTGATAAGTCGATTGGACCAGTGTATGCATTAAACTTACAGTAACATCCAAAAACTTTGATTTACACCTGACAGTCGATTTATTTACCACTTTACTCTTCCCTTTCGCAATATCATCAGTCATCAAGCTCACCTATAAGGGGCTCTCATTAAGGACAGTAAACAAACGTTTATATCTGTCTTGGAGTCACATGTCAGAGAGCGTTCCCTCCTGCTGTGGATGTGCCGCTATGCTCTTATTTACTGCTCACCTCCTCTGTGTACGTGCACAGATCCGTGTTTTACTCCTCAGACAAAGCCAGAGTGACGTGTACATGGTGTGTATGTCTTTATGTGTGGACAGAAGTTTGTCTCTGATCCAACAGACCCCATATATTATTTATCCCGCCCACAGTTCTTACATCCTGCACGCTGCAGAACCTGAACAACAAAGCTATTCACACCAAAACTGAATGGCTACATGTAGTCACAGGCTGGATTGGATTACCTTCCCCTTCAGGGTTGACTCTCCGTTTTTAAACGGCTGCACTGGGCTGTGATAGTGCATTGTGAATATATATAGAGCATATTTTAGGCAATCTGTGGAGACTGTAGGGTTTTATGACCATGTTGTTTAAATTAACCTTTTTAAGCTGTAGTGCGAAATTGAGTTTAAACTAAATATGTTAAATTATTTCAGTATTCATATTTGTGTCTTTGAAGCAGGACCCAGATACACCGTCTTGCTCCTGTTCACATGTACATGCTCTGGATTGACAGTGAACCTCTTGAACCCCAAATAGTGCAATGGTTTGTTCTCATGACTTAGCCGCTAACATAAAACCTTATTTAAAGCCCTAAAGATTGTTAGTCAGGAAATCAGATTGTATATCAGGAATCTAGAAATTTATGGGGCTGATACTGAATCAGTTGTGCAAAACGGCTCTGCAGTACACCAAAGTTCCTTCTTTAGTGCATTAAATTCCAGCTGTCGTGGATATATTCAACCATTCAGCTGCACCTTTGCACAAGTCCACTGTTTACACTGAGATTCAAATCACATGCACATGACATCCTGCTGCTACAGAAAGATCACACACACACCTTTATACACTTCAGTCTAGTTTGTCAGAGCTTTCTGATTATGCCCCTAAATTACTAGACCACTTATAGCTGCAGATCACAGCCTGTGACCCTACTGTATAAAAAAAAGCAATGCAGTAGCATTTTTTTATTCTTATTTTAAGTACATGTTCTAATTATTTCCAACCCAAAATACAATCAGCATAATGTCAGATGTTGTGATCTCATATGAGCGGCTTCTCTGGTTTTGTCCCCCAAATGTTAAAGAAGCATGCACCATCTGCTTCTAGCTGCAGATGTACAGTTCTGTGGCTCTACATGGTGTCCCTCTGCAACATCCTGACAACAACCCGGAGATGCCATCATGCGTTCATGTGATCATGTGCTCAGTGGTTTAACAGTGATACCAGTTATGTATTCAACACCACACCCTGGGATCCGTATCGACCCTGCCCTTTTGGACTTTACCTCTTATGCTGCCACACCTCTACACGAACCAAAGGAACAGCTGTGTTTGCAGACGCTCAGATAGTCGAAACACAATCATTTTGCACCTGTTGTTCCTCTTGTTCAATGAAAAAGGGGCTGTTTGTATTATGTGCTTTGATCCCAGTCATGCTCAGCTCTTCTTCATGTCTTCTTTCTTATATTTCCTCTTTAATGTGTGTGCATTCTCTTCTGAGTGAAACCTGTCTTTCCTCTCCTGTTCCCCACAGCATCTCGATGGAGGAACATGTACAGTAGCCCGTCAGCAGAGGCAGGCTCGGCAGGCTCAGGCCTGATCTCTCCTGGGTACCACAAATCAACTAACAAATCCCTACTAACCTGTGGCAGCTCAGGTATGGCATGACATTAACACACTGTGCTCCTCTTTTTCTGCTCAACACTACAGTGGGGCTGATGTCAGCTCACATAAGGATGTAGGTCAGCTGACATGTGTGTGTGCACTAATGCGTCAACAATGTGTCCTTTTGGGGATCTGAATGCCAATTTGAAAAAATCCTTCAGGGCAGAGCTGCATGTTCTCCTAAATTAACATGTGTGGCACATACTGTACATTGACTTTTCACTTTTGTTCTAAAGGAAATCAGTTTAACTATGTTTTTTTTCTTTCTATACATGATTCACCTGTTATTTAGTACTGTTTTAAAATCAGCAAGGACTATAAATGTGTTAAAAGGACAGTCCATTACAGGAAACATAATAAACGGGAAGGTTAGATTTGCATCTTTCAGTAGGAAATTGTAGACGAATATAATGTAAGAGAGAAATATGTGTTTTGTTGCTCCAAGCATGACAAAAGTTGCCGTTTTTTCCTGTCAGGGCAGACGTAAATACATTCAGATGATCAAATCACAAACACCGTCCCTTAAAGCTTTTCTTGAATCAAGACAACAACAGCCATAACAAAAATGCATCAAAATATAATAACCTTTTTATTTTCGGTCTTTGTAGCTTGTTTAGAGTTGGTCTTTTAGGGTTCAAGCCTAGCAGATAGGTAGCACTCTTTTACACCAGCCTACTTTAAAATGTGTGCTGCAGTTATGTACAGGGAATAGAGTAGGGTGACGTCCGGCATTGGGATCATTAAGCAGATTTTTGAATTTCGATTCTTTCTTTCGGTTCTGAGTGCCAAGTAGTTCGTTACACAAACACTACACAAATTCAAAACGATGGAAGCCCGTTTCCACCAGTGAAAAAAAACACAGGCTTCCATACAAAACCCCGGGCATTTCAAGGATTTTATAAACTACCCCCGGACAGGCCAGGAGAGAATCGTTAGAAACCAGAATCGAAACGAGGAATCTGAATGGAATCGTTCAAATTTAAACAACGCCCAACTCTAACAGTGAATTTGTTACATAAGGGGGCTCTACTTGAGGGCAGGATTTGCGTTTATGCCTACATGACTTCATTCCAGGGTAGATCACTATGATAACTTGTGCCGAACACCTAACCTGCCCTGCTTTTCTGACATCACTCTTCAACAGACAAAAACCAGAAAAGTTAGATATAAAGTTACATGGCTCATTGCTTTGAATTATGTATTCACATTCATTTTTACCATAGATACATAACTCCCTTGCACACCATTAGGGCTGGAGCTGAACTATGACTTATAATGGTGTATTACATACTCTAAGAATGAATTTGAATGAAAATCAGTGTCAGGGAATAAACATATCCCTCTCAAATCTTGTGCACACTACAAGAATGTGGCATAGTGTTAATTTGCACGTGCACCATAAGCTATTTTTCCCTTATCTTCTGTCAGGTTTATAACCAGCTTTGTGGGATCAGTTAGCAGGATCTCACTAGTCAGGGTTAGTTGAGCCAGATAATCAGAAAGATACCAGGGTGTGTTGAGCTCACTTCTTCGTTTAGGTTCAAGGAGTTTCAAAGTTGTTTGGAAAAGCTAACCTGTGTGCGATGTCCATCAACACTCTTTGGTGTTTGTTTAAGTTTCTTTGCATTCTTGTTATCCCTCACATTGTTGCATCTCACTGCAGAGACCAACAATACCATTTTTGTCATGCAAACCTGTAAATAACTATTCCTTGCATGAACTTGTGAACATTTTGTCGTTAAATGAAGGCTCCGTCTAATTCTGGACTTTTTACATAACCAAATGCCTCTGGAGGATTTTGTCAGTCACAGAGTTGGGTCTGTTTTGGACTGACATGCCTGGAAGAGCAAGTTTGCATACAGCTTTCTTGGGCAACATCAACAGACAGCTCTTATTCTAAACTTGTGCTGCTGGGCAAAGCTGGGTGTCTGCCAAAAGGTCATAGTTTCTTCAGTGTGCGACATGTATCTGTGAAACAAAGATTTCACACCTTAAATTCTCAAATTCAATATGATTATTATAATAATGTACATGTAATAAAAATCCTCCACACATGTTGAAGAAAAATGATCTTAATACAAGTGGTGCACATGTGCTTTTTTCACAAACATTTAGCATACTCATTTCACATGGTTTAAAGTGCCCATTGAACAGTGATGTACTTTAATCACATGTTTAATTTGTCTTATTTTTGGCAGGATGGCGCCTTAAGTCTGCCAGGTTGTCATTGTTTGTAAGCTGGTTATGATCCTGTCATGTGGCTCTCTTGTGGCTGTTTAGTTTTAAGATTTCAGCTAGCATCATTTTCATGCACATAGAAGAAATACAGACATGCTCAAGATGTAATTTTGAAAATGCCAACTGCATTCTTGGTACAATAATTGATTTGAATATGTATCAGAGTGCTGCACAATAATTCTCTTCAGTACAAAAGGCCCCTGCAGTCGCCATAATAACACAGGCCTTGGTAATTTGGTCTTTGTTGAAGATTGGTTGTTATTTGAGAATTTAAGGCCACACTGCATCTGAAGTGGAAGTTACAGTACTTTCGGGAACCATGTGTAATATGATAACTCTAATGTATGAGTGAGTATGCATGTTATAACAGGTGTTTATGATGTGCTTACAGGTGTTACAAACATGCAGTCTGCCCTGAGCTCTCAGTCCTCCATAGACAGCGAGCTCAGTACATCAGATGACTCCATCTCCATGGGCTACAAGCTGCAGGACCTCACTGATGTCCAGATCATGGCCCGCCTGCAGGAAGAAAGTAAGTAAGAGTGTTGTGTACATGGTATGCTGGGCATCATGTCTCTAAACTCTGAAAGGCAAAGTTCTGATTTTGGCAGCTGACTATATCAGGAAAAGAACAGAACTAGCACAAGTTACAAAATATTTTATTGAAAGGTAGTTCTGTATTTTTCAGTGATAGTGGACATGTTACTGTATTTGCATAGCTTCCTCAGCAGGGTTATTTTAAACATGATATTATTTCCCCTCAGGTCTGAGGCAGGATTTTGCTTCTAGCTCAGCGTCTGCATCACGCCGCAGCTCTACAGCCTCCCTACAGTCCCTGCGCCGGGGTGGCACATACAGCGATCAGGAGTTTGACAGTTACAGCCTGGAGGATGAAGAGGATGAGTTCTGTTCTATGCCCCAGCGACGACATCGTTTCACCCCCTCGCCATTGGGCTCACCCCGGTGCCTGTCCCCCTCCACCTCCAACCACGGTCAGGAATACAACAGCAGACTTTCTGCACCACGCACAAGAACACCAAGAAGATCCCTACAAGGCCCCAGTGCAGAGCTGCTGAAATTTGCCAAGAGTGAGGGTAGGCAAAATCAATAATTCAGAGCATTTGTAGCCTGTGTCAAGATCAGCGCAACCACCGCAAAGATTCTTCTTGAATCAGAGCGCATAATGACATTAAAGCACACATAATGTCGTTGCTAAATCCATTTGTATGTGTGGTTCCAGAGGAGTTGAGGCACAGCATGCCTAATCTGGCCCCTCGCACCAGCCTACGTTCCCTGGAGGCAGTCAGAAACAGCCGCAGCATGGAGGCTAACCTCCAGAGCTCTGGCAACCGCATGTCCCGCCTTCCACACTCCCCCTCCACAGGTAACCCCAACCCACCTCACCTGGTCTGAACCATGCTTCTAACATCATGTACCATGCATTTGCTCTCCAATGTCACTCATATCCTACCACCTCCTAACCTCTGCATGACCCCATGTGTCATTGGACTGATATCTTGGCAGGGTTTTCCAGCAGTACCCTGAGAAATACGTAACAATTAACAGTGATGTGAAGCCTTTTCTTTTATGATTTATGTCTCTTCACATGCGTGTCAATAAAAAGATAGATGCTTTTGCAGCAGATGCTCACTGATCGCTGATTTCAAGTTAGGAATGAGCAGAGTGTTAGAAAAAACAAAAGAAACGTGAATTCAGTACAGTTGTCAGATTTTCAGTTTGGCAAACAATTTTTGAAAAAGGTTGTCCACCTCTCTACAAAATATATTCCAACCAACCTGTATATTTCAATCTTGTAGTTTAGAACAACTATAGGTCAACATTAATGGTTTAACAGATTTATAACTATGTCCTTTATACATTTTTGAATGCAGGTACATCCTCTTAAAAAATCGAGAATTGGCTGTAAAATCAGAACAGATGCATCAATCTATTTGTGATGGTCTAATCTTCACCAAAGAAGAGTTTCTTATGTCATCACTAAAAACCCACCCCTCTCCTGTGCGCTCATCTCACCTGACATACCCCAGCTGTTGTTCAGGTGTCTGTCCTTTCACTCATCTGCAACATGATGATTCCCTGCCTCTGCTTTAGCTTTTATCTTTCTAATCCAGATCTGCTTCTCACAGGTTTGCTCCTCACAGGTTTGTCTTCAACTGCTACAGGCCCCAGTTGAGGGTTTTCACTGTTGTATTAGAGGAATGTGTGTTTGAGAGTCTGTGTTACCTCTGAGCCTCTCTCTCACACAAGGAATGGCTGGCAGTCGGATGCGAAGCAACGGACAGTCTCCCCTCTCCCTGCGGGCTCCTGTGAAAGCTGTCACACCGATGGCAGCTGGGCGTCAAGCTTCCAGAGGTCTGCCAGTCGTCCAAGCACCACCTGCAGGAGGGGGGCGCCGGGCCCAGTCTCCAGGGTCCACTAATGGTGGAGCCTACATACCAGGGAGAGCTTCCACTGGGGCAGGGAGGCCTGCGATGGGCCGAGGACAGGCTGCACCATCAGCATCCACCAGGAGTAAACTGTCACAGCCAACCAGAAGGTTAGAGCTTTTTGGAAAATGAGATGTTTTAATCATTTGTAAAGGTTCTTTTGTATCTTTGCCTCATCCCTGAATATATAGACTGACTTGTCTTTTTGTTGACAGGTCCTTGGGTATGACCAAAATCTCAGACGAATCTTGGAAAGATGGCTGTTATTGAGGTCAGCTGAAGATGAAGGATGCTCACTGCTGCAACTCACACCTGACCTCCCCCCCCACTTTACCTCTTATAGTTAAAAAAAGCATCACAATGAAGTCTTACAACCTTTCAGTCTCCTATTTCAAACTGGAACCCTGGACTGCACTGGATTTGTAGTCAAGACTCATCTCTTTCCCTCGCATGAAATCTTGTCAACCTACACAGAGAGGATGTGTAGGCAGACAAGACAGCACACATGCACACTCCACTTGTGATACGGACCAACTCAGAGCTTCCAGATTTGTTTGTGTCAATTTTACTTATTTTTCTATGGTGATTGTGGGGAACTGCTGAAATGTTAAGGGTTGTAGTACTGTTCTCTTGATGTAAATGATATGAAGTGAATTTTAAAAGAAGATAACGCTGGTTTGTTCTTTTTTCTGTGTGAATTCAAAGTAGATGAAGGAGCTGAGTGTTGCATGCTTGGTTTTGTTATCTAAACCCTACAGCCAATCCATTATTATGTAACTGCAATATGATGGCTCTCCCGTGGGTCCTAAACGAACTGTGTGAGTTGAAAGTTGAATTGGTTTGTAGTGAATTTATCTTCAGATTTATGTTGTAATTGTATTTTACTATTTGGTTACACAGCAATGCAACTCCTGTAAACCACACTGCCCTTATAAATAATACAATAAAAAACTCTGGTTTGTGCCAAGGTGCGTTACAGCTGCAACACTCTTTCTAATTCCAGAAGTAATCTTGATTCATTAAAGCTATTACGGTACTGTATTTTCCAGTCATTTCTACTGCATATCTAGAGGTGGGTTCAAGTGTTTGCTTTTGGATACCACTGTTAAATGAAAATGTTTATGCACGATGGCCGCCTGCCTTAGACAGCTATGCACCCTGATGAAGAGTGCCTCTGTACATTAGGAGCTGTTGAGAAAATGATCAATAAAGTCTGCCCTCAAATATTTTTGCAGCGTTTCTGTCTATTTTTAGTCCATGCATGTAAAGACAAGGTGAGTTTGGGGTGTATTAGTCACACTACGCAATGCATCTGCAGCACAGGCAGTGACAGCAGTATTACCGTCATCGACGCTCCGGTATTTCCTGCCTACATGAGCAGACGCTTTACAAATGTGAGCTTGACGCTACCCACCCCTATGTGACAAAATGGCCTACAGGCCTCATCTGCGCATACAAAGTCTAAACGCAGTCTGTAATTACATCTGAATTTTTATGTTACGAAATGATAAATCATGAATGTTGTGTCTCTGAGCAGGGCATAAATATGTTATAAAGAGAATATCTCTGTAATGTAACTCTGCTCTCTTATGCATGACGCAAATAGTAAGGGATCAGCGGTAAACGAGGCCACGCATTGTCTGCCCCCCGCCCTCCCTCTGCTTGTCAGGAAGCAAGCTGATTGGCCGAGGCCTAGCAAAGGGTGCCCGGGGATCCAAAACTGCAGGCCGCACTTAGCTTACCGTCAAAAATAAACCAAAACAATAACAGACATAACTGAGAAGGGGGAGACACACCGATAGAGTCGGAAGACGACGTTATCAGGTAAAATTATTTTGAATCGGTTAATGAGGTATGTGGAATAAGACGCAAGGGCCCAGTCGGCCGTAGCGGGCCTCTTTCAGCCTCCGCGAAAAACAACATGGAAGATAACGCGGCATAAGCCGCATCACCTAGCTTAGCAGGCTAGCTAGCCAGAGGGACGGCCGTTGTCGCGGAAATTTTAGCGACATGTTCAAGTGTGATCTATCAAAGCACACTGGTGGGTTGTGTATGTTGACACCCGTGTTTGTGTTATTGAAAAGACAGAAGTTGACGCTTGTACGGTCAACTAACGTCAGTTGTCGCATTCCATGAATTAGCCTTTATGCTAAAACAAAATGGCGCTCAGAGGAACAGCCCTAGCTCGCTTGCTAGTTAGCCCCAGTGGGTGGAGGGCGGTAGCCGCCCTAGTATGCATTGCATAATGTCTGCGGTACTTTCATTGGTGGTGGCCACAAACTCTGAGCATGTGTAGTTTTGCGTGTAGAGTCCGGAGTTCAAGACCTCTTTTACTACGATAACAGTGCCAGCCATGTGATTAGTTCATGTCAAAACGGCATGACTGTGGGTACCAGGGGCGCATAACGCCACCATAGACCGCTGCAGACATGTTTTGAATTATTCAGAAACGTCATGTGACGGCAATAAAAAGCTAGACAAATTTTTGGGGAGCCCTCAGAGTAGCTGTTGGTAAACCATTCCCCCTGTATACAGTGCGGGACAGCCCTTTGTTTCTGCTGGGCTCCAGCCATCAGCATCGACCAGCTTCAGGTGCAAAGCTCCATGTCGTCAGGTTGAAGCCGCATGTAGTACTCTTTTTAGACAATTGATGGAGCCAGTGGTCAAGAAAACGATCACAGGACTCTATTGGATGAGATTCTGAACACTTGAACACATTTTGGTTTAAAGACCTTTAAAATATTTATACAAGACCAAGTAACTCATCTCCTACTGTGTTAGTTGTTTCAGCAGTTTGTTTTTGTCTTTCTCAGGGGGATTGCAAACATTGATGGAAGGAAGCGCATCAGATCTCTTTTTGGTTTTATTTTAAGGGTTTGACATCAAATGTGAAGGTATGTATAAACAACAAGCCAATGTGCTTCCACTTTCATTTTAATCCTCCATTCAAACAAAGTGACAGAAAACAGCTAACACAGCCTACATTTTTAGCCTCTTTTTTTCCTGAGTGAAGAAATGGATCAAGGAGGAGGGGTGTTGGAGCTTCACACTCAGGAGCTGAAGATGCCCCATGCTATGATCATGCAAGACTTTGGTATGTGGTCTTATAAGAAGTGGTGCAAACGTTATGCTGTTACCAGTATTGAAGTCTATTAAGCGGTGTATAATTCAAGACAGAGTTCTCCATATTTAAAATGTGTAAACTGATGTTTTGCACTCTTGTAAATAGTAAAAAATCAAGTTAATAATCCATGTGTTTAGATTCTGCACATAGACAAATAGCAATGACATGAAACAGATAAAATGGTGATAAACCCTGAAATCCATGGCGAGATCCAATGAAATCTGAAGTAATGTTTGATTTAAAATTTCACTGTGCAGTTTGAACTCCTTGTCACTCTTCTGTCTTTGTGTCTTGTGTTTACAGTGGCCGGCATGGGGGGTCTCGCTCACATTGATGGGGAGCACATTGTGGTGTCTGTACCCGAGGGTATGCTTCTTTCTGATGTGATGACGGACGAGGGCATCCTTCTTGAACATGGCCTTGAGGTGGAAGGCCTAGAGACTCAGGTTGTTCATGGCCTGGAAACGGAGGTAGTGGAAGGACTTGAGACAGAGGTGGTGGAAAGCTTACATGCAGATGTTGAGGGCTTGGAGGCAGAGGTGGTTGAGGGGCTACAAACACAGGTAGTAGAGCTGGAGGCTCAGGTTGTTGAGGGCCTTGAAGGTGAAGTAGAAGTAGAGGGTCTGGAAGCCCAGGTGGTGGAAGGCCTGGAAACTGAGGTAGATGTTGAGGACCTGGAGGCTCATGTTGTTGAGGGCCTTGAAGAGGAGGTGGAAGTGGAGGGCTTAGAAGCCGAGGTTGTCGAAGGCCTGGAGGTAGACGTGGAAAGTCTGCAATCTCAAGGAGTGGAGGCCCATGAAATGACCAGCGAAGACATGGTGTCCTCTGAACACAGTGTGATCATGCCTGAGAATATCCTAGGCACGGAAGTTGCAATAGAGGAAGCCCTTGACCCCCATCATCATCACCATGTCCTCACATCAGACCTCATTCAGGACTCAAACGACCACCATGATGACATGCCAGACCAGGTGTTTGTGGCAGAGCTGCTGTCTGAGCACCAAGACAACACTCTGGACCACCAGCTCGTATCAGAGGGTCTGATGGTAACAGAGGCCAACACTGAGACCATAATCCACGAGCAGCTGCCAACAGAGGGTGTTCCTTTGCAGACGGATGAGGATGATGATGCAAGAAGCAGCTCAGAGGATTACCTCATGATCTCCTGTAAGACAGCTTGACGTATGAAATCATAGCACTCTGATTTTATTTTTGTTATGTCCATGTTTTATTAAAACTAAAAGTTTGATAATCAAGACTTATTGTGTTACTGTAGTGGATGAAGTGGGAGAGAAGCTGGACATTGGAGACACACCCCTTGAAATCAGCACTGAGGTAATGGAAGACAAGGAGTCTAAGGAGGAGGATGGCTCTGAGGTTATCAAAGTCTACATTTTCAAAGCTGAAGCAGACGATGATCTAGGCAAGTGACAAAGAGTAACTAATTCAATTATAAGAGAACATTAACTGAACATCATTTCCTTGTAAATTCAATTAAGATCAGAAATTTGATCAACTGGTTCATTTACTTTCTTTCCCAGGTGGAACAGAGGTGATAGCAGAGGATGATTACCAGAATGGCCATCCTGACCTGGAGGCTGCATCATCGGGCCGACTTGGAGTTGGCCGTGACAAGATGGTCTACATGGCAGTCAAGAACCAACCAAAAGAAGAAGAGGATGATGAGGATGATAGTGACGATGATGACGACGATGACATCAGTATGTTCCTCTGTGTATTTAACTTAAGTCTATCTTGTCCAATCAGTTGTGTAGTTATTGAGAAGAAGGCGTCAGACTTGCTAGATCAGTAAGAGGCAGCTGCTGGCACAGTTTTTATTTCACGTTTTCTACAGCTTTGATTCGTAAAATGTTTTAAATATTTCTGCCCTATAAAGCAAAATATTTGATAAATAATCCATATTTATTAATAATAACATGTAATAATTTTAATTACATGTGCAGGTAACACCATTGATCAGGTGAAGAACGGAGGATCTACACCATTTTTGCAAATTCGAGAAGGGCTCGGTGCTAACCGTGCAATCAAACCAAAACCGAAGAAGAAGAAAAAAGGAGACACCAGGCAGTGCCAGACAGGTATGAACAGCTGCATTTCAGTTGTGTCTGAACAACACATATACAACATTTACTTTGTTTATTATTTATGGTGAAGTTTAATACATTTTATGTATCATGTCATCCAGCTGTTATCATAGGACCAGATGGGATGCCCTTGACCGTCTACCCCTGCCACATATGTGGAAAAAAGTTCCGCTCACGAGGCTTCCTTAAATGCCACATGAAGAATCACCCTGATCACCTACTCAAGAAGAAGTACCAGTGTACAGATTGCGACTTCACCACCAACAAGAAGGTTAGTTTCCACAATCACCTGGAGAGCCATAAGCTGCTGAGCCATAACAGTGAGCGCTCTCCAGAGTACACAGAGTACACACGGCGCTATCATGAGTCCAGCCCTCTGGGCTCGGACAAACTCATCGTCAAAGACCGGGAGCCCAAACTGCATCACTGCAAGTACTGCGATTATGAGACAGCTGAGCAGGGTCTGCTCAATCGTCACCTGCTGGCTGTGCACAGTAAGAACTTTGCTCATGTGTGTGTTGAGTGTGCCAAAGGCTTCCGCCATCCATCAGAGCTGAAGAAACACATGCGGACCCACACAGGAGAGAAGCCCTACCACTGCCCACACTGTGACTTCCGCTGTGCAGACCAGTCCAACCTAAAGACTCACATCAAGAGCAAGCATGGTGCAGATCTGCCTTTTAAGTGCAGCCACTGTCCTCAAGCTTATGCAGACGCACGGGAACTCCAGCGCCACATAGAGATGGTGCAAGGCCACAAGACCCACCAGTGCCCACACTGTGAGCACAAGAGTACCAACTCCAGTGACCTGAAACGACACATTATCTCAGTACATACCAAGGACTTCCCCCATCAGTGTGATGTGTGTGAGAAAGGCTTTCACAGGCCCTCAGAGTTGAAGAAACACGCAGAGACACACAAGGGCAACAAGGTGCACCAGTGCCGGCATTGTAACTTCAACGCCCCTGACACCTTCACCTTGAGTCGTCACATCCTGTCCTTACACACGAAGGACCTCCCTTTTAAGTGCAAGCGCTGCCGGCGAGGTTTCCGGCAGCCTGCTGAGCTGAAGAAGCACATGAAGACGCACAGTGGTAGAAAGGTTTATCAGTGCCAGTATTGTGAGTATAACAGTACGGACGCTTCTGGCTTCAAACGCCATGTCATCTCCATTCACACCAAGGACTATCCCCACCGCTGTGACTACTGCACCAAGGGCTTTAGAAGGCCTTCAGAGAAAAGCCAGCACATAGCCAGGCATCACAAAGACATGTTGATGTAATGTCATCACAAACACACACTCTTTTCTCCCAAGTAAATCTGTGTCACACACCCACAGGTGATTTTAGTGTATCAACAAGGAAATGGCAGAATTTGGCAGTTGATGAAAACGCCGCTCTGTGTTCTGTGTTATGATGAGCGTTTCTTCCCTCCAGGAGTAATGCAAGAACACATTTTAGATGGGGTTGAGATCTGGAAATAGACTGTGTACACTGAGTGGGACATCTGTAAATTGTGTTTTGTTTTGTTGCAGAAAATCACATATGAACATATATTCAGGGTCTCAAATGTCTATATTTTTATACCCACTCAGCTGAAATGCTGCGAGATGATGACTGTGTCCTATAAAACAGAAAGCGTTGCTTTGTGAGCTTCATGCCAGATCTTCAGATTATGTCAAATGAGTACAGGAGAATTTTGCCTCCAAAGTACCAACTAGTATCTCTTTTCATTATTAACCAGCTTTTACCCTGGTATTTGTTTTCATACCCATCTGTTCTTCAAAGGGCAGGGCCATGTCTCAGTTTATCGATGGTTTTGAGTGATTTGACACACAATATGCACCTTAAAAAGATATTACAATAAATGAAACATTTGGACTTTGATCATTTTGGATTTTCCTCCCAAATATGAACACTTGGAATATCAATAAATCAATCATGTATGACAAAGGCTATATTCCCTTAAATATGTCTTAAGAGTTGAGTCAGCAGTGTAAACATGGGGAGTAAATGGTAATGTTATATTGGTAGAATTACCCCTTAGTGTACACAACACATATATGTGGCACAGGGATCTGGTGCGATAATGGAACGGGTGTATTATTCTATCAACAGATGGTTGGCTTCACGTTTGATAACCCCTGAAGTTGTGATACCTGACTGCCAGTGTAAATTGTGTACGTGTGATGTTACACAGATGTGATCTGTAAGCTAACCATTTGATTGCAGTCATGCCTTACATCTGTCGCTCTTTATCCCTTAAGCACTGATGAACACAACTAATGAGAAAATAAGTGGTTTTTAACTCTCAAACATACTGCATCAATACTGTTCTCCCAGAGATTGTGTGTTTGAGTCAGTAGGAAGCACTTTATTAACTTTTTTTCTTTTGTATTTTAATTAAATGTGTGCATACACACCCACACACACATACACACACATATATATATGACAAAAAAAATCCTAGATGATGAACAATTACAGGGCTTTGTGAGTTGGTAAAGGTGAACATTGTTGAGTGTTATATCGCTAGCAAATGGGGCGATCCGTCACTGTATCAGAACTGAATTGTGATTGAAAGTGGTGGGTGAAACCATTTATTGTTTTGTTCTATGGATAAGTGATTGGGTTTTGTGTTTTGTTTGTGCTCACTAACAAGTTTCCCCAGACCCTCGTCCTGCAGTCCTGAATAACCTGACCCATTATTCCCTTCAAGTCAGTGGTCATCATATTGGCATTAGTCTTTAAAGTATGCACATATGCTGTCTCCATGAAATTAATTGTGGTATATATTAAAAAAAAATCCCTGCATTTCGTGTACCTTAGTCTATATTTTCTTTCAGTCTGATTGTGGATAAACTACTGGTGGGGAAGAACCAAAATAAACAATTATCTTTTTACGCTTTTTGTCCTTTCTGTTCTGCAAAGAGGAGTCAGAAACAGCCTTTCATTTCATCAATATATCTTTATCTCTACAAATTTGACTTTTGAATAAAGTTTTGTAGCATGTGTTTCGAGTAGGATTGCCCAAAAGATTGTAAAACTCCTACAGTTAGGTTGCAGTCGCTCCTCAACATCCTTGTGTACCAGTCTCATCCAGTTGGAAACGTACATGGAATGTGAATTTCTGGTCACATTATGAAACCTTCAATGTTTATTTCTTTAAATGTTTACAGTGGTTACAGCCTGCTTTTGTTTCATACAACATTGTCTCTGGTCATTTGGATTTACTTACTATACTAAACATACTTCACACCTGTGAGCTTCAGAATAACTGCAGCTTTCAGAGACAATTTGTGGGTGTGTAAAGGGGAGTACAAAGACTCTTGATCATCGTCCTCTAATCTGACACATCCATGCATGAATGAAGGACTCATTGTAAGCCCAGCTGAGCTGTTCTGCTTAATGTTGCAAACCCTTTCCCTGTAACCTTCATTACACCTCTGTGAAATATAACCCACTACACATCTATGGGTGTGGCGTTAATGGACAGCAACATTGATACCTTGTCATTCAAAAAATACTGCGAGATTTTGAATGTAGAGAAATCAATGTCAAATTCTTCATAATTTCACCAGACTTAGTTGGTGTGGTACTTAAAAGCATGCTCTAGTGAGGACCTTTTCGGCTCGGTGAAGTGCCCCCTGTAGTTTGTCTCTACATCCTTCAATACAGGTTAAAACGGTATCATGCCACCCACCATATGAACATGATACAGCAATGCAGCATCCTCTCTGGACCTGAACCCATTGCTAGTTTACACATCTCTAAGGAGCCATCGATGCTTAATAATATTAACAGTTTTTTGAGCGGCATCAGCTGACGATGCTTTTTTCAGGGGGGATCTAGCATAATAAATCAAGAGGATGCCAAACTACATTTAGCAAAATTCACAACAGCTTGGCTCTGCGGTAGAGAGTCAGTGTCCTAAACTGGCCTCTCTGCAGTTTTGCCTGTTGAAAGTATTTGGTGCATCATGACACAAAATGTGATAAAGGAGAACCCAAACATTTCAACGACTGACAAGAATGGAGCAACATTTCACTTTCAAAACTCCAGAGTCTTCTCGATTCTCCAACATTTAGGGATGTGATGTTAAAAGAAGAGGCGATGCAACACAAAAGTGAACCCGCCTGTCTCCACTGTTTTGAAACGTGTTGCGGGCATTGAATTAAAAATGAGCATATATTTTTCATAAAACATAAAATGTGTTTGATTTATTGTCTTTGCACCATTTTCAATTAAATATATGCCTTTAAATGATTCACAAACTACAAATTCTATTTTGTCAGCATTTTATAAGGTTTGGACTCTTATGGAGAGGAGCTGGAGATTGATAAAGTGAATCAGATGTTAATACAAACTGAGGGAAAATACTGACTGATCCCTAGAGGAGGTGACATACACTAATTCAATAGAAGTTTGCATTCATATTACGGGTGTGCGGGGGCAGCCAGGCTTCCTGTCTGAACGTGCTCTAACTTCATTAATGTGTCATATATCTCTCGGAGTGTCTACTCTGATCTCTGACTCAGTCTTATTATTAAATAAAGAACTGCATCTTTTTCCTTCACGCAGCCACACTCAGGATTTTATTCTCTCGAGTTGCGCTGCAGTCGTGTCTTGTTGCTGTCATGTCACTTGACTGCTAAGATGTATGAAGCCCAACATTGAGGTGAATGAGGCCGTGCATTTGGGTTCATTTGGACACCATGAACACCTGAGAAAAAGGATGCACCAGCCTGTTGTTTTTAGTTGATCCTACTGAGAATGTAATAAATCAATTACTAGGAATGAGATTGAAAGGATCAATATGTTGACGTATCCAAAAAAATCCTGATGTACAGATTTTTCTATCTATATGATAAAGAAATTGAGCATATGTGATGCCTGGATACATGCAGATTTAGCAGCATTTATGTCTATATGAGTCTAGTTAACCACAATCTATCTCCAGAGTGTCCTCTCTGCCTGTTTTGAATCATTAGAGCGCCAAACACCCACGCTGGGATACACCTAACAGCCTCTGAAGGCCATCACGGTGATGAGAACTGACAGACGTACACAGATAATCCAGCAGCTGCAGAAGGTCAAACTAATTTATTTGATGTAGTCGTTTTGTCCATATTTCTGGGGATCAATGGGTTGTAGTCTGGATGTGATTAGAATGATGAAACTGTAGTACTGGCAGTGAAGTATTCCAGGGTTGAATGCTGATATGCAGAGATTTCAAATTCAGATAATGAATCATACACAAATGTTTCAGTGCTATCATTGTTTTTAGTCACTGGGTGGGGTTCACAGTTGATATCAGTCCCGAATATCATTTTGGATAGGCTGTTCCAGACTGCATGAGAAAATCCTTGTGTGTCAGAATAATTTGCCTTTTTTACTTTAGGGAACACTAAAGGGAGAGGGGACTGTGTCATCGCTCTGTCTCATTGGCATACAGCACTCCCTTATTACCCACAAATCCCACGGTGGCCACATAACCAGAGTGGCCCGATCCAGATTGTAGAGGACAAGGTTGTGGTGCTGTGAGCCAAGCTTCAGCCCTCGGGGAAATCAGCACCAGTATGCTTGGAGACGGGTGAAATTGGCCTGCTGATTATCCAGAGGAGGCTGTTAGGTGGGCGACACATCATGAGAGAGAGAGAGAGAGACTTGGAGCATAAACTTGCTGCAGCCTGTTGACTCTGCCTCTATGACTCACTCCTGCTCCTCGGTGGTTTGTGCCTTTGACTATCTCATATTTCATCTGATGAACCTCAGTCTGAAACATCATTTCCAAAAAGAAAGCAGAATTATTGAGGGGTGTTATTTTTGTCAAACTACTATTTAAAAATCCAACCCTAGACAGTCTTGTTTAAGAAAGTGCAATCATCCCATCAAAATAATCATCGACAATGACTGAGCCAAAATTATCCACTGATGACCAATGTGTGAAGAAGTGAAGAAGGTTAAAGGTGGCTCATAAATGCCATATGGAAATTATGCTACAGTCCTAACATTTTAAAAGTCTGCTCTCAGGCCGGAGTCTTCCATCCCCTTCAAGCTAAAAGAAACCAAGCAGCAGAGAAAGAACCAGAATGTTAGCCAAGAATGGACCTCACCTCACCTTCAGATTAATGTTGATGTTGTAAAAAATAACTTCATGTGTAAATCTAACTCCCTAATGGAAAGTGAATGACACACTGTAGTGTAAAAAATACTTAAGTCCAAATTTTATAGTGTTTGATGCCAAAAATGGACAAAGGAATTAACATAACATGGTGTTAAAAAAATAACGAAAAACGCTTTTAATGTCAAAAATGTACACAAAAAGAGTAAGAAATCACACAAAAAGAGTAAGAAATCACACGTGTGTTTAAAATACACTTAAATGTGTCAAAGAAAAAAAAACAATAACAATGGTGAAAAATTAACATCCCTAATGAAATGGAATAACACAAGTTAGTATCAAAGTTGTCTGATAAGATATCACCGTAGGAGTTAGAATTTTAACTGTACTAAAAGGGAAAAATTACACTTTTAAAAGAGTAAATTTCACTCAGGACTGTGAGAACTTTATATACACTAGGATAGTGTTAGATTTTACATTATGGGAGTTAAAGTAACAGTTTTAATTTTGCTGTGATCTTTTCATAGCTCTTCAATATGTCTAATTAATTAAACAGAGTCATCTTTGCTTCAGGCTCTTTTGAGACCTATGCAGAGCTTTGAACGTAAAATATGTGTTAAAATATTAAATCAATAGTGAAAATTCTTTATATTGTATCCACTTCTTTAGATAAATCATCAATATCTGAATATGCAAGTAGTGTTTATTCAGAAGCTTTATAGTAGGCAAAAATAGAATAATCTCCATATTATTGAAAGTCTATTCTCTGACTGTGTGTAAGCTGAAGGTTTCAAGCGTTCACATGAGTGTTTAATCTTCACACTTGAGAAGGACTGACGCTGAGACAAATCCAAGGTGAGCACAATGAGACATTTCTCTCCTTGGCAGATGATATAAAAACAGTTTTTAGGCATCAAACCCTTGATCGTGATGACACCCAAGAGAAGGTGCAACAAGCAAGACAAATTTCAAGTGAAGGGGGCTTCAATCAGAGGACAAAGTGGTGTTTATCCCTCATTCTGCATGTCTTGTCAGAGTGCCATAAATACTCTATGGGAGGGAACATTTCCTACGGAGCATTCACTAGATGTCACTGTTATGCCACCCTTTTCAGAGACACTCGCTGCACTGATCTCTGAGAGTGTTCCCAAAAATAAATGCATGAAAATTAAATGCATACTCATTTATAACTCAGTGGCTTGGATTTATTTGGGCCTTCAGCAAAATAAGATAGGACTGTGCTGTTGTTTGGTTCTCACTGCTGTTTATTCAACCCAGTGAGCTCAGGGGCGAGAAGAGCAAGAAGGCTGTTGAAGTTTTATTTACATTTTCATTGTGGGACTATTAATGAATTGTGGGCCCATGGCCAAAACAATTATAGGGAAACGACACAGAACAGTGCCCCTAATTGACTTATTTCTTAATGATTTTTCTAAAGGGCACTTGATCGTATAAAACTTTCAATGTTTATTCTCTTGCATGTTTTAAGCAGACCCTGATGAAGACCTGTACATTTACAGTGCAACATATTTTGACCTGGATCACAGCCGAGGCGCGTCACCGTGGGTAGGCGTGGCTAACCGTCTGAATAACACTGTATCCTCCGTTACGTTGCAGCAGAGTTACAGACTGACACGAGAGAGGAGCAGAGGGACTGATCCGCGGACCACCTCGCACCTATTTGAACCCCTAAGTGATGGAGAGGACAGAGGTTTTTTTATTCTCCTTCCTCGCCTCTGACTACATTTTCAACGTCCTCTTCATCGTGTGGCTCTTCGCCAACGGGACACCCACAAATGTCACCAACTATGGATTGCCTAATTGAAGTTGGGCCACCTGATCCTGTTTGCGCCAGGATAACCGACCGACACTAGAGTAAGAGAAGTCGTTATGGACAGTTGTTGTGCAAACCGGGCATTTCCTGCGCAGAGAACTGGAGTCAAAAGCAGAATTTCAACCTCAGGATTTCACATCTATTTGCGCGTAAAAGACGCGGACGAGACGGTGCAATCCAACGCTGCCTGAAAATCTTTGCGCTATGCTTTAGTAAATATGGAGGAAAGCTGTAGTTAGACGCAAAGGACATGTTTGTGTGACTGTTTTGTTTCTGTAGGCTCTGATGTGTGAGACGTGAACAGCTTTTTAGCGCGCATACCAATCGTGCGTTGCAGTGAAGTCTCTCCGTTCCCACAGGAGATCCACCGCAGCAGGACCTGAAACCTTTTACAGGCAACAGGCCTCAACAATCACTGAGACAGGTAGACTGACAACACTTTTTTCTAAGTACTGTACTCTGAGCTTTTATTCCAGCCAAGAGAGTTTTCCAAGCTGCTTTTAGGTGCACCTGTGAGTCAGGATTAAGCCATGGCTTTACCAGACAGTGGCATCTCTGCAGAGGAGGTCCCCTTTCCAGAGATCATAGAGCTTAATGTGGGTGGTCAGGTGTACATAACCCGTTATTCCACTCTCACAAGTGTTCCAGACTCCTTGTTATGGGAAATGTTCAGTCGAAAGTCAACCAAAGGACTGGCCAGGGACACCAAGGGTCGTTTTTTTGTAGACCGTGATGGCTTCCTGTTCCGTTACATACTGGACTACATGAGAGACCAGCAGCTGGTTCTTCCGGACCACTTTCCTGAGCGCGGTCGTTTGCAGAGGGAGGCCGAGTTCTTCAACCTGCCTGAGCTTGTCAAGCTGCTGGCGCCCAAAATCAGCAAGCAGAACTCCCTTGGTGATGAGGGGTGTCAGAGCGATCCAGAGGACTCATCACCTGGGATCGACACAGCCCGGAATCTCAGTTCCCTGGGTGCTGCTGCCGCCGCCTGTGCCAGTCTGGTCCCCGGATCCATGGACGGCAAACGATCGGGGTTTATCACCATTGGCTACAGGGGTTCATACACCCTGGGCCGTGACAGCCACACTGATGCTAAATTTCGCCGGGTGGCACGGATCATGGTGTGCGGGAAGACCTCTCTGGCCAAAGAGGTGTTCGGGGACACACTGAACGAGAGCCGGGACCCTGACCGCCCCCCAGAGCGCTACACATCCCGCTACTATCTGAAGTTCACCTTTCTGGAGCAGGCCTTTGACAAGCTGGCTGACGCAGGCTTCCACATGGTGGCCTGTAACTCCACAGGAACCTGCGCCTTTGCCCATGAGCAGACGGATGACAAGATCTGGACCAGCTACACTGAATATGTGTTCTACCGTGAGTGACACCATCGGCTATGTTCAACCCCCCCCTACGGTCCCCCATTCCCGTCTCCAAGTGCCCCTTCCTGCTTCAGCCTCCAGCCATTCCGCCCCCCCCCCCTCGATCTCTGAGGGCCCCTGAACCAGTAGATGTACCTAGATGTTGTGTCCTTACATATTTCTCTGCAGACTCCAGCAGCTGTCTGACTCTTCATCCCCCAGCAGGGTGAACCTGCTGCCCTCACCTTTGACCCCAGATCCATTCCCTCATCTTCAAGTCCAGCTTTTGAACCCCAGCGTAGTCGTAGCCCCCCTCTTCTCAACCGCTGCAACCCCACAGCTGCTCCTGCAAAGACTTACACCTTCTATGTACTGTTTTCCTTTTGTACTCTGTTAATTGCATCTGCCTTGGTGAAGCACAATACTGTATCCAAGAGCTAACTCTGTTAAATAAGAGCCCTAAAGCGTCTGTATGACTATCACAGGGCGTTTAAGAGAAAGGGCTTCAAAGAGCAGCCGTGATGTAAAGTGCACAGTAAACTTTGCCTGCAGATGGGACTCTCCGCTGCACCTGTGAACTAAATCACCAAATAATTGGACATCCTATCAGCCTTGAGGGACGTGAGCATCCCCCAGCACAAGAGAGACACAAAAGTCTTATTTCCTTGAGTTTTAATTACATGTGTCCAGTGCCATGTGGTTGGGAATGTGCCATACAGTAGTCTATCTGTTCAGATGTTATAATGTATGAATGAGGGTTTATATAATCCAGCCACATGGGCAAGAAAAGGGGGAAAGAAAGAAAACTCTGTAAGGAAAACAGATTATAGATGTTGAGTTTTCTTTAGAGAGAAAAAAGCAACAGGCTCTGATGAAAAAAAAACAAAACAATGAAAGCTCAAATATCAAGAGATCTCATAGACGGAGAGATGAAGTGTGTGTATTGACTGTGCGATGGAGCTTTCAGTATTTTAATCACCCACGCAGGGAGGGCAGAGGAGATGGAGGGTGTTAGATCACTCGCATCACTCATTGTGCTTCTTTGATGTTTCTTTTTTCTCAATTACAGTTACAGTGAAGTGCTTCGAGAAGCAGACACATCATAAATACATGTTGTCTTTGAAAAATGAAACAAAAACAATAAAAAAAAAAACGTGGTAGTCACCTTAGCGGATCACGTTTCAGGTGTTCTGTACTGTAAATCTCAATACTCAGTTCAGTATTAGTTGACGCTGTTGCATATTAGCCCTCACTTACTGTGAACCCAAAAGGAAGGGGAGGATTACGCTGTATCCCAATGATTTCTCACCGCTGTAGCAGGGGTATAGTTGGGCAACTTAATACAGTGACTGAGTACAACTCAAGTTATAAAGGACAAATAAGAAAGAAGGTGGTTTACAGATACAGCCTCAGGACAGGTCAAATACCTCAAACTCCAACACAAACTGAAGGCAATCAGATCCAACTCAAACACAGCTGGTGATATTAAAATGCAGGCGCAGTGAGGAAAATATACAAGCCACAGATGTTTCAGTGAGATTGTAAACAGGAGGTTGAATTTGAGGAGAGTTTTCGGAGTTGGAGGCTGCACAGCGCAGGATTCCTCCAGTGCTAGAAGGTGTCAGGTTGTAGTTTTGGCAGAGCGTCTGACAGTCACAGTAAATGTATTCTGAAATGTCTAGAAACCGCAATGTTGTGTTTCAGTGTGATGAAGTGCTGTTGACATCCGAGTCGATATGTTAGGCCTGCTGCAGTGTGTCCCTGCAGGCGTAGACCACGCTGAAACTTAAAGTGTTCAGAGAAAAGCAAATTGATTTGTCAAATAAAAGATGTTTCCTTTCTATCTGGGTTGTATTTTCCATTCATAAAATTGTTCTCTCAGCACTGAACGGTGCAGGTTCTTGTTCGATTGCACTTTACGTGTCTAATTTTAGCAGACAATAAAACTAAACCATAAAACCAACCAGTTGGAAAAATTTAAACCAGTCATTTAATAGAGGGGACGTCCTTGGACATTATGTCTACTTCAGCTTAAATATTGAACATGCCACCCTCAGGCATGGTCTCTTTTGTCCCTCCATCTGCTTTTCCGCTTTATTTTGCCTCCTCTATTTTTTATATTGAGCAGTTGACCAGAAAACAGAGCTAGTCAGAAATGAGGACATGCCTAACAGGATAACAGGCTGTTAAAGCAGCTTGAAAACCCTTATTTTGTGGGCAAAAATTTACCTCATTACTACACATAAGAGAGAGCATCGAAGAGGCGTCTTGGCCTAAAATCCGTACTTAAAAAAGTGTTTCTATCAAACTTTCATATACATAGAGAGAGATACATCATTCATAGAAGACCCAGGATTATGTTTATGTAGGTGAGGGGGTCACATGTTGTATAAACCGTGACTGGTATAAGTTTTACAGAGATAATCACAAGCTAATTATCTTAGTATAAGACCTCTAAACCTGATCTCAGCCTGGCCTAGATAAAAGCTGATGAAGCGAACGAAAGTGCTGAAAAATGGATGTGTATCCCATCCTAAAAACAGATGTTTTATGGAATGCATGGTGATCCCTCAGAGAGCAGACCCGCTCTGTCTCAAAAACAGTCTCACACACACACACACAGCATTCCTCTGTCACTGTCCTCCAGCACGTGAGCACCAAGGTCAGTCATTAGCACAGACACGGAGAGACACGCCTCGCATGTGTGAAATTTCAGTCAGTGTCCAAAACAGCTCTCACTCTTTACCTCCGTGAGCTGCCTCGAGACTCAACATTCAACAGTAAACGTGTGAGGAGTGTTGACACTCTGACATGGAGCAGCAGTGAGGTCCACAGGCCGGGCTGTGATGAAACACTGCCGGCTGTTGTTTCTCTTCTTTTTTGTGTGTGTGCGTGTTGAGACACTTGTGGTTGAGAAGTTCAGCGCAGCACGAAACAGTGCCAGAAGGTTACAATACAGACATTTCTTCATGAAACTAACTTCTGCATCTCATGGAAAAATACACTGGGGATGCATCTGCTAAAAATATTAGGGATACCAGATTAAAGGATAACTATGTTGCCCTTAACAGATTTTAATATCAATGTCTTTTCAACTTTTTTGCAATTGTTCCTCCCACCTGAGCCAGGGTGGGAAATATTATCCAGTTGCATTACAAACACCCAGGTCTTGAGTGAGTGTAAATCCAATCACACACACTTAAAAAAAAATGTTTATTTATTTATTTATTTATTTTTACATAGAAAAGACTTCTCTTTTGATGGGGGGTTTGGGGAGGCGTTAAGCTACTTTAAAAGCCTTTTAAACTGCCTAACCATGGGTCATGACAGAGATCTTTTGCTTGAAATTGCTGTGGAAGTTGTGCAAAAAAGAGACCCCAAATACAAGCTTCACTACAGAAATACAAACTTACAGTGGGCTAAAAAGTTGGGTTTGTCTTCCATCATTAAAGCTACTGTGAGGGGCTTTCGGGTTGTGTTGATATTGGCGCCCCCTGGTGGCACAAAAATGTCAATCTTGTTGCAGATGGTTTTATTTGATTTTGCCTGTCAAAAAAAAGCATTAGCTTAAATTTTCAATGTCATAAAATCTGATAAAATGCATCATGGGGTTTTGAATTGATCTGATGCAACAGATAGAGTCAACCACAGCAAGAGGTGTACACCATATTATGTCCAAAAAACATTCATTCCTTTTAAATTGGTGCAAAAATGACTCAGTTGCTGATCACAAAACAGATTCATGTTGATTATCTCTTTATTCTAGTTTTTCTGTGAAATTCTCAAAATTGTTTTTAACTCTAGTCATGAAAGCACAAACCGAAATGCACCCTGCAAGGACAAGACTGTCTTCCCCTCCTCCAGGCGGTGAGTTGACCCATGCTGTCTCCCCATGGTGCTATTGTTACTGCGATCGGCTCAACATGGCAACATGCCTTGGCTCGGTCTGCTTTCCTCTCTTAGAATGATCTCATTGTCTCATTGCCAGCTGGGTCATCGCTTCCCCTATTTGGATAAAAAGAAGAAGGAGAGCGAAGGAGGAGGACAGGAAGGGATATACGTCAAAGGAAGAGAGGGATTGGAAAAATGGGGCAGAGAGACTGTGAGAGAGATAACCTGGTAGAGGCGAAATGAGAGCGTGAGAGTATTTAAGTAAGGAGGATTTGGTGTTCCCATCTTACATCTCCTGAGCAACTCCTGTATGAAGTGTCCTGTCATTTGGAGAGGAGCATGATGGTCTTTACAAACCAAGACTTCACTGGGCCGTGCTGTAATGTGTTCCTCTGTGGCCTGTAAGTGAGATTTGGTTACATCAGACAGATAAAGATCCACAGGATTACCCCCTACACTCAGGACTGCTATTGATTTGTAGTATGATTACAATGTCAGAAAAGGGTAAAAGAGGCGCATTATGTTTCCTTTCTGTTCGTGAATCACAAGCTGAGCCTTTGAGTTGACAACAAAAAATAACAGATTCCTCGACTGCATCCTCTGTTATGAATAGATGTGTTATAGTGACATCTCTAATCCCAACAATGAGTCATTTTCTCCACATTTTTCACTGAGTGTGATATCAGATGTCCTCTGCATGCTGCTGTTTCTGTTCACTCTGAGCTCTCAGCTGCAACCATCTGTGGCTCAGCACTGTTTGTGTATCCTCCACCTCAAGCCTTGTCCAGTTTCGGATCTGTTTGCTCGTACATCTTCAATCTGCTTGTTTTTTTTATGTGCTCTTGTGGATGTTCAGAGGACAGGTTGAACTAAGTATTTTGGCTTTGGTGTTAGAGGCCACGCAGGGGCATTGAACTAGGTGCACTCCCTGTCTCCCAAATTTGCTGATGATGCAGTTGGCATCTCTGAATTTGCACCAGCAGATACATGCACGCACAAGTGGGGGAGGGGTTGCTAGGAGAAGATGCGCAACAACCCTCCTGTGCGAGGCTAATGACCCAGAGCTGTGAGGTTTGAGATTTAATTGGTTGCCTTCTTTTCACTCTTCTTTGTGACCAGTTAAAAATGCATTAGCTGGCAAACAAGCCATTTGCCTCTCTCATCCTCTCTCTTGACAGCAATAACAGGAGAAGAACATGCTTGGATAGAGTGATGCTAATTACCAATAGGAGGATATGGTGGAGAACATGCAGCAGCCTGAGGCCTGACACTGCTGCTTTTCCACCAATATGAGGCATATGCTTCTCACTTCATTTGTACATGTATACATACAGAGACTGCTGTGTTTGTGTTTGGCCTTCACAACTGTGCCGTTCGCCTACACTGCCATGGAAGCCTGTATGCACAGAGTACAGTAGCGCTGGCTCGGGGCATCTTTATCTCATTGTGCGTTGTGTTATTTATAGTGAGCCAGGCATTGAGTCAGATGTGTACCACTGCTGCACCTCTCTCTCCCTGTTTCAGCATGGGTACACATGCTGCGCTGGCCCACGTCTTTATCCTCTGCCCACACATGAAAGCAGCTTTTTACAAAACATATTGGACACCAGGGGAGACCTGGTCGTGCAAGCTCAAGGGGTGATCGTGTCAAAAGTGGGAAGAAGGGAGGGGAGCAGCAGAAAAAGAGACGATAATGTCGATAACGAAATCCTGCACAGTATCTTCTCTTTCCTCTCGACATTTTTTCTTTTTTATTCTCTTTACAATTTCTTTTAATCTCCTTTAAGCTCCATGACACAAAGAGAATAACTGAGGGAGGGAAGGAGAATGATGTTATAGCAGGGGGAGTGAGTCAGAGTAGAGGTATGCATTGGATTAGAAAAGGAGGAGGTAACAAAAAAGGGATAATTAAAAAAGTAGATCTTCATAAATAGCACCATATGATAGGGAGTGTAAATGAGAGAAGAACAGGAGGTGAGAGGCAGGAGAGGTGAATAACTGAGGTAACAGCATGTTGGGCAATGATAGTGGAAGTTGTGACAATAACTGACTTAAAAAAAAAAAACGGTCAAAAAACAGCTTGAGTTGTTGCAAACAGTATATCAATGTTGTAACCAGATTACCATGGTGGTGCCTACTCATTTTAGTTATTCAGCAAGGAGAATAAGACTTTAATCTTGGATTGTTTTCAGATGTTTGTTGTACTTTATTAAGGAGATTTTTCTATGTTTCAGGAGTATACTGTGTTTTTTTCTTATGTATTTGTTCTCAGCAGTGGAGGACACTTCATGTTTTCTTTTTTTATGGATAAATAAACTGAACCTTGTAACTCAATACAATTACATGGTTTTACCCATGGGCATTTTGTCCCAGATTGCATTCAAAGCCAATGCTTCTTTGTTCAGTAATTGCTATATTTCTGTTTACTAAGGTTTCTCCTTCTATTTAGTGTTAAACAAATTCAGTTTTAAATGTATTAACAGAGGATAAAATCTGGACATTTCGCCACAAATGTCCAGTTATTAAAGGACATTCCTCAGCACGTGTTTTTTTGCCAAGTTGCCTATAAAACAGTTGCAGTAAATACACAGCCTGCTAATTTGGTGAAGTCAGTCTAAAAGGACGGTGAGCTGTCTCTGGGTCTCTCCTGGTCTAGAGTACGTTGCTCCAAGCAGATAGTTGTAAATGTGTTTGTCACCAGTCTTGGAGAGGGATTCACCTTGGCCATCTGGAGACTTGGGCTCTAATCTGCCGGTCTAATTATCAGTAATCTGAACAGTCAGGTTTGTCCTCTGTGACAGACTCCTGGGCAGTGTCAGAACCTTGCTGGAACGAGACCGGAGAGGAGGAGCAGGTGGCAGTAAAGAGGAGGGGGGAGCTCTGCAGGGGCTGAGGGGTGCCAGGATGGGCTTTAGGGTGCTTAGCAGGCTGGTTACGTGTCTTGGTCGCCAGGCAGCAGCTCAGGGCATTTTAAGCATGGGGAGATAAGGAGTAGGCAGGTGGAGCAGGTGAATCAGAGGGACACTTGGACCAAAAATAAAAGTGTATGTCTGCAAAAATAAAAGTCATTAGACAGTTTGTTTCTGCACCAAAAGACTTGAAATACTTAAGTAATTGATGACTAGCTGAGATTTTCCCCTCTCTTTTCCCCTTTTTTGCTTTTCTAGCAGCTCCCAAGTCTTCAGCTGTTTGTGTCCCATAATTCCTCGAATTTATTCAGATTGACGGATTTGTAATTGCTTAGAGACTTGTGTGTGCACTCCAGTGATTTTGAAATGGGCAAAAATGCTTATACTCCAGTATGTCACAAGAATACAGCATTACCATGCCTGATCACAACCCTGTATGTGTTTGCTGGAACAGCAAACAGAAAAAAAGGAAAATGAATGGGAAATCTGTAGGTGGTGAGACGTGCTCTGTCATTAGGCAGCATACTGGTCGTTTCACAAAGCAGATGTTCGATATCTGCGCTGAATACAATGTAATTAGATATAAAACAAGCTGTAATTGCCAAAGCCATGTAGCGTGAGCTCCTTTTAGAGCAGCCGGATAGCACCATATGCACAACTTCACACCCTGAAAAGAGGCTTCTATCTGCCTTACAGCCATTACTATGCATTTGTGTGACTTGAGCTCTTGCAGCTCATCGTGGCGTTACCATGGAGATGATGCTGCCTTCTTGTTTGCCAGCCTCCTGTTCCTCGGGTCACAACACCTGTCAGCGGCCACAGCGAATTTTAAAAAGCACCCAAAGGCTGATTGAGCTTGTCATATTCAAGGTAATTGAGAAACTGCATTTATAACAGTTTAGGCCCAAAGTCAGGGCGAAGCATGGAAGTTTATCTGAAAGAACCCAAAACTGCTTTATTTTAAAGAGCAAGACAAGACCGTTAAAACTTTTCTCAACCTGTACAACCAAGTTAATGCAGTAAACAATATCAGACTAATTAAGCTAAAAGCACTGTCAAACAGGGGGAGACAGTTGGGCTAGCTCATAGACTGTATGTACTATAGACAACTTAGTTCAGCCTTCCACCAGTATACGGATTTGAAGCCGAAAAGCTCTCTGTAATTTCACGTTTTTTTTCCATTTCCTGAAACCAACATTGCGCAGTAGCATTGTACGCATTCGACAGGAGAGTCGCCGAGAGTCACTGTGATGACGCTCGGCTCAAACAGCGTATCCCCCGGGTTAGCTAAGCAATCTTCGTACGCTCATAGGCTGTATCAAGTGTCAATCATAGAAAACATGAACCCCTAATAACTTTTAAAAATGGAGCTGTACAGAAAAAAAGAGGACTTGAGCACAAACCAGTATTACAGTAACTACATGTCAACATCAGAAGCAGGGGGAGAAAAAATTATATTCAGTGTAATAAATTTCTAAAGTTTGTCTACAGCCCCATAGGGATTGCTGGAGGAGGCGGGATTTATGACCTATACAGCAGCCTGTCAACAGAGGGTGCTGTTCTCTGGGTGGCTTCGCCCATCGAGGAGGCAGACTCTGTCCATTCTATATATAGCCTATGGGCTAGCTCTACTCAATTAAAAAATATATATATTGCTTTAGAGCAACCAAAGGAAGAGAGAAATCACTCACTCAGCCAGGAGATACATTAGTAACACTTCACAAAGCATCAAACATGATCATTCATACATCAAATACTTGGTTGGGGCTATTTTACTATGAATTCCTTCATCACTACTGCATGACACAAAAAAAAAACTAGCTAGGGAGATAGGACCTTGATGTCCCAATTAAAGCAAAATTAATTTAATCTGAAAAGACTACTGAACAACAGTGCTGTAGTTTTCCTCCTTAGTCCAGCTACAATTCGTCTGATGTCTTCTCCGGTTCAGTTGTGGTTTGAGATTAGAAAGGTGACAGTTGCTGCTCCTTTACTGAGGACACCTGTGCATAATGGATCTGGAGCCTCAGCCCACTCCCTGCACTCCAAAGTTCCTGGATTAACTTTTCTTGACAGAACTCTTTAGGCTGAAGTTATCACTGTTGCTTGAGCACCTTTTCCCACAGCAATTTTCCCTTCTAGTCAACGTTGTGTTAATAGTCTGCAGTACAGCTCACTGCAAACAGCCAGCCTTTTGGCCCCTGTGGCTTTCCCTCCCTGTGAGGGGTGTCGATGATCGTCTTCTGCACAGCTGTGAACTCAGCGGTCATTTCCATAATTTTGGTTGAGCGCACTAAATTATATCCAGAGATTCACAGTATGTGTACTGTTTGGATGGTAATTATCTCAAACTTGAAATAAAATGTTCTAATAAGCCTTGAATGTATTGAATTTTTACTTTTGAATTTAATCCAGGGTAACTCTTGATCTGTCCTTTGAAGAACAGATCTTGTTAATATCACAAACAGGTGCTTCATTTGAAATCAAAAATAAGGTGTCTTTAATTGTTTTCCAGTTGAATGACTGGTAGTCTTAAGTTATTGTCATTACCCCTCCTATCCCCAGCTCTTGTTAGGTACATAATCTGTCCTCCAGACTGGGTGCCCCATCTAATAATGATCACAAAGAAGCCTACAATAGAGAAGTCATTTTTGGCCCTGACCTTTACTTTGATGTCCGGGTGACCTAAGTCATGCAGCTCTGCTTTGCTCAGCTTAGACAGTTACCTAAATTTAGTGCATTTCATTCTCCATGCATGTGTTTCTTCTATGCTTGACTAATGTAATGCACTTTATTGTGGCATCAGTGAGCATAACATCCAAAAACTACAAGTGAATCAAAATGCTGCTACCTGTGAGTTTTAGAATTGATTTTTAGATTTTACTGCTTGTCTTGTCTAAAGCCTGAATTGGCCAGGCTTCAGACTCTACCTATGAACTGCTAACTCCCTGTGAGCCTGACTGCAGCCTGAGGTCCTCTAGCAGGGCCTGACTCATGATCCCCAGAAGTGACTGAGCATTTGCAGTCCATGCTCCACAGCTGTGGGACTCCCTGCCTGAGGATGTTAGACAAGCAAAGTCAGAGTCTTCTTTAAATCTCCTATAAGAACTCACTTCTATTGTTTGGCTTTATCTTCGCTGTTATCCTTGTTTTATGTGTCTCTCATTTGATATTATGAGAGTATGAGGATCTTGTTTATTTGTCATGTGTTAAAATCTATATAAATGAAATGTTGATTATTTTTATTTGGCCTGCTTTTTTCATCATCCTTATTGTTATTATTACAGGGGTGCAGCAGGGACATGAACAAAGAGCGGTCAAGAGATGGTAACACTTCACTTGATGCCTCTCTCTTTAACGCATTATAAATATATAAATAATGCATTATAATCACGTTATAGCACTGTATAACTATAGTTATACACACTCATAAATGATCATAATGCTTGATAGCAATAATCATAACATATTATAAAGCATTTTATCATGACTTACAAGGTCAGGTATTATAATGTGTCATAACTGTTAACAACAGTTGCATTGCAATAGCTATGTGGGCATTATCAGTGAGTTGTTAACGGTTATAACACATTATAATACCTGACCTTGTAAGTCATGATAAAATGCTTTATAATGTGTGGTGATTATTGCTATAAAGCATTATGATCATTTATGAGTGTTTATAGTTATATAGCTATAGTTATATAGTGCTATAACATGATTATAACGCATTATACATATATTTATAATGTGTTATAGAGATCGATGTCAAATAAAGTGTTACCCAAGAGACATACCATATCAAATAAAAAAGTCCTGGACTAGTCTTCTACGTGTTATTGGCCTGATTTGCATGATCTTTATAGGACTTTAGGCCAGGTTAGAAATGTAGACAGCATTGGGCACACATTAGTTCCTTGAAAAGAAGCTCCTGGAACTAAACATTTTTGATACCTTTGGTAGAAATGCATCCATAAGCAGTTTCTGTATACATAGTTTTGTTCTCACTTCTGGCTTGGGGATTAGGTAAGGCTGTCTGTCTGTCTTTTGAAGGTCAAACTGTGGTGATGACAAATAACTAGAAACAAGGAGTCCCCGTAATCTCGACACTCCTCCAGTAACCTGAATTCAATCATAACAAAGCATGTAGAGACACAGAGAAGGCAAACACAGGGGGTACTAAAGGTAATAAATGCCACACATTCAGTGCTCATTCAAACAGTACAATTACTTCAAAGATACAAATACAGTTTTAAAGTTAGCATAGAAAGATAATCCTGGATGTTTACTTTGGGCTCTCTGTACGTGATAATGCTAGAATAAGTTAGGCAGTCTAATGCTTTTATTTACCGAGTTAGAGGGAACACAGTGCTCTTTAACAAGAACGAGAGTGATTAAGGTGGGGTGGACAAAAACATTACGCACCATAATAGGGAGATAATGTGACAGAGGTGCTAAACCCTGGCAATGGTGACACATTAGAGTTGCTAATAGCAGTAATGATGGCAACGTAGACATGTGTCACACTGAACAGATGGGAGAGACTGAGAGAGAGGCATCCAGAGAGGAGAGGATGTGTGAGAAAGTGCTTTGGCTTTTGCATATATATCCCTGGAGAAGTGGCCTGGGGAAAAGGGTTGAGTGCTCTCTTTCGCTGTTCTCCTCCATAAGGCTTAGCAGTAGAAGAGAGCATGGAGCCCATCCCCCAGTGGATTATTCCTCCAACACTGCTAAGCCCACATACTCCCACGTCCAGGCGGCCCTCAAACACACATGTATTCAACATGAGAGACATTTAATGCACCGTGCACACAAACACAAATAGAGGGGAACATTTTTCTGCCCACCCCTCCTCCCTCTATGGCTTCTTTCTTCCTCTCTGTCTTTATCTGTCCCTCTTTTAAATGCATGTGCACGCCCATAATATAAACACACACGAATACACTCTTCTCCAGGTACTCAGAGAGCCAAGGCGGCAAGAGAATACTGTGCACCGCCCCCGTTTGACACAAGCTGCTTTTCCCGTTATATAAGATGGGTTACGATGACGATGAGCCCTGTTGAAAGAAAGAGTGCAGGGCCTTAAGTGTCTTTATATGTCTGTGCACATGCATGTGTTTGGGTTGTGTGTCACGGCTGCTGCTAAGTGTGAGTGGCAAGTTGTCTCTGTATGTCCCTGCATGAGCATTATAAATAAAAAGTCTCAGGAAGGACTCGAAATAAAACTGTACCGACGTGTTAAATGTGACTGAGTACGAGAAGGTAGATGTGCAATTAAACTTTGCAGAACAATCATTTTTATTCAACTTGGGCTAAGTCCATGACCTAATTCTGACTAAATATGAAATGTTTTTTGGATATCATGATATTTTTTGTTTTTTCTCGAAGTTGAACATCCAGTACTGCAATGAAAAACAGGCTTTGATCTTTTCTGTTGGGCATTTGCAGTCATGCAGCTTTGTAACAAAACCTCAAGAGCCTTTTAGAAATGCCACTTATTGTTCACAAATCAGGCATGATGAACGGAGCACACCGAAATTTTCCCAAAATGGATCACATGACAAGAACCTGAGAGGATTCATAACAATCGCATGCAACAATAATGCACTCCCTGTACACCCTGCACCATAACAGCGGTTATTTTGCCGTATTCGCTGAGTCTTTCTAAGCCAATCTGAGGCTGTGCATCATCATGTAGACAGTGAAAATCAAAGGCAAAGCAGAGGATGATTATACTCGCTCCCTGCTTTTAAAAAACTGTGCTTGTTTGTGAAGAGAGAAAGAGCTATTCAAAACGGTTGATGAGTACAGGATGTGCACATGTGCCTCTCCAGCAACGATTCTGAGAAGTTACACCGCAGCAACCTCCTCTGTCCTCGCACAGAGATGAGATGAAAATCAACATACCGTGAAAAATGGCTTGTCAAGCTACAGTCAGGAGGCTTCACACCATCCGCTCAGTCACAGTGTTCCTTCAAGGATAATGTAACCTACATGCAAGCGGCGGTACGAGCCGGGGAGTTCTGAAATTAAATGAAACTGTCCTCCACTTTCCTTATCTCTCATTTCCTGTCCTCTCCTGCTGAGCACTCTTTCTCTGCTAATTTCTGTTTCCATAATGCTTCTGCACGCTTTTGTGTCAGACTGTGTGCACTTTTGTGCTCCTGGAGACGGATTGTTAAGCTCAAGCTGAGGTGTGTGTTTTGTACCAGAGACACTTCTGATGCACTTTAATAAGGCAAACAAAACAAAGCTAAATATGATCAAATATATGTGCAAAGCTTTACTGTTGACTCAGACCTTCATTCAAACAGAAAAGACACCTGAATACATCATCCTTCATCAAAATAACAGAAAGACATTTTAAGAATGATGCTCCTGACACCAAACAAACGCCTGGATAACAGTTAAGATAGTCCTTGCAGCTTGTTAGCTCAGCATTAAGACTGAAAACATATGAAAGGAGCTCCTCTCCTTTCGTCTTCCTTTGGATTAAACTGAAAGGATACGGTGCAGCAGCTTTAAAAGGGGCTGTTCAGCAGATTTTGTTTCCTCTGTCTGGATAGAGTCATACACAGGATAAGTCTTTGCACTAAACTTTGCTTATTAGCCTCTGGTTCCAGTTTGATAGTGTGTATAAAGACATATGACTGAAAAAAGTGGTCTTGCTGATTAATATCAATCACTTTTACTCTAGTTTTTGTTGTTTTTTCCCCCAGTTTATTTAATAATTGCTGTGATGGTTTGAGTAGGGTGACCATATTCTGACTTCCCAAAAAGAGGACACAACCACACAGGGCCGGAGACATGGAGTCGCATGAAGTTAATTTTGATTGTTTTTTTGGGTTGAATTGAGTGTCTTTTATGCGCTTCTAACTCAGTAAGTCCATGTGACACAAAATCGAAACTCTTGTACAAAACCAAGGACCTTTGAAGGACTTTATAAACTTCCCCAGACAAAGCCAGACAGCCCAGACAGCCCCCCAAAAAGAGGACTTGTCTGGGTAAAAGAGGACGTATGGTCACCCTAGGTTTGAGGAGATATTAAATGATTAGCATTGCATCGCATCAAGACCGGACAAAGACTATGAAGTCCTGACTCTTTGTGTTCAAGTTTTTCCGTAGGTTTAAAAACAAAATGTACTCAATCAATACATGAGCTTGAGAACTGAAGTTTAGAAAAACCAAGCTGCTGGTTTTACCTTCACATTGAGTGTAAACACATAAGAACATGCTTACCAAACATTCAGCAAGACTTAAGCACACTCACAATAGGAAACACTTCTGTAAACCACACCTATGTTAATGTCATTATAAGCTTCCATGCTCAAAGTTTAATGAGACCGTTGATATTGATCTAAGGTCTGTAGAGTAACTATGAAGCAGAAGGGAGAAAAAGATTAGCTCAGCAGAACAGAAACAGGCACATCAGCCTTACCGCTCAACCATGTAAGCATGGATGTGGTACTAATACAAAAGAGACCTGCTCTTTCTGTGACATGTATTGCAATGAAATTTGTTCTGAATTGATCAGTTGATTGTCAATCATTCATTTCTATGAACCTCCAAAAAGGCAGTGCCCATACTGAAAATGCTGACTCAAACAAGGTCTTTGCTTATCTTGAATCAGGTGTAGAGGTGAGGCTGAGGCAGGCTGAATTCATCTTGTTTGTTTGACATGGTGTGCTCACTTGCCAAGTTCCCAATTATGCAACCCTCTTCGACTAAACCAATAATATTTAATAAAGTTAAAAAAATATTTTATCCCATTTAGATTTTTAAAGAAGAAATGAGGTGAAGACCAAAACTGTTTTGTATCAGGCTGTAAACATGTTTGATTTCACAGCAGAAATGGGCATTTTGGTATGAGTACTTCTGAAGTTATAAAGTGGTCTAGAGGAATAGCAGAGATCGGTCTTTGGCCTCACCTTGTCAAAAGTTTAAAAAATAAGCCTCCTTTCACCTCTCAGGCTTATGTAGGAGTCCCTGATATTTTAATCTGTTAGTCTTCATAAAAAACTTACCTCTCAAACTTTTCCTCAATGAACTTTTATTGTGACTGGCATAAAATGTCTCATATTTCACATGACTTTACAAATACGTATTTTTTTCCTCTACTGCAGGCGGTTCCAAAGCATCAAGTTCAGACCACCCGGCTCTGACTGAAGTGGAGACTTCTGAATTTCCTTCCTCTTATGCTGGACGAGTGACAGTAGAGCCTAGTGGTCGAACCCGCAGCCTTCCAGAAACCAACAGCAGCATCACACTAGACACACAAAACCCACTTTACCAGGACTCTCCTCTCCTTCTAACACCTCCACTTCCTCCCCCGCCTCCTCCTGCCGCAGACTGCCCCGACCTCCCTCCTCTGTCACCACCAATCCTGCCTCCACCTCTACCATCCAAACCTCCCTCTACCTCAAGTCCCCCTCTTCCCTTAACACCGCCCAAAGCAGAGAGCCCACAGCGTCCAAACACACTTAACCTGAAAACGCTGCCTCGTCCCAGTGTTAGGGAGAATGGTGGGCCCCCGCCGGGGATAGAGGAAGAGGAGGAGGAGCGGAAGTTGCTGGAGGAGGATTTGAAGAAATGCATTGAGGACTTCAAAAAGATTCGTCTGCCCTCGGTGTTTCCAGATCGCAAGAGGCATTGGCAAAGTGACTTGCTCAAGAAGTACAACGCATAGAGCTCTTTGTCTGAATTCAAGCTGTCTGGAAATTTCAGCAAGTTTACTTGAACTTTGTAGCTTTTGCATGTAAACTGATCAACATTTTTGATTGAGTGTTGTGTGTAGGCTGAGCATAAAGCAATCACAGTTACACTATCAAAACAGACATTTGTCTTTTCCCACCATAGGAAATCTGCCCCTTCGTAGATAGTTAGCAGCACATCTTTGTTCCACGCATCTGTTTGCAGATATTCAACTATTCTGAAATGACTTTCTTTCAACTCAGTCAGAGTTATATATGTAGTGTTGTAATAAGAGACCTGCTGCGCTCTTTGTTCTGTTTTCACTGATCAAGCAAATGGAAAATGTAAGCTAATTGTGAAATTTAAGGCATTTGACCTTGCTGATGCAAAATAAAAGGAAGAAGTGAAATTTCTGGTGCTAATCATCAAACGAATCTCTCCTCATCAATATTAACCGTCTGACTTCAAAGCTTTTCTTCTCCTCACTGCATTGAATCCAAAAGCTCTGCAGTTTGCTTCATTTTGTGGTTAAATAATCCTCAAGTTGGCAATAGAAGAAATTCAGAGCAGGAATGCATCAAAGATTACAGAATGTGGAATAATACTGGCGATAATGATGACATGAACCAATGAGCAACACCATTATTTCCTCTGTCTGCTTGACATAAGATGTGCATCCAGCTTCCCTCATGAATATTTAGGAGAGTGGACACCCGGTTTGAGCTTTTTAAGTGACAATAAAGGGGAAACAGCTAGCATGGTCCTGTCCATAATTCACAGACCTGCCTTTCAGCACCAATAAAGCTTTTAACCAACATGTTTTAACATTTCTTCAGTCTTATCCAAAGGCTGTGTCACAACTCACTATGCAGTGCACTACACTGGGGATTTGCCATGTTACAGTGCTGTTAGGAATCTGAATGAGAGTTATTTTACCATGTAAGGTGGTCTTACTATATCTCAGAATGCACCATGAAGAGGAGTGTACAACAGATGGTCTCTAACCAAGCATTAAATACCAGTTTGCACTGCGGGGCAAAGAGGAGGGCTGGATGGGACAATTACATCTAGAAAAGTGAAAAATTGGGGGCAGTTTTTTCTCTTGAATCAAGTTATTTTATCAAGAGTGAAACGTTTTTAGAAAGAGTCACATTAGCTTTTTTCTGATGTTACAAACAAATATGCCACTGTTATTGATATACAGGTAAGGAATAAAGCATGCTGAACTGGTAATGGTCAGTTATCCCGCTTCTTACCGGGCTACTGACTGAATTTATAAATATATTGACCCTAACATGATTTAAAGCACCTTTACTTGTGAAAATACACTCATTATAATATATATATTATATCAAAAAGATAAATTATTATTATTATTATTATTATTATTATTATTATTATTATTATTATTATTATTATTATTATTATTATTATTATTATTATTATTATTTGTGAACAACTTTTTATTGCTCTTACAGGGAAACAAGTACAGTAGTCTAATAAAGGTAACAGGTACATTGCAATCCAAAAAAAAAAAAAGAAAAGGTGAAATAAATAAATAAATGTTACTACCACTACTACTACTACTACTAATGATAATAATAATAATGATAATTTATATAAATAGTTTATTACAAATAATTTATTGTTGATCTCAGCTCGTGCTTGGCAGCATATTTTCACTTACACACTCTATTGTAGTCAAGATGTCGTCATGAAATGAGGCACAGAAAGGAGGCGAGACGGCAAGTCAGTTTGTTCAACAGACAGGGTTTAATGAAGCACAAGCAGAAGTCTGTACACAAAGAGGCAGTCAGATCAGGCAGAAGTATCCAAAATGTGAGGCAAAGAGGCAAGGTCCAAAAAGACAGGCAAAGGTAAACAACCGTTTGACTGTAATATGAATAATGCTGGAACAAGACACAAGGTACAATAAACGGGCAGCAAGACAGCGAGACACACAAGGTTAAATACAAGAGGTAATGAGGGCGATGGGGAACAGGTGGGGAGACACAATCAGGTAGCAGGTGTGACTAAACGGGGGCACTGTAGACCAGACAGGAACAAATTTAGAAGACAGAAACAAGGGTTTGTGAACTACAAAATAAAACAGGAAATGTATGACATGAACAAAACATAAATGTACAAAAATAAAGGAAACTTGACCGATAAATTAACAGAATTAAAAGCAAACATAGCAGACATGAAAGATGTTTGATGAGTGCCCATGTTATCTGCATTATTATTGGAAGGTCAGCAGAATATCTGTTTTAACAACTCTTCATTATTTAACTGAGAACATTTTATGACTTTGTAATTAGACATAGTCAAACTGATGTGGTCTAAATCAGTGGTTCTCAAGTCCAGTCCTCGAGGCCCACTGTTCTGCATGTTTTGGATGTTTCCCTGCTCCAACACACCTGATTCAAATGATCAGCTCGTTATTAAGCCATTACAGAGCTTGATAACGAGCTGATCATTTGAATCAGGTGTGTTGGAGCAGGGAAACATCCAAAACATGCAGGACAGTGGGCCTCGAGGACTGGACTTGAGAACCACTGGTCTAAATAAACTAACCTATACAGTTGATTTTTTTGTATTTTCAGTTTATAATAACTAGTTTTCATTTTTTTGTGTGATTTTAAGAAAATTTCTCATTTAAAGTGAGTCTCAAGAATGCCATAAAAATTATACAGACCCTGAACCACTTTTAGAGATAAACAGAGCACTGACTCTACTGCAGCCTGAAGATATTTTGTTGTCTTATTCTTCCAAAAGTCCAACCTAATGCTTCGCCTTTGATCATTATAAGCCTGTGGTCATCCCCACAGTTTCTAGTTAGAAGAAATAATGATGTTTACTTATCACAGAGCTTCTTATCACTGAAGTGTCTTCAGCCTGATGCTGTTTCGCTCTGCACTGCCCTGGGCCAATATTGAGGTGAAGACATTAATCTTAAGTGTTGGCTGTGAGGGAAGCTTTTTTTCTGGTTAAACATCAGACAAATAGAATAGTTTATCAGGCAAAGTGGTAACCTAAGAGCAATAAATATATCCTCTTGCTCTGATCAGAGGATTAACAACAGATTAGGGTTTATCACAGTCATGACGAGTGTCTAACAGCAGGCTATTCCTACAGAGGGTTTCACGGTGAGGACAATTTATACCATGCAGTCAATCGTTGCTGAAACATTTCACGCCAACATCAACACTCAAACTGTCTCCAACTGGCCACTGATTGCTGAGAAAATCCATAGAAAAGATTTTTCTTCGCAGCCTATTAGACTGTATTGCCTCATCAGCTCCTTTTTCTCGTATTTCTCATCTTTTAGCATTGGCTCGGACAGCAACGAAGTGCTGGCTGTACTCCCAGAGCTCCAAGGAGTGTCATCAAGGCGCGCCTGAGTCAGGATGGATGCAGAAGATTGAAACAACAAGTCTTTGCAATTTAAAATTTGTGTTTACTGTGGCAGAAGCAGCACAGTCTGCTGTGTTGGAGCTGTGTTAGACGAAACAGACATCCCTGTCCAAAACTCAGAGTCCTTCATTTGCATTTGGCTTCACCATAGGAATGTGCTTACTCCTCAGTTCTCCGGCACCCTTTGTCTTTTTTTTCGTATATAACTCTGTGAAGCTGGTCTTTTGACTTATTATAAATGCACTAAGAGGATTTGATCTCTGAAGATGATAGACCTGGCCCCCGACAAAGGGAATACTTCTTCTTTGAAATGAAGAGGTAAAGCAGTCTGGTGGGAGCAGGACTGACGGGAAAATATTCTTTGACAGAATATTTAAGCCTGCAGATCAAACCTTCGAATCGCAGCCGCAGTGATTATCACTGGACAGAGGTAGAGCTGGCATGGGGTCCTGCTTTAAAGTCATTTCCTGAAGTTGTTGCTGCATTGGCACCAAAGGCACCGAGAATGAAATATATATAAGACCACTCCTCAATAATTTTGTGACGACTCTCCTGAATCAAAGGACAACTTTTTCTCTGAATCATTTCAGGAGTTAAACTTTCAAGCTTCTGTGAGGAACTTTATGTTCGTGTAGATTGTGGCTACTCCCCGTGGAGAAGTACAGCAGCCCGTCTTATCTCTTTGCTCAGCTTGTACAGAGCATACATAACAAAAATATTGATCTGTTTAACCACTAACAGTCAAACAAGTTACTCACTAGAAGTCTGTCTTTTGTGGAGAATGAAAAAAGGACTTTTGGTCCACTATGACTGCAGATTTCTTTGGTCCTAGCTCGCTCAGGGTGGTTAAATGTACCAATGTCTTTGACCTAGTTTGCAAGAAAGGAATAACTGACAGGAGAAGCATGTACGCCTCTGCTACACACGCCCCCTCTCAGCTCATTACTATCAGTTTGTCCCCTGCTTGACCTGTTGCATATCAAACTAGAAAAGCACTCGGAGAGCGCAGACCTCCGCCAAGCAGCTCATGTCCCCCCTTATATTGTGATTCACACCAAAACTTTTACTGTTACGTGTCTTTTATTAACGTTTATTTGTGTTTAAACTGGTATGTTCACTGTTCATAATGTTCCTAAAACAACAAAGTTCATATTAGATACATAAATGCATGATTTATTATGCAATATTTGTAAGCGTACACTTCCAACGACACCCTTATTTTTTTGTGTTCTGGATCACAGTATCCGGAATTTTGTCTGGATCAGGATCAACCTTTGACACCTCATAAAACTCATTGAGATCCTTTTGTGTAATTTTTTACTAAAGAGTCTGGCCATTTTTATAGAGTTAAATGCAAAAATTCCAAAATTTGCCCTATCTCACAATGATAAAAATGACAATTTCTGGATCCAGAAGGCGATCCGGATCACCACCAAAATGTAATGGGATCCTCCTGGGGCGGAGACGCACCTCTGGTGAAAATTTGAGGTCAATCCATCTGTAACTTTCTCCGTAAAGTTGTTCACAGACAAACAAACAAACCAACAAACAAACAAACCAACGCTACCGAAACATAAC